AAATTCGCCTTTGATGGGAAAAATTCAATTCGACATACAGGCAAAGTACCTACTTATATGGGATAGTGGTTTTTGGAAAATTCGATTAAAAATGTCAATACGCCAGCAAAAGCGTTTAACTTCGTTTCAATGTCCACAAATCCGTTTTTAAACCCAATTTTGGATCGAACAGGCGACAGAACTGATGATAAATCCGTTGGACTCAAAGTGTTTAGAACATTCTGTATAAATTTTGTGAAAGCAGTGATGCTAATCATCAGTGCGAATGTGGTTCCATTTGAAAGGGACTATAATAAGCTCGTAAATTATACAAAACCATTAACAAATTTTACTGAACATTTTAGGCGAGTACGCTTAGAAAGAAAACATTAAATTCTTATTCGAAAAGTGGGGCATTTACGTGTAAATCCGACAAGAGACGAGTCTTACAGCGAAACTTTTCGCACACACGTAAATAAAGAGAAGTCATGTGCGGCGGAATAGCGAAAACCTACACAAAGTTGAGTGTAAGTTTCGCAAACTTCGCCGGCTTTCAATGCAAGTTTATTCCACTTTATCGCCGATTCTAATCCAACTAGTTCACAAATCGCGCAATATCGTTGGAAACGATAATCTCGCATCATTAACCGCCGCTTTGTGCTTACCACGTAATCCAATTGCGAAAAGATCAAATACAAAAGGTAGTAGCGCGGAGCGCAAACGGGAAATGCTTGTTTTTTTCGCGAAACTCCGGATAGAAATTTCCTTTCTGATCCCGATTGTTTTTCGCGTGCGGGAAAAAACCACTTACGCTAAGCTGAAGTTTTACGAAACAAATATATCGCTCCTGCTTTGAAGGGCTTCCCGCGGAAGAGCTGAAATAAAATAGTTAAAAGAACGATCGGGAGCAGAAGGTTGCTGGTGCAGGTGGACTTTACGTTTTATTCGGAGTTTGAGAGAGTTAAATAAAACTCTGGGGGAGTTTCTAAACGGGGTGTATATGATAATGGGAGTGGTGCTTTCAGAATGTAATTTGTAATAGATAAAAATAATAGGTTTTTGGGATCCTACCTAGCCCAATTTTTGATTCAATCATATATATTTTTATATTTTTATCAATTTATGAACTATTCCTACACATTATTTTGTTTGTTTTCCTAATTTATTTCGCGGTGCAAAAATCTTTTCTATTTTTCCTCTCTCAGGTTTCTTTTCAACCTTCTTTCCCATTGAACTATCTCGTTGTATTTTATTTTTATACTCTTCAATCCAATTATATCCATTGAAGTCATCAGGATTCCTAGCTAGATAAATTCTTCTATGTCAAATTAAGTTTTCTGCCGTTTTAGTTTCCAATTTAACAGCAAAATCGACTTCAGGTGAGTAGTTTCTCAACGTATAGCTGTTGAAAAATTGCGAACGCTGAAAGCCCCGGCCAACAGAATATTCTGAAACTGCTTTAGGTACGGCAAATTTCGCCTAAAACCAATAACACGGCTAACGAAGATAAATGGTGCTTTTACCTACATGAACCTTTCCATCAATCATAACGAAAACTTTCAGCCCTATTTTAGATTTTACACATGAGCACATTATTAGCTATTCTATTATACTTTAACGAGTTTATCTACAGCGTACATAAATCGCAGTTCGAAATCGGACATAAAAGATAAATAATTCGTGCAACTCTTTCTACTTCAGGGAGTCTCACTGGCTCTGAAAAAGCCGAGAAGTTGCTTATTAAAAATTTAAAATGAAGTTACTGCTTCAGTCGCGATTCCTATTTTTGCAAACTCGCAATAATTTCCCTAATTCCCGTCGACTTTCGTTGTCGACTTTAATCGAATGGGATAGTACAAGTCTGGATATTTCGTTCGCGCGAAATAAAGCAAAAGTGTATAAAAAAATTCAATTATTTGTTTACGCGCGAGCGGGCGCAGATTCGCCAGTCGAATCGAATGCAAATTTTTCTCGCAACAATTCCGCGACGACGACGTGACGGAAAATTCTTGATTTCCGTCGCGAAAACGCGATCTTGTTTATTGGGCAAGACGTGACCGTGAGCTATTGATTCATTTCGGCGGGAGGTTAATTTATTTATTATTTAAAACGTCGCCCCAGATATTATACCTGCTGGAATAGTTTGTTTTAGTTAATTTGTTGGATATTATTATTATTAGCCGGATACGTTTATTTGAAATTCAGATATGCTGTAAAGTTGGGCAGTAAATTCATAGTAAATTTATAGTTTGCTTTAGTTAATTTACTCCAGAATATTAGCCGTAAATATCTAGGGAATGTTTGTAAATTTTTTGAATAATTTGAACAATGAATCTACTTGAATCTACTCTGAATCGACTCTGCTCTGAATCTACTAATTTTGTACTCTCAAAGGGTCGTAACTTAAGGGTTGCACTCTACTCTATATACTTGCTGTATTTTTTATTACCCATAGATTTTCATTTGCAAGTATTATTATTCCCTCTATATCCAGTTTAATCATGAAATTTTAGGTACCTGTCTACCTGTGAGGATTAGTTAAATCCTACTAATCTTATGCTCAGACGGAATATGCCACTTATATAGAAATCCTCCTCGAGTTTAGTTTTGAATAAATTCAAACTTTTAGTACACCCATCCCGATTCTCTATTTAGTTTGCAAGTTTATTTTCGCTATCTATAACTCGTAAAACATTTCTGAACGAATTTTCAGAAAAATATTTCATACAGAACCTGATGCTTGCGCGTTTTGTAACCTACAGAGCGTTAAGTCCTTTCAATATTCAATTACGATCGTAATCAATCAATTGGCCCCGGATCGGAAAGTTCATAGAAACAACGCCGTATCGGTCCCGATACGCAGCTTTTTAATATGCAATGAGACTTCGATCGCACGTGCGACGGCCCTGTTTACATTCGAAAAACAACCGGACAATCAATCATCGCGGATTAATTCGACGCCTAGTCTTCCGAGCGCACACGCACGGATCATTAATTCCAAAGTTACACCGGCTTGTCTCTAACCCATGATCGATTGGTAATTCATTTTCTTCGTTTATCGCCCCTTTTTCAGCGCTCTCTATTAGAGCGTCTTTCCAGACTCTCGGAAAAATACCGAGCTCCAGCCGGCGCGTTTAATCCCCCAATTTCCTCTAATAAATTGATCCTTATCAAATAATCATTCGTTCCGTCGGAATTACTGTATTAATCATACGGTATTTATATATGGTGTATAAATAATCATTCAAGCGGCTTTATACATGTTTGGGTAACATTGAGAAGTTCCAATTATATATTTGCCTACAGCAATTTAAATATAGAGGGTGGTATTAGTATGTAAAAGTACTTAACAAAAAGTTCTAGATGCTTTTAAAATGCACCCTGTATGTAATAATTCATCAAGCGGCGTTTGAACATGTTTGAGAAACATTAAGAACTTTCTAATTAGATATTTGCCTTGCATTGTAAATATCTATTCGACTGAAGTCTTTGAAGAGTCTTTAGATAAACAATAAGCAAGATTAACCATCTTATTTAGGGCGAGATGTTTTATCGTTTCCATACATCAGCGCTTTTACATGATTACAAGGCTCTTATCGGGAATTACCGGGAGGATTTTTCCGCGTTTGGAATGCCGAGCGAGCGCTCGCTTGTTAAGTCCCCGTCGGCGGTTTTTTTCATCGGAATTTTCAATTTTTTTTCCTCTCCTTCGTTTTCGAGCTCTTTACATTTCAAATGTACGTCCGATCTGAAGCGCTATTCCTTCAGACGAGGAGGAAATGTTTCGGATTTGACGGGCGGGGGCCGCTCGAAAACGGTGCATTGTTTGATTTCCCGCGAGAAACGGTGGTTTTATTTTTTTATCTTAGACGAAACAAGTAACTCGAAATGCGTCGAGGAAAATGGAGGATTTCTGAACACCTCTACAATTGTATTGAATGTGTCCAGGTGATTATCTTACATATTTAAAACTTTTTTATTATTGAGACAAATACCTTATCGAGCAGTTCTACAATTATGTTATGTATTAAACTGATCCTGTAAATCTGCGGGATTGTTTGAGGACTTAAAATAGATTTTTTTTTACATTCGACGATGTGGATATTCGGGGCAAAAAGATTACTCTACCTATACACACACACACGTAGGAGCGGAGAAATTGGACGTTCAAAGGAAATAAGAGATACTCGGGTAACGGAAAAATTGGACGAAATTAATCCCATCGGATACGTTATTGACAATGCGATTTACCCCAACCATATGCTCCGGATAAACGGATCCAATACCTTGCAGATTTTGTTGTCTCGGTTGATAGAACCAAGACGAGACGTTTCGCGAAATGGCCCCGGGCCAGATCGATTGATTTTCGTGGAGAATATAATGGATTTGTCGGCTTAATCGAGAAATAATGGGAAATCTTCAAAAGCCGATTTTAAGAAAGGGAAACTCGAACGTAATTAACGGCAATTTAAAATCGAAGAGGAAAGTTTGGAAATTTGGTTTGGTTGTGTAAGCGTAAGAACTTTATAAGGGCTTAACAGGCGGTTTCTCTTTGCAGTAGACAGTTTAACAATATAGCAGTTACTACAATCCTGATGTATGTATTTTTTGGTAAATATCTGACGTAAATCAACTCAAATAAGTTCAATTGTGTGCAAAAGACACATTGATGGAGAATTCATAAATTAACATCCTTAGACATCGAGTTTCATTGCCAATTTAATGCTCTAATAATTTTCTCCCGAACCTGTTTTGATTTATTATTGCACGTCAATCAATCGAAAATACGAAAACCTTCAATGTTCCTTGTTAAAGCGATTTTAAAGGCTTCGTTGGAACTAATAGAAAAGCGAACTATCCAATTATGAGTAATTAATTCATCATGCTTTTAACAATCAGCGTCGAAAACTTAAATTCCCGAGAATTTGATGGTGCTCTTATTGTTTTCGTCAGCAGTAAATAATGAACTATTCAATAGTTATAAAAAGAGTGATACGTAAATTGGCGTAGATACAGCGAAAATGCAGCAGAACGTAAAATAATATTAATTGTTCGATGGGAGAACACCATCCACTTTAAAACTTGGTAATTACTTCCGTGGGTTAATTACTCTTCGCCAAGTTCTCCAAGTAACAGTCCTTTCAATATTAGTTTTCTAATTAACTGATATCGTGCAAGTTCTTTTCTCTACGATAATGAGTTAGCTTTTAGCAGATAAACAACGAAATTCGCTAGGCGAGTTTCTCGAGTCTATTTTAAAGGAGTCGCTCCCAAGGGCATTAATAGGGATTTATGGTTAATGTATAAAAAAGCAATTAGAAATTTTATCAATTAGACATAGAACGTTGGCAAAATATTCGAAACGAATAGAGCTCGAATTTTTGAAAGAAATATACGAGTAGGAACTTTTAGTATTACCTTGTTGACATTACAGTTAATACTGTTACCAATCACTTTTTGATTTAACAGTATTAAAAGTGCTACAACCGATTTAGTGCTTTTATAAAGCGGGCATGTGCTTGATCCTTGCCAGTCCTCGTTCTAACTTCAATTATTATTTTTTTTTTCAGGCTGTGATTTTCGATGAAATCGAACTCACCGACCTGTGCCTAGCCGAGTGTTCAACAAAAAACATCAATCACAGTTTTCAGGTGAGCAGCCGAATCTCTCAGAAAAAAATTTAATCAAAACTCGACAATGGCAGGAAAATTATTTACGCGTCTGTATAAACTTGTTCGAAAAAAACCTGCTCCGGTAGCAAATTACTGCTGTAAGCGACGCGATGTGTGTTTATCATCGTCAGGCGACTAGACGAGAAAATTATTTCGTTATTTTCCACAACGTCTCACGTTTTTGCCTCTCGCTTTATAGTTTTTCATATGCTGTGCGACAATTCAAAAACTTATACATATGTCTCATGAACTAGATGTTTCCGAGTTTGAGTTTGCCTCGGGATTCATGACAAAATCACTATTTTTAGATATGTGGTTAAGATAGATTAAATTTCTTAACTTTTTCTGGTGAACAGGTGAATTTATCGTTTATTTCTCAGGTGATAACCCCTTTCCGATCATTGGTGCTTTGCTGCGAATCCAGAAGGGAAATGGAAGAGTGGCTTGGCGCGCTCACTGCCGCTTCCCAGCGCCTATACCACGAACCGGAACAGCCGGATTGCCTTTCAGGACAACACCACTGGTATGTATTACCGGAATTACCCATTGAAAAAACCGTGCTAATTTATGCATGGCATGTCCATAATTTACAACATTCCTCTATTATTCCGTGCGGTTCGCATTCGCATTGCATATCTCGAAATTATATGCAATATTCAATTTTTCAAACGTCCATTGCACATTGCGGTAACCTGATAATTATTGCTATAATAACTATTATATTATCGGGCCGGTGGGAGAATATCGCGCGATTTTTTCGGTCCGCAAAATAACCCGAATTTTCGCGAATCGCGGGATTAATCGAAACTGGGAAACCGGAAAATGCGCCATTCGCATTATTCCGATGATTAAGCGCGTTTAAATGGAAATTTTCAAATTGAATAGGTACGTCATTGTCGAATTACAAAATGAATTCGAATTTTACCTGCAACGCACTTTTCATTTCGACGTTGACGTATCGATATTCGTAATCACTGTTAAATTGCATTCCATATTATAATCTAATCAATTTCCATACACCCCCACATATATCACGAATTTGGTCAAAAGTTTACTAGATTATCAACTTATTGGAATTAATTCGTTATACCTACATGCGCATAAAATATAGTTTTGCAGTATTTTTATATTGGCATGCGACCGTGTTTGAACAAAACTTTTCAATTATTCCATTAATTGGATTACCGTGAGAGCTTTTCCCGCTACCCTGTGTTTACAGCGAATCAATTAGAGCTGTATAATAAACAACATCATTATACGTAGCTATACATATCTTGATTTGAGAGCGTATTGGTCATGCAATGTTCGAATTAACAGAATTATCACCCCTTTTTTCTAGTACTCTTTTGTACGGCTCAATTATATAAGATCACGAACACCCAATGATAGTATCATTATCATTAAGGAATAATGTATTGTTTTATTCAATTGTTTACACTCATTTTATCGTTTTTGGAAGTGTATAAAGACTCAAATATACGCCTTTTTTAGTACCTTTAACTATTTCATACTCAGTTAATTTGCCCCATTTATTGGCGACCTCCTACTTGGTACCTACTTTTGGAGCTTTATATGGTAAAGACCGGATGAATTATTGTTGCAGGTATGCGACGTCTCACGCCAGACCGACGTACTGCAACGTGTGCAGGGAGGCGCTGAGCGGCGTCACCAGCCACGGGCTCTCCTGCGAGGTGTGCAAGAGCAAGGTGCACAAGCGATGCGCCGCGAAGGCCATCACCAACTGCAAATGGACCACGCTGGCCTCCGTCGGAAAGGACATCGTGGAGAATTTCGACGGGGTAAGTCGGTAGAACTCCCTGCAAAAGTACCGCGGGTCCCTCTCGCGGGAGTCCGGTGAATTACGGTGAACTTTCGGAGCCCGTTATTTCCAGACGGGAAGTTCTTTCGAGCCGGGGAATTTTATTGGACTTGTTGTAGAAGTAACAATCCCGTATGCGATCTTGGTGTAATAAATTGTAACGACAGAGGGATGGTGGACGGTCGACGTGCCGTGGGGAGGTTTTGTAAATTCGACGCTGTGTGTATGAAGGAAGCGGAAAAGTTCGGCGATATTTCTCTTCGAGTAGCCGGAAAGGTCGCGTTGAAATGAACGCGTGCTGGAGAAATTACAGCCGTGATATCTGTCTCTTGACGGGTTATCAGATAATGGGGGAATTAACAAAATCGTCACGTGTTCAGATAATAAAAGGGGCATATGGGATTGTCCTCTTCAAATAAATAATATTGTTCAGTAACATATTGTGGAAAATTTGTTATTTGTTGGTTGGATAAACAAAATAATGGCGATAATTACTCGTATATATCAAATGTGAAATATTTTGTAATTACCTTTTATTCAACAGCTTCAAATTTATTATGCTTTCCATGTACCTGCAATATTTAAATATTTAATGCACGGGTTTTCAGGAGTTCCTGGAACACTTAACGCAGGGCAGCACGAATTGCTGAATTTGATCCATAAATATAAAAGCTTATGTTTCCAAATTTATGCAGGATGTCCCAAAAAGTAGTTAATTATATCTGGCACTTTTTAAGTGCCAGGCACTTTTTAAGTGCCATTAAGTGTATTATAATTTGAAATAAATTTTTTAGACCATCCTGTATAATTAACTGTACATTTCAGAACTTTTTAAATGTATTTTATTTTATTACAGACAATAACAATGCCTCACCAGTGGATGGAAGGGAATTTGCCCGTTTCGGCGAAATGCGCTGTTTGTGATAAAAACTGTGGTTCTGTTCTTAGGTGAGTTTTCTCCCTTTCATTCTACGAACAACAAAGTTAATTTTTGAATAATTAATTAGGCAATTAATTCGCCCATTAAGTTCTTCTCCCCCGACGTTTTCATTGCGTATATATTTACATTTTTTAATTTCGAAACAGCGCGCAAAAAGTTGGACGGACATTTTACTCGCTCGGGGGAATATTATTTCAACTTTTTTATGGGGTAATTTAATGCTCTTCGAAAATTGATATTAATTTTAATCGTTTCCTCGTATATTCCCTTAATGAAAATCGATCCGAGGACAGTTTGTTAGGAAAACATCTAGGGTAACTATATAGAAATAAAATGCAATTTACCATTAGCCTTTTTTTTAAAGCTGAATAAGCCTTATAAGGTTTTTTTCCGACATTTTCACATTTTTTATATGAATTGTTTATGCATGAAATTCCATTTTATTAAAAGTTAATATTTTCATAATTTTAATACTTTTTCTTTCACGATTTCTGATGGTTAATTCAGGGTATTCAAATAATTGCGAACGTTTGCAAATGAATGATGGTTTTATTCAAGTATTTTTTCAATTTCCGAACTGTCCGCAAAAAATCAGACTCGCTCGGAGGAATGAATTGTTTTATGAAGTATTCGGAGCTGCTGGGAAATTATAATATCAAAATTAATCGGTTTTTCGTATATTCGCTTAATGAAAATCGGCCCGAAGGCCAGTTCGTTAGACAAAAACATCGAGTGTTACTAGCACCTGTTCTTGTAAGAAATTTTTTACATGCGGAAAATATTCGTTTTCACGGCTAAAGCGGATATTTTCTCCGTTGAAAAAACGGCTCGACTTTTAGCTTCTATCGGAATTTCAAATTAAAAACGACGATTTTTCGAAAAATAATGCTCTTATCTCGAAAGAATTAATTAGCCAATTTCGACCAGCGGAACATTATCCCTCGAAGAAAGAACGAACAAAGCCTGTCGTTTATTAACGGTATCGTTAATAACGCCGGTTTACGTTACCCGAACAGGGACGGATTCGCCCTTTTCCCGAAGGACTACGCGAATTAATTTCTACCCATCTTGAGAGATTAATTAATTAATACTACCGTCGCTCCTCACTAAATCACCGAGGATGAACCGATTACTCGAACTGAATGCGATTAGGAATGAAACGTATTACAGGCAATCCGGGAATTCAGATTTCAACCGGTTGATTTTGCAAATTATCCCCGGAAAATAAAAGTATCTATCAGAAAATTGAATCGGAGATTAACCGGCAAAATGCTGATAATATACAGAGTCTTCATAAATGATTGACTCCCACGTGACCTAAAAATTTATGCAACCCAAAGTGGCCAAATTATTGTTATAATATAACATTAATTTGAGGTTATGTTGATACACAGTTTTCTTCGGGAAAAGCACAGGAAAAACTAAGAAAAATAAACAAAACGTTATTTCTATCGAGATTTCATCGAGTTGACGTTGACTTGACATTAATGACAGTATTCTAGTAACTTATTGGATACCAACATAAACATAACAAATTTACCAAGTTCATTTCGAATTCGGTATAGATGGGGTTTGTTTTGAATGTTTTATTCCTTGCAGGTTACAAGACTGGCGATGCCTGTGGTGCAGGGCGACGGTGCACACGCAGTGCAGGCCCCACATCCAGACGCGGTGCCCGCTGGGGCCGGCTCGGGTCAGCGTCGTGCCGCCCACGGCGCTGCACTCGATCCAGGATGAAGCCTGGGAGGCGGTGCGGCCGCAGGCTTCCTCCCCCCTTTTGGTGTTTGTTAATTCTAAGTCAGGTAAGCGGGAAAACTGATGAAACTGTTTACAAAATTTTAGGGTACCAACAATAGGTTACAGTCTGACTGAAAATAGAGGTAAAACATTGCATGTTGCTGCGCTATTTTTTTACAATTTCCTTCTGCTATATTTTTTATTTTTATATCCTTATTAGCTAATGTTATTTACATTCTTCAAAAATACACCCACAACATATAATAAATTGCAAGTTTATGAAATATAGTTTCAAAATGTGACGAATTATATATTTCAAAATTCCTGTAATGGATAAAATCTTACAAATTTGGCAACGGTGTACTACCGCTCGTAGTAAAATTTGTAGAAGATTTCAACTAAAGAGAGATTAGAGAACAGTATCTATCCCACTTTCCCAGCGAATAATAGCAAATAGCGGGAAACCGGGAAGCAGTTGTCACTGTTTTTTCAATACAATATCAACAAAATTTTCATACGTATTATTAAATAATGTTATATTTTTACCATAACAATTCTTAACATATTTAAATTCTTATTTAAAATATATTTGCCTACGCTCTGCAAGGCGCCTGATTGCATCCGCCATGTTACCTCTATTTTTTTATCTTACTTCTTTTCCCTCGTTTACTTAACAAGTGACAATAATTTTCAATGTTGGCGTCAAAAATTTTTGAATTTAGAACACGGTCCTATATTTCTAAGGTCTGGAAACATAGGTCGAAAAAGTGCCCCGTTATTTGAGGATAAAACAGGGTTCCTAAAACGGCCGCTAGGAGACGATATTGTAAAGGACCACGGTTTTTTGCGGACGAATTATATAGAATTGGCATTAAGAAAGGTTATATTCAAACTAAAAATAGATACAAATTATAAAAATATACTGAAATCAGCGATGATTTTGTTGTTAACATCATGCCTCACGTATCTTCGGTTAATGTATTTCTCCATTTTCCCCTCGAAATGTCAAATAATAATTTTTGAAGTTTTGACAGCTTGAACTGTCGTTTCACACAACCGCGATTTATATGTAGCGCGACGCTGATTGGCTGAGATAAATTGGTCCTCCGATCGTTCGCCACAGTGCGGCGCAAAAGTGAAGCTCAAAAAGTCCTCAAATAACGGGACACATTCTGTAATGAATAAGCATAAGGAGATTCCAGACCTTAGAAATATAGAGCCGTGATTTAGAATGACTGGTTGGGGATGCGATATACATTATTGCGCGGTTTTTTTGGCAGGTGATAATCAAGGCGTCAAATTCCTGCGAAAGTTCAAGCAGCTACTGAACCCCGCGCAGGTGTTCGACTTGATCTCGACGGGGCCCCGCTTGGGGCTGAAGCTCTTTCGACACTTCGATCCATTCCGAATTTTAGTTTGTAGCGGGGACGGCTCTGTCGGCTGGGTCCTTTCCGAAATCGATAAATTAGATATGCACGTAAGTATGCGAAGTATGCCGCCGGCGCTAATGAATTCCGCATAAAATCGTTTCAGAGCTTTTATGCTAATAATTTTTAATGTTACGTTCGGATAGTTCTATTTTCGAATCCGATATGTAGTGTTCGGTCGCGCGATAAACAGGTATTCAAAAATTTAAAAGCCGCTTTTATATAGACCGATTTTATTTCGTTACTCAAATGGCAGACATTTATTTAAATAAGCTGCATTAATATAATAATTTCGAACATTCCTATAAACAATTTCAAATTATAGTTAACTATTCATTATTCATAGAATCGATAAGCAATACCCTAAAAAATTCCGAAGTACTAAATGAAAATTTCTTCCATTACAATCGAACTCTCTGTTCTTTGATGAAACATTTTAGCAATACGAGGGAAATGACCAAAATATGGCTGATCAACATTAAGTGGACCCTTTTATAGTACCACTTTCATTTAGCGCGCTAATTGTGGATAATTGTATACCTACTTTGCAGGATTCCTGCAGGAACAATGCACCGCTTTCGCCTGCATTAAGCACATACAAGTGTTTCCAATTAGTTTGAAAACCGCAAATCCGGAACATCGAATTTATAGTCGCGCAAATCGTTTTCATCGTATTTAAATCTGTATTGATTTTGTTAAGAAAGTAATTTGGAATCGATTCGCGCCGTTGATTGATTCAGTTTGTATGCGACTTAAAAATAACAAATCTGAACCGAAAATGATTTCGGGCCTGATTGATTAATTAGAAATCCATCCGTTAACTAAGCTAAATTCAATTTATTTTATGTCTCAATAATTATGTATTTTAAATTGCTTTAAATTATTGATTCAAATCTGCTCCTGCTTGTAACAAAATCTGTTAGAATCATTTGGGCCGCTCTCTATTACAAAGAGTAATTCGATATTGCTTATGAAAATTCAAATTGAGTCGACATTTAAGTACCTACAGGCTAAAAATACACCTACTTAGTATGAAGAAGTCTATTTCATAACAGAATATCGATTTATTATTAGGTAGATAGAATGTAGTATAAACAGGAATATTAAATTTTAGATAAATCCCTTACTAATAAACTTTGAAACCTGATTTTTTGATTGCCTCTTGTGTCGGAGGGACGCAAAGCCTGACGACTGAAGAGCTAACAAATCTGCTTCATAATCCCGATATTAATCCAATTTTCGCCATTCAACGTTATTAATCCGAGTTTGCGGACACTCCCTCCGTAATTTAGCCGGATATTTCCGGAGAAACCTAGCTTTTCCAACGTCTAAATCATCACAACTTTTCTCGACAAGTTCTCCATAAATATCAAACATTGTATTATTCGGTTTTAATATTATTTTTATTAGGCCTATTTCCTTGTTTACGAGATTTTTTATGGTTCAATAAACAAATTTACGCTTGCCTATAGGTAACTATTGTGTCACGGAGGCGAAGGGGTTTATCAGGCGGAGCTCATTGAACCAATAAACCGATTTATCGCGTTAGTGAATAGGGCAGCATTAACAATGTTAAATCGATAATGGCGAAATTCGGGAAGACGAAACTGTGCCCGACAATGGCAATCTAACTTTCAAACGGAAGATGACAGAGAATAGATAGGCAGTTCCGCTACAGGGTGTTCGATCGGTTAATGAACGCCCTTTAACCAGTGAATTAACCTAATAACCCATACACAAAGGGTTCTTTTATAATCAATTTACAAGGTGTTATATTGCTCATATTTCAAGTAATAAATTTTTACAGAAACAGTGCCAAGTAGCAGTATTACCTTTAGGAACTGGGAACGATTTAGCAAGAGTACTGGGCTGGGGATCTTCCTGCGACGACGACACCCACTTGCCGCAGCTGCTCGAGAAATACGAAAAAGCCAGTACGAAAATGTTAGATAGGTAAAGGAAATTCTAACTCTAAGCGAACTTCGGATGTTAACCCACTTTTTAACTAAATCGCCGCTTCCACTCGAGTACTCAAGTCGCGTGAATTTTCCAGATGGAGCATAATGGCTTTCGAACGGACAATCGCCATGCCGAAATTATCGCTGACCCCAGGACTGCACGACGGTCAATTACACACTCAAATAAGCCAATACGAGGACTCGCTGGTCAATCACCTGCAAAACATTCTCCAATCCGACGAGACTTCCGTCATCCTGAATTCCGCCAAACGTCTATGCGAAACAGTCAAAGATTTCGCTACGCAATTGATGGAGAGTTCCCTTACACAAGGTGAATAGAGTATAACGCAAAAATATCATAGAACAAATTCGTGAATAGGTTCATGAATGGGTCCAGATAAGAGTAAATCCATAACGCGATAGATTTGTTGCCCCGTAATTGGGATTCTAGGTCAATGATAGGTTTATGATAAGGCTATGATAGGCCCTTGATTAGGCTATAGGTCCTTGACAGATCTGTGATAGGTTTAAAATAGACTCTTGATTGGTCTCCAGATCCAGATAAGTCTAGGTTTATGATTGATGTCTAGGTCTCTGATTGGTCTCTGATAGGTCTAAGGTAGAGCCTTGATAGGTCCCTGATAGGTCCATGATAGGTCTATTAAAGGTATATGATAGGTCTGTGATAGGTCTGTGATAAGTCCCTGGATAGAACCTTGATTGGTCTCTAGGTCCATGATAGGTCTCTGTAGGCCATTTAGAGGTTTATGACAAGTCTAGAGGTATATGATAGGTCTTATAATCCAATTTAGATCCATTGGTGCGTGATAAAAACGAAGTCATTCAGAGGTCTTTGGCAATGATTTTAGGTGACGAGCAGCTAGCCAAAAAGTGTGATATTTTGCAACAGAAATTAGAATTACTATTGAAAACGCTGACGAGCGAGCAAATCGACGCGACCACCATCACCCAGCAGCAGTCCTTCGACGAGCCGGAGGGTCCCCGGCCCGGCATGGTGACCAGCACCAGCAAAAGCACCGAAGACACCGACAGCGAAATCTCCTTCGACAAAATGCGAACCGACAAAGTCGAAAAGGACCTCAGCAACTTCAATTTCAGGAAACACCGAAGGACGTCGAGGTGCGTTTGAAATTTTAAATCGACTCGCAAATCTTTCTTCTGACAATTCGCGTCCGACGTAGGTTCATGGAGCGAGAGAAAGACGCCCTGATCCACAGGGCCAACAGCCTGAAGAGGGCCATTCGAAACCTGGTCGAGCACACCGAGCAGGTGGTCGACGAGCAAAACAGACAATCATCCTTAGCAATACCAGCCGTCAAGATATCTCTGAGCAGCGATTTGGATAAAGTGGAATCGCCCGGACCGACGACCAAGAGAGACTCCCTGAAACCGATGCCTACTATAGAGTCGGGCGGTAGCACCGACATCAGCTCGTGCCCTTCCCCGACGGGGTAAATTACTCCCCGATTGGAGTTTGTATCGACGTTAACATCGCTTAATTTCAGCTCTATTATCACGACAAGACTGGTGAATATATCCCCGTTGCCGGACGTCAGGCGCGATTCCACCTTCGGAGCCGAAGAGAGCGATTTACTCACCCTACCGGTACCGGAAGGTTTCGCCGACAGCCGCAGGGCGAGCCAAGTGCAACAGCAAAAGTAAGTATAACCACCGAGCGGTTCTTTGCGGCGCCTCTCCGCTTTTAATTAACTAGGTTTATCGTGGTTAGCGCGGAGGCGAGCACCGAAAGAACCCTCGCCGAGACGGCGACGTCGCTGATGAAGCTGGAAATGGAGCAGAACACCATAAAGGAAGAGACCGAAAAGGAGATATCGCCGCCGGCCAGCAAGCGGCCCGACGAGCCGGGCGATAAGGGCGCGTGCGCCGACGACGACAAGGAATGCAGCAGCATCCTGTCGGTGCTGTCGAACGAAGAAGTAAGCATTACGTCCGAAATCCTCGATCAAAAGTCGTTCGTGCCGCGCAAAGACAGCGACGGCGAGGATTTGAACGGGCACATATGCCACATAGACTCCCCCGAAACTGACACTTACCAGTCCACATCGGACGTCATCCATGGTGAGTCTTTAATGGATGATATTAGTTCCATGTTAGGTGAAGTGTATGGATACGGTCTGGATAGTGTTGACAATACTTACACTGACGACACGACGTTGTTTCCGAGCGATATAGGTAAGGAGGAGGTGCGAAATGAACGTTTTATTCGGAGGCATGATATTGCATACGTACGCGCGCAATGACGGTTTTTCAAACAGTCCACCAGTACATTCAGTTTCATATTCACTTAACAATTCATATTCAGCTTATTTGTACATTCAGTTTCGTATTACTTAACAATATAAGCTCAGCTTCTTTATAGTTTATAGAATGATTGGAACTTGTTTGAAAAATTGGTCATATTTAATATTTTTTTTTTGTATATTAACCATTATTTGGAAAATAGGCTTCCGAATATGACGAACTTTAAACCTTTACCGCTCCCCAATAACGCCATGCCATTGAGTGATCGTTTTTGTTATATTCGTCGCCTTTCAATGCAGAGAAAGAAACGGGAAATTTTAACAAACTTAAAAAAATTATTGTTTCTAATATACTCACTCTACGTGAATATAGGGTGGCACCAAAAACATGCAGAGGTGTGTTTTCTAAGTATGCTGAGGTTGAAGAAATTGATTTTTTCTGTTCGAAAACAAGTCTGTTTCCTTTTCAATGAGCCACCATATATGAACACTTTACTTATTTAATTTGATTCAAAGAGTACTCTAACGAATTAATTTCTATTAAAATTTAAAATAATCTACTCCCGTTTCATTCATGTGCTTGATATTTAATCAATTGTAAATTTGTTATTGTTGGTAGAATTCAATTTTTTTGCTATACAATTTTTGAATAAATGCTAAATTTAATATTTAAAAAAAAATAGATGAGAATGTTCAAATATCGAATGAGTACAAAATATGTACAAACATACGTACTGTACATACATAGATAGTAATTTTGCGTTGTTTTTTTTTGTAATTAATCAACTATGAAATTAACTGTAAATATGTAAAAAGTTTATTATTTTGCAGTTGTTTTTTAGCATTTTTCAGTATACTATTAGTTACATATTTTCAGTATCTTATTAATTTTAAATCATCACTACTTAAAACGCTTATAGTCTTTCTCTTGTGATACAAAAATTAGTTACGATGGAAAATTGAGTTTGCAGTCTTAAGCACCCTTTAAAAGTGGTTGTTGAAAATTGTTTACAAATTTCGTAGTTTTCCAGTTCCTTGAAACTTGCTTCACAATACAAATAATCGAGAACCTCTCTTAAAACTCCAAAATACATAACTTGCGTAGAAACTTCATCTAAACTTCTTTTTGTAGGGAATACTTTGAACTAATTTTCGAGGTATATCGATCATTATTACTAAAGAAAATATTTTTATTTACCAATTCAACTTAGGAAAGACTATACGAACATTAAAATTTTATATTGCATGTAAATTTCAGTTTTAAAAGGGGATATTATTAACGAAATTCACATCATTCGAGTTTATAATTAAAATATCGATATCCCCTCAATTATTTGGTACTAAAAATAGAAATATCAACCGAATAAAGTCAATTTATTTCATGCCTGCTCACTTTATTTTTAGTATCAAATAAAACTGAATTCGATTATAATATCGCAAAAATAATGCAAACATAAAATTCACCCGAAACTGTAAAATTATTTATGCGATGCATTCTGTAAATTAGAGCGACACTTTTCAGTTTATTTAGCACGCTCGATTGCTCCTTAATTTCGATCCGTTAACCCTACACGGCTATGCCTTCGATTTCAGAGCGAAAGATGAGCCTCAAAAAGGACTCGTTGGAGCGCAAGCTCTCCGAAAAGAAGCGCCGCACATCCAGGGCTAAAATAGAGCCGGTTTTGAACGTCGAAGAGGTCACGGAATGCGGATTCGAAAACACGGCCTTCCAGCATATAATGGACAATAAATTGGAGACGGAGCAGCGTTATTGCAGTTTGGCCGAATTTGTAGAAGGTAAGCATTGTATTGTTTTATTATTCATTATGATACTCCGTTCGCTATCAGGAGATAGCCATGAAACCCAATTTTGTATGCAAAAGACAGCACGAGTGACTCAACGAAAAAAATCCTGTAAAAAAACAATAGGCGACCCTCAGATAAGTTCTAATCTAAGGTAAAGTGACCAGAACTTTTGAGACATTAAATAGAAACTTAAAGGATAAAATAAAATCAAAAATTAGTTAATAGTGCTTTACTGTTTCACGAAAGTTTGATTACTATAATCTCCTGATGGCGAACGGAGTATAGTATAATCAATATTGAGAAATAAAATTGGCCTTTGAACGCAAAATCAAAAAAAATGTAATGAAATTGTCTGGGAATCCCCCACGAAAATTCGACTCAACTAACTCAAAAATCAACTAGTGCACGAACAAGTGGCAAGCAATAGATTTAAATACGTCTTTTTGTCGCACAATATACTAATGGTATTTTTCACTTTGAAGTTAAAGAATGCTTTTTAGGCAACGATATAGCGAGAAGGTCGTTCAAGCGACACCGACCAACGAAAACCACGAAAACCGAAGCGAACGTGACTAGACAGACCACATTGGTGGAAGAGGCGGATTTGCTGAATCCGAGCACCAAAGGTAGCCAGACTAGTCTCAATAAATTGCAAAAGGAACTGTCTAATATATCCCTATCGAACGACGACAAAGATAAAGACCAAGACGAAGGCGTAAGTAACGAAATTAACGAGCATGTGTAAGCATAATACGATAGTAGGAAGATTAGATTTAATACAGAATTAAATTTGTCGAGATGTAATAAACATACGATTAGATATATTCGATAATATCTCACGCATGCTCTCCCAAGCCGACATAGCTAGCGCGAAAAACCATAATCCGTACTCTCCGTCTATTCCAGTGTAAATTCCCCCAAGTAAGCGTAATAGTAGAACCCCCGTCTCCCGTCCTCACCGAGCAGATGCGCTCCGAACGCCTGGAGCACATCCGCGTAGAAATCGAAGGCGATATCGATCATGACTTGGAGCTGCTATGTTCAAAGGACCGCGACCGGCTCAGCGACAAAAGCAACGCCAGCAACAACAGCTCCAGCTCCAATCTGCTCGGCATCAGCCAGGAGGCGTTCCTGACGCGCTCGCCGGCCGCCACCAGGCGCATATCCTGCTGCAGCATGCTGAACCCCGCCGAAGCGGCCGCGCTCGCCGCCGCCGCCGCCACCAGCAAATTTTACGAGGCCGCCGCCGAGAAGAAGGACCCCGATAAAAAAGATAAGGATAAGGACGAAAAAGATAACAGGAAATTGCCCATTATTAATCCGTTGGTTAGGCTGCCTACCTGGCCCAGTAAGTATACTGTTCTTTCAGCTTTGATCTGCTTCTAAAAAGATATTGGGTTTTCCTAAAATGTACTGTAGATTTTGTTTAAGCAGTTGTTAATAATAGTCGGAAATTCTATTTATAAATTAGGTTGTTTCCAATCGCTATATCGTCCTTTCTGTTATAACCTTAGGCACCTCTCTTCTCTATACCATTACCTACCTCCTGTAGAACTCTACTTAACACCGCCCTTATCTTCTACCTGGGCTAATCATCGAAAAATTTGGCGTTTCAGACGTGAGCACGGGCGGCGGATTCATCAGTAAATGCCTACTGGCCAACGCTGATACTCTCTGCGCGGCCGTCAGTCCTCTAATAGACCCCGACGAGACGCTGTCGGAGGGTTTCTACGAGCGCTGCGTGATGAACAACTACTTCGGCATCGGCATCGACGCCAAGATATCGCTGGATTTCCACCACAAGCGGGAGGAACACCCGGAGAAGTGCCGGTCGCGGGCGAAGAACTACATGTGGTACGGCGTGCTGGGCAGCAAGCAGTGGCTGCAGAAGACCTACAAGAACTTGGAGCAGCGGGTGCAGTTGGAGTGCGACGGCCAGCGGATTCCGTTGCCCAGTTTGCAGGGCATTGTGATATTGAACATTCCGAGGTAAATTACATCGGTTTGCAGTAGTAGATTGGTGGAGTTAACGGCTGATGCGTTTTAGTTTTATGGGTGGAATAAATTTTTGGGGTACAACCAAAGAGGGTGATATATTTCTGGCGCCTTCCTTCGACGATAAGATCCTTGAAGTAGTTGCTGTCTTTGGATCGGTCCAAATGGCGGCGTCTAGATTGATCAATCTTCAACACCATCGAATAGCGCAATGCCAGAGCATTCAAATAAACATTTTGGGTAAGTTAATACATCTTTCTCCAAACTACAACTCTAATCGCTTGTTTATCGCAAACAGGAGAAGAAGGAGTGCCGATCCAAGTGGACGGAGAAGCCTGGATCCAACCGCCGGGCATCATCCGCATCATCCACAAGAACCGCATGCAAATGCTCTGCAGAAATCGATCGTTGGAGAATTCGCTGAAATCGTGGGAGGAGAAGCAACGGCAGAGCATCTCGGCGCAGGGCGCCAAGCCACGAGCTTCGATCTCCCACGACAAGGGCCGCTCGAGCCTGACGCGACAGAGCATGCCCTCGCACGAGAAATCCTTCCTCGGCGTGAACATCGAGAAGATCCGCCAGCACTCCTTCAGCGGCGCCGTGCCCACCCATCACCACGTCGAAAAGGAGAAGCTCACCGTCACGTTCGTCGACAAGCCGATCGAGCGACCGGCCGAGCCCGACGTGCTCTTCACCGACGAGGAACGCCATTTGCTGATCAACTTCATCGAATGCGTCACCACCCTTACCAAGTGGATTAAAATGTTAGCAATAAGTTATAATTTAGAGGTGAGTACTACACTCTTTCGACGTATCTAGTACTGATTTACCTCGCTTTTGAAGGTCGATCTCTATGCGCTGGCCAACAACGTGGACGGTTGTTTGGAACAAATCCACCCCAACGGGAAATTGCTGGAGGGGTCGCAGCTGCGCGACGAGTTCACCAAGCTGGTGCAAGCGGTGAAGCACCTCTACGAGGAGAGCTGCTGCCTGTTGCACGACAGAGGCGACAAGCTCAAGCTGCGCGAGGACTTGGAGAGCAAACTCAGCGCCACTCTGGCCAATACCGAGCTCGAATTGAGGAAGTGCGTCATGTACGAAACTCCGGCGGGTAGCTTGGTCTACTTGCAAGCCCTTCAAGGAGACCAGGTAAAATCTAACGAGATGCACAACGGATTTGTGTGTGAGCAATAACTCGGTGGAAAATCACTAATTCTCGTTTTGCAGGCGCACAAACGCAAAGGCCTGTTTTGGCTGAAGTTCCGGGCCAAGGGCTCGGCGTCCTCGCAACAGCAGAGTTCGCAGAAGCGCGAGGTGGCCTCGTGGGGCACCCAGGAGGTGGCCACTTGGCTGGAGACCCTCCAGCTGTCCGAGTACGTGGAGAGCTTCGAGAAGAACGACATCCGCGGTCGCGAGCTGCTGACGCTCGCCCGCAGGGACCTCAAAGACCTCGGGGTCACGAAGGTGGGCCACGTGAAGAGAATACTGCAAGCCATCAAGGATTTGACGCAAGGTTTATAAGCTGTGTAGGATGTAATGTTAACGGTAACTTTTAGTATTTTATCCGGATCTCAGTTCGATGGGGCAATGGTTTTTTCTTTTAATAGAACACATATCGCGGTATTCGTTCGATTACCTACCTGAATAATCATACAAAAGCAATATTAAGAGGTGCGGTTACTTAAACAAGTGAATATATAAATAGTACGTTTGCACAATAGAAATCTTAAAAGAAATAAGCATTGCGCTCTACCCTCTTTAAATATACCTGCATGAATGTACTGATATTGTAAGTTATGTAAACATGTACGACTTACTGTGATTCTCCAAAAAAAACTTAGAGTTAAAGTATTAGATTTAAGTAGATCTATTATATAAAAATGTTATGAAATACCTCTTCGGACAAAAAGATAAAACCCACTCTATATTTCTTGGAATTGTTGTATTCCCCGACGTTTAAATTGTACATAAACGTTCAAAATTTATAACATGTAAGGATATTAATCTAATTGTTGACCAAAATTACTCATTGCGCGTGGCAATTTCCTTTTTTCGGAAAAACGAGTTTCTTACCGCGAACGGGCACGTAAGAAATTGTGCTTTTCTTTCACAAATTAGAAAAGAAAACAATTAATGACCTATTAACCTATATTCTAAATTAGAAAAGCAATTATCTATCCCTTTAGCAATACCTAGTTTATATCGATTCTTTAGGGAACTGAAATTGGCGCAGGGCATTTATATATAGGATAAAAAATTAAATAAATAGAGTATATAGTTAAAATACGATCGTATTATGCAGGATGTCGTGGCTCAATGGAATTTTAAATAATTTACTGCGTCATTTAAAAACATAACTATTATATGCAATTTGTTATTACTTGTATAACGTAAGCTATTTTTACACAAAAGTTTCTTGAATATACGCAAAATATATTCAATAATATACCGATTCAAACGAGCTGGGACAACCTGCTTAGTTGTTTTTAATTTATTTAAAGCAAAAACGCACTTGTACGTTTAAGCTAGTAGGAATAGTATAACCGTGTAGCTTATAAAGTTTAGAAATCCCTATAAAAGTTGCAATAACCACGTGGGCAAGTATTACCTAAGTAGTTCAATAAATGCCCTGTTGCCAAATGGTAAGCCAATTTTCTTCGATCTTACGAAAGGGTTCGTTAAAAGCCAATATCAACGAAATGTAGCGATAATTGAACAGCATACGAGGGGTGTTGATTGCAAAGCTGAACAATATCTCATAAACGTTACATCGCAATATAACATCGGTTTATTCTAGAATTCTTAAATGCGCATCGATTTCTTTTCTTATAAGTACACTATTTTCTGAGGTAACTGATATTGCACCACTTGCTATTCTGTATTTCTCGTACATCGATTCGAATTTTCGCAATGAATCCGCAGGGATTCTATAATAAACAAATCCTGACACTTGTAATTTTCTCCTCTTGTCGCTTTATTGACACCGGCGAAGAAAATTACTTTGGATATAATATATTCACTTACTGTTTTCTTTGAGGACTGATTTTTACTTTAAGCACACAGAAAGCACGGTTAAATTAGCCATAAAATACAGCCAGAACAAATCCCATTATATTGAAATTTGTATTTTAATGAGAAAAATCAAGATCCAACATTTTCAGAAATATTCAACAAACAATTCCCTATTTTTCTTCTTATGTTGGCTAATTTCACTGGAGTAGAAAGGGATAAAGGGCCCACGTACCGACTGATTTTTGACACAATATTTGGCCACTGTATGTACTATAAAAATAGCAGAACTTGTTGCAATAATAGATTTCAATGTTTTAAGGAAAAAAACAGTTCTCGAATTTGCTTCGCATCAGCGCAGACAATCTATAAAAAATAATTATTATGAATGTAGTAACCCTGTATTAATGTTGTAAGAAGTGTATAGGTTCGTCCGGAATCTTCAACGTTTGTTCCGGACGCCCTGTATAATTTCGAAGTGCATATCTAAATCAATAGAAAATCAACTTTTGAGGAAGTCGATTCATTTGAATTAATCACGAATAAGTTCCGGAGTTTCCGACGCAAAATGTTTAGACCAAATTGTACAGGTTGGACCAAATATGCGTTTTTTATAATAAATATTGCTGCAGGAAAAGGCACAGGGTACTGAAGTCGGAAAGAAGCACAATATATGGAAGGAAAGGACATGTTTTATCCGTTTAAAATTTACTCGTCGATTAATTTGCATTGTGTATTTGTATTTTTTTCTGTTGAATTTTAAAATACACAACTGTACATTTCATTTAATTCAAAGGGACCAACCACACGAACCAAAGGATAACTTATCCCTTAACAGAGGATCCATTATAACTAAATCATTTTTGTCTGCAAATAATAACCAATGATAATTTAATTACTTACGCATTTTTAGTAATAAAAATAATATCTTGTAACAATCGAAGGCGAAAATAGGGAATTGATCAGCAATAATTATGTTTAATTTAATTATCACCGCGTGAGAAATACTTTTTAAAGGGCTTCCTTAAAAGATTATTTTATTTGTTGTAAATGGAGATTTAGCTGTTAGATGTTATGTAGATTAGTTGTATTTATTCAAATAATTATTATTTATTATGACATAAAACTAATAATTTCCGTACTAAAGTAATGTTCTAGCGCTAGATTAAGAATTATTGATACTTTATCTTCGAAATTATTAGCTCTAAATATACAAAGGTGCTTCAAATAGGCGAGTGATAAACCACACAAAAAACTTGTCTGTTTTATCATTTGCTAAAAATATTTTGACACACCTGGTATAGTGTGAGAAGTAGAATATTCTCCAACATCCTAATATTCGAGAAATTCGAAATCCCATTGACAAGTAACTTGTTTTACCCCATTGCCTTCTCATGTCAACCTTACAGATATGAGTTTTGTCTTCGCAGAACCTGCTAGGGCATGTTCTTAAAACTGTGATTCAATTTAACGTGTATTTTAAAAAATAATGTTTTACCCTTTAAGTTGACGCATCTTGTTCCAATATGCATAATAATAACTACAAGCAATGTATTTTATACGACAAAATGATTGAATCTCATTTGAGAATTCTTTTTTTCGACGCGGATCAATGAATGTATTGCTTATTTTTATCGTTGAAAATTGTTTCTAAATTGTTAATGAATGCTAAAAAATTCTAGCAAAAGTTTTAGATTAGTTAATCGCACTTATTTTATTGGATATATGAACACTGATTTGATTAACGGCTTTGCTACAAAATTTCAAACGCTTCTGCATTCACGTAAATATTTGCCAAATTTAGCAATGAAAATAGTATTTCATCATCAAAATTAGTACAACTTGAATAGATTCGAGCAATACAATTTTTATTAGTTTCCCGGCAAAATTCAAATCATTTCGCAATGAAAATTAATAGTTGTTATTAAATTAGAACAAGCACGACAGGCAAACAAACTTGAACTCATTTTCCATCTTCCAATACCACCTAGTTTTCGTGTACTTCCAAATAAAAAAGGTACTTATTTTGCTTGAACGATTTGATGCATAAGAAAACTTACATTATTAACTAGGATTAAGGTTTTTAGTGATATATTCCATAGGTGTAGATAGTATTAATATTTATTTTGATATTTTTATAACCTTTAATAAACTCTTTCTTCTGCCAATAGCCCTTGCCGCGTTATCTGTAAGCATTTCATCAAATACAATCCAAAAAAAAAACAAATATTTTTGAGGAAATCTATTTGCAACAAATCCAATTTACGATAATTCGGCCTTTGATGGTATTTATTACAATCGCGGGAGGGCTATGCGGCGAGGAAGGCGGATTATTGGGTACAGCGAAAGCACTCAAGGAATTTTGAAACCCTCTTTTTTATAAGTTCACTTTATACAAATGTTGTAAATTTCGTTTTAAAAAATGTGTATACCTTCACAAATAAAAAATATATATATTTACCTCACGATCTAGATTTATTTATGCACATTTCTAATCTTTCCAATGTGTTGCGTTTGCCTAATATCGACATCATTTCCGCTACGCTGGGACCTTCCTGAAACGTAAATAAGCATATTAATTGATAATCAACTCCATCATGTACCATTTTAGGTTGTTATAACCTCTAAGTTATCGTCCCGTTTGACTAATCTATAAGCACTCATTCGATTAACATTAACCGTTAAATTAAAGCTCATTTTAATGAGCTATTCAAGCATTACCTTAAGAAAAACAATAATACTCACTTTTAAACCACTCAAAGCATATCTAACAGTCTTCATAAACGAGCCAAAAGGAACATCATGTTTCTTACAAAACTCCTTTAGAATCCCACTTAGCCTGTCATTGTTCAAATCTTCGCTTTCCAAATATCTTACGAATGAAGATATGATTTCGATATTACTTTCTTTAATTTCCATGTTTGAAGGAAGGAACCACACAAATTCCAAATTCTTTGATGTAAGTTCCGATAAAGTGTTTATTCTAGGAATTGCCCATTTTAGTATACTTTTTATATGCTCATCGTCGTATTGTAGGGTGTTGTTTTCTTTTTTTTGTGGATAAGTTTTTATTAAAAGTGTCTTAACATCGCCAACTAAGCGATTCAAATCCTTCGGATCGTTTATTTTCTTCTCCAATTCCAGCTTATTGAACTCGAGTAATCTATCCTGCATAATCTTCCCCGAATGCGAATTTATTTTATCTACATTAAACTAGAAAACAAAAATGGTACTAAAATACAAAAAATTCGGTTAATTTTTGTTACCTGCTCTGTTAATTCTTCCATGCTGTAGCTTTGAGGCTTCAAACCGGTCTGTAAATCTTTGGTAAATCCTCCGCCGGAATGTACTATGAAATTAATTAGAGCTTGAGGAAATATACCACTGTCCTTGTAATGCGTTATTCTAATATCACCCTGCCTTTTACTTAGTTTAGTTCCATCGGAATTCATCAGTAAAGGTAAATGACCAAATGACGGAGGTGTCCAATTAAATGCTCTAAAAATAAAACCATTAATTGTATTGATATATCTTATGAACACATTTTAGACTGGAAAAATGTCATTGATTAGGCCAGTTTTATAAAAATTTAGTTACCTGTACAGTAGTATATGTTTAGTAGTGGATATTTGCCATTCAACCCCCCTCAAAACATGAGAAATATTCATAAAATGATCATCCACTACATTAGCTAAATGATAGGTTGGATAGCCGTCTGTTTTCAGTATGACCGGATCTCCTTCATTCAAAGAAATATTGCAAGTGATTCTTCCATAAATTAAATCATCGAAACTCTCATCTTTATCGCTTATCTGAAAATACGAATTTATATAATTAAGACTAGACGATTTAAGCGCAACATTTACCAACTTTAAATCGTATGCACGAGGGTTTTCCTTGGTCTATTTTATTTCGAACTTCCTCGGGAGTTAAATGCCTGCATCTGTTGTCGTATTTAGGTACTTCTTGTTGTTTTAAAGCTTGTTTCCTTAGCAGGTTCAAACGGCTGTCTGTACAGAAGCATTGATAAGCAGATCCGTTGTTCAATAAAACATTCACTTGATCTCTACAATACCGTAATAATAAACAATGTATTTGAATTCCAACACATACAAAATTGATGAGACTAACTAAAATGAACCATGAATTTAAATTAGCTCATTCGATGAGCAGGCTAGGAAATATTTAAAACGAGATTAATATGTAGATAGATAACCGAAATGAATTACCTGTATATTTGCAGCCTTTGTGATTGTATGTAAGGTCCAAAATTGCCTCCTTCAGTGGGTCCTTCGTCGATTTCTATTCCGGACCAACGTAAATCGTTCTGGAGCTGCTCGATTGCTCCCGGTACTATCCTAGTTTGATCGGTGTCTTCAATTCGTAGAATGAATTTACCATTATGTTTTCTGGCGAAAAAATAATTGTAAAGCGCCGTTCTTAAGCCGCCTAGATGTAAAAAACCTGCAATATTCGTTTAAATTGGATGTAAATAAGATTTAAATTTTATAATTACCTGTCGGACTGGGAGCAAATCTGACCCTCACATTTCGCGTTACGTAGTTTCTTTTGCAGGATTTACAGAAGCTTACGTGCTTGAAGATTACATTTGATTTACAAAATAGCATTTTTCGTAATTAATTTTTGAAACTTACATAGTATTTAATTGTTGGGTTATGTTCATTTTTGACTTTGACGTTTTCAATTCAACGCCATTTGTCACTATAATTACTCACTGTTGCCAACATAAGTTTGGTGTATGAACGAAATTACAATTTGGTGGGAAAATATTTATGGAATAAGAAATTAATCCAGAATTTGTGTACACGATGAATTACTGTGTAGTAATATAAAAGTGTATTTTGTTGGAATAAATTTATAAAAAGCTGGAACACGTGGCCTTATTGGATGTACGCAAATGCTGTTGCTCCACCCTGTACGTCTAGTATATTTCTTGGCTTTGAATTAATTTAATTGTGTTTTGTGTTTGTGTTGGTAGGCTTGTTAATGCAATATTTTTAGGTTATTTTTCATAATTCTGCAAAAGTATAAAAATAATCTTCAAATGGTTTCTTTTTGTTGAAAAACTGGTAGTAAATGCTGTATTTTTCACAATGGTACGTAAAAGTGTGCAAAATTAATGAATTACGTGGTAATATACCCGAATAAATATTTGATACTGGAAATGTCAAAATGATGTTCTCAAAATATCCTAACCAAACTTTAATCGAAAAAATTTCATATTTCTTTTCTAAATTTCAGCATAGACTGAAATCTTCGCAGAGGGAAAAAGTGAAAAAGTTTATATCTTTCACCCAAACAGGTGAAAACACAGCCATATTTTGCCTTACTCAAAATGATTGGAAGCTAGACCTAGCTAGTGATAATTACTTCCAGAACCCCGACGCCTATTACAAAGAACCTCGGAGCGTAGACAAAAAGAAACTAGAATCCCTTTACAATAGGTATAAAGACCCAAATGAGCCAGACAAAATTACAGTGGATGGCGTTATGAAGTTCTTAGATGACCTAGGTTCGTTGATCCTTCGTTAACTTCCAATCTATTTATTTATTATTTAATTTATCGTTTTTACATATACAATCAATTTAAACGATAATATACAGTGAAAATTTAATAAATTTAATAAAATTTAAAATTTAAAATTTAATATGAATATGTAAGGGTCATATCTTATCAATTAATCATATTTTAATAAATTGATGACACACCTCAAATGTATGTGTGCCTGAAATTTTATATTGCAGGTTAAATATTTTTGTCTTGTATAGAGTTGTAAAATATTTGTTTTGCAGGCCTACCTCCTGAATCAAAACTTGTTCTTATTATAGCGTGGAAGTTTAAAGCTGCGACTCAGTGCGAGTTTACAAGAGATGAATTCATAAACGGTATGACAGAATTAGGTAAAGGATGAGAATCAGATTTGATCTATTTCACCATTTATTCCAAATCGTTTGCAGGTTGTGATAATATTGATAAATTAAAAGCTAGATTGCCTACGTTAGAAAATGAATTAAGAGATAATTATAAGTTTAAAGACTTTTACCATTTTACCTTTAATTATGCCAAAAATCCTGGACAGAAAGGATTAGATCTTGATATGGCAATCGCATATTGGAACATTGTTTTAAAAGGGAAGTTCAAGTTCTTAGGTCTTTGGTGTACGTTTTTGCAGGTATATGTTTCAAGCATTAACCTATCGTATAACTGTATATTTGCTTTGAATTCATCAGGAACATCATAAGCGCTCTATTCCCAAGGACACTTGGAACCTGCTGTTGGATTTCGCCCAACAAATAGCAGACGATATGAGCAATTACGACGAGGAGGGCGCTTGGCCGGTCCTGATCGACGATTTCGTGGAATGGGCATCGAGTAGAACCAAGGAGAATCAACCTCACAGCACTAGCCAGTTGGAATAATTTTAACTAATTTGTTTCGTTTAACCTAAAACTCAAATAGCATCAAATTTAACTATAAAAAGGACAGCACAAATCTTGTAAGGAAATAAAAAAAACGTTGAGTTTTGTGAGTGAATCTGTGTTAATAACATTAAAAATCGAACATCTTCAAACTTACTAGGGGGACTACTGTAAAATTTATTTTTAGTAATCAATAAATTTATGTTTAAGAAATTTGGCATGTTTTCAAAATGTTATATGAATACGAATCGTTTGTAATAATTAGGAATGTAGTAGGAGAACTATTAGAATAGTTATTTTTTGTACTAGATCATCTGGTTTTTGAATTTCTATCATCACTGCAGCCCAATGAGGCCTTTTGTGCCTAGCAACAATATCCTACAATAATGTAAGGTGCCGGTCTAGTATTGCAAAATATTCAACCTGTTAGTATTTAAAGTAACTATTTAAAGTATTTAAATATACTAGGGCGGCGAAATATTATGGTAGACCGGTACCAAATGTAAAGACTTGCATTGAAAGCTTATGGAGAAAGACTATGGTGGATTGATTACTTAAATATAATAACTATTTATGGAATAATATCTATTGAACAAACTACGTTTACAAAGCGGCTACAGCAGCCTTCAAAATTGCGAATTTATTGTTATTGCAGACTCCCCGGAAATCGTCCAAAGTCAAATCGTCTATTGCGATTCCACCTAGACCTTTATTCTTCACGTATTGCGCTTTAGTGGCGGCCGTTTCCGGCTCTTCGTAGCCTACCCAAATTCCGCCCTTTTCGTTATTATCGGGATAACGGTAAGCGTATACTCCTGCAAACAAATCGGTTAAAGAAGATCAATTTTTGCTGTCTGTACAAGTACCTTGTCTCTTGCTGGCGTCGGGAATTTTAGTCAAACCTCCGGGAATGACGGTCCTCGTGGTGACTTTGGTGCAAATTTCCGGGTAGCTCAACAGCCCGGCTTCTTTAGTCAACGGGCCGGGTTCCCCGGGTCCCTCCAAATCGGTGATGGGGAATTCGTCGAATTTGGATTCGCCTTGCAAAGCCCACGTTCTTCCGTAAGTCGGGATGCCCAGAACTATTTTATTGGCCGGGGCACCGTTTAACCTACGGCACGAGTTTCTTTAGAGGTAATTCGAGGTAAGCGTGTTGTACTTGCCAATATTTCACCCAGTAATCGACGTTTTCGTCCTCTCTTCTATCGATAAGTTCGTAAATGGGCGAAGGGAAATCAGCCAGGTGGCCGTTACGTTGTGGTGTGTAGAAATCGAAGGCGTGCAGGGCGATGAAGTCCAAATGGGGAGAAAGGCGTTTGGGGTCGTAATATACTAAAATAACGCCAAGAATATTCACCGAAGCAAAATTAAGTAGTGTTAGTTATACCTGTGCTGTTAATATTAGGTAAAACTGTAAGGGAAAGTAGCAAATTGTCCGGTCTGAAAGCAACTTTCAGCTCCTTCACTAGCGATGTGAATTGTTCTCTGTGTTGTGCAGCGTTTGAATCGATAACTTTTTCGCCAGTGAACACCGATTTAAAGCTGCTCCACGCTTTTTCTGAAAAAATGCACATTTTACCAATAAAATTCTTTGGCTCAACGGCAAGTAAAAAAAGTGGATTGCGGTCATACTTACTAAGTCCAGTCTTGACTTTTTTGGGTTTAGTTTCAGGGAATTCCCAAGCTAAATCCAATCCATCGAAATTGTATTCTTTCAGCAAGGTGTATGCAGAATTGACAAAGGCCAAACGATGAACAGTAGACTCCAACTGAAACAAAAAATTGGATGTAAGTCCTCTTGATGTTTAGAACATTAACCGCTAAAAATATAACTTTTTGAAAGATTTATTTGCCGAATTTGTTAAGATAATCATCAAAGAAACTCACGATTGTTCTGTATTTCTCGTTCAGTTCTCCATCTATTCCACTAACGTCGTCGTTGCCACCGACCGACAGCAGGACCTTTAACTTGGGATGCCTCCTCTTGAGATCGGTAATCAACCTGTAGTTGTCTCTAAGAACGTCGAAGTTTTCGTTCAAAGGCACCAGTTTGAAACTTTGATCATCGATGGCCGCGTAACCGTAGATTAAGTGGGTGCAATAACGAAGGGCCTCCTCTAAGTCGGGTATCGAAAATTGACCTTGGCCTGAAATAGGGTTTTTCTTAGTTTTTTTGGCGAATTTCCTTATAATTTTAACGTTTGGGAAACATCAGTAAATTTAATTTTCGAATCAGGCAGTGCGTCGCATTTAGCATATTTATTTTGCAAGATAAATTAGCAATTTTACGAGAAAAAACCTTGTAAATGTCATGGTAAGGACTCTGGTCATTGTGCTTGAGTCATAACCGCAATGAATTAAGTAGTGTAAATTCTAGTTTAATTTGTTTACAAGCATGTGTGGACTAACTACTTAAGTAGAATATATTTAAATATTGATATTATATTGTACAGGACATGGGTAACAAATTTGAAAAATTTCTTATATAGAAGGAATTTAATTGCAATGTATTATTTAAACGATTTGTTATGCATTGCAGTAAATATAATTTGTTTATGAATTAGAATCCTTGGGATTTAACGACTGGCAAAATGGATTAAGATGTATCTATTATTTCCTATAATCTTCTAATAATAAATACTTACATAAAAAGGGAACATGCATTTAGAAGATATTCGATTAATTATTTTAAACTCTTTATTTTGTTTCAGTGAAATAAACTAAGATACTTATTCTTGCAAAATAGGAATATAAAATGATTTATTACAGTATTTTTAGACAGTAAGTTTATTTAATATTATTATTAGTATTTATGTCATATTTCTCAAAAATAAATTAATATTTTAATTAGCACTTTGATAATGTAATCATAACATTCATATTTTGAACAACATAATGATAAACCCATTTTTAAATATTATATAATTGTAGAATTGTGGAAAAGGATCTGAATCAAATACTGCTTTACTAATTTTTTTACCGTAATGTTAGATGTTAATATTTTTTACTTAATACGATTTGTACTGGTACTTGGTACGATTGGTATAGACGATAAGTATTAGATAAATTTATAATTGAGATCACGGTCAATGAAAAAAATTTACATAATATAAATCTTATAGGTGCCAATTTCAAGGATACCATTTTTTAAACACAAAAGTTTATTATTTGCTTAAATAATGCATTGTCATTTACCTGTTTTAATATAAAAATATCCTAGATAAACAAAATCCTACTGAAATTTGCTTATACTTAGTTTTCTATTGTTAATAATAATTAATTTTTAATTTTATTAAGAATAAAATTTAATCACAAAAACGTAGGTACTATAATCATTCGAAAAAAATTCCTGGTGACACCTTACCAAATCAGTTAATTTTTTAGAATATTAATAAAAAAACTTACCTTGTCTTAAATGAGCTTTGGCCTCGTAATTGCAAACCACCAATTTCTCGGCAGCGCAAAACGCCGCAAACGTCCCCGCTAACAAATAAAACAACAAAACGCGCATCTTGTTCAGCTACTTCTTCAATACTGAACGGAATAGACAATAATCAAACTAAACCGAACGCCACAGTTTATACAGAACTCAAACCGGCACCGGTACAATTTACCATTTCTTCAAATTCGTTATCACTTTTTACGCCAAAGCGGTTCACCAATAGGATTAGACCGACAAGTATTATTCAGTTTATTCCATCTAATTTGTTCAACTTTTAAGTGACCAATGACCATGACATTGAAACTGAAAGGACACTCGCACAAGGATTGCTCGCCAACTTTAAACTCGATCGTATTATAATTCTCTAATTTAATTATTTTATTAGCGAATTTATGTGCACGATGGAGTTATAGTAAAATTACAAACTGAAATTTATACATACAAATTGAGTTAGCCACAGCACATAAAGTGGTTACTCAATGAACCAGTTTCATTCATCAATAATTGCTTCATCCCCAAAGGGTGTGTGTTAATTGCAGAGGATTTCAAGAAGATCAATTACCAATGTGATATATTAAAAAAAATTCCTTGAAAACTCAGAACACTTGAATGTTTTGAGATGCATAGTGGATTCTATCTTTGATTCAAAAGTGTGTAGTGACATGAAAAGATTCTTCATTTAAATTAATCATCATAGATACAAAAACAATAATCAGTTCTTATCTCTTTATTAAAACATCAGTAAAATCAACACGAATCACATAATCTACAAATTCATCTACAAATTCATGTTGGCCGAAGCCCTCAAAATCGGGTACTTGTTGCCCGTGCAAAGACCCTTGAAATCGTCCAAAGTCAAATCCACGATGGCCACACCGCCCAAACCTCTGGACCTTATGTAGCTCGCTATCTGCGCGGCAGTGTCGGGATCCTGGAAGGACACCCAAATACCATCTTGTCCGTCCTTCGGCAGCTTGTAAGCGTAGGTTCCTGCGAAATACACCACAAATTCAACAGTGTTTGTTAACGAAATTCATACCACAACAGCCCGGCCAATTTTTACAACCGAGAACCTACCGAAACGTTTCGTTACATCAATGGTTTGCCAGCTCTCATCTGCGGCTGTAAACAAACATGAAACATTTCTAACCCCTAACCGATTTGACAAAAGGTACTGATTGAAAGTGAGTTCCTACCGGCTTTCTTCGGCGTGGGATCGTTGACTTTCCTCAGTTTCCCCACGTAGCCGGCGCGGATTTCAGCGGTCGTGGGCAGCTTGGCGCAGACCTCGTTGTAGCTCAGCAAACCGGGCTCCTGCGTGTAGACGCCAGCTTCTCCAGCGCCGCTGTCGATCGTCACCGGAGGGGTGCCGGTTTCCCCAGAAGCGCTGCTCAGCTTCCATGTACGACCGAAGGTTTGCAGGCCGTAGATGATTTTGTTGCCCGGGCAGCCCTTGGATAACCTGCGATAATTTACTCTAATTGGGGCTTTGAAAGGTAAAGTGAAGTCCATCTATTATGGCGATGAGTTAACTAAAGCTCGATTATAATGTTAGTGATATTATAGTAGGAGGTAGTTGAATATTAAATCGGTAAGAGGGAAATGTAAATGTGGATCTTGAATCAGCGAGGACTTGGTTAAATTTGGCTCTGGAAATATCGACTTTACTTACCAATATCTGACTTGGAAATCGCCATTTTCGTCGACTTTTCTACCATATACATCATACAAGGGGCTGGTGTAATCGGCTTCGTAGGGGTTGCGTTCAGGTTCGTAGAAATCGAAGTTCTGTAGGGTCACAAAATCGAGTAGAGGGGCTATTTGATGAACGTCGTAATACACTAAAAAATATCCGCGCATTTAGATAATGCTATTTATAAAAAATCGCTGATTGTAAACCTGTGCTGTTGACGTTAGGTAACACAGAAAGGGTAAGCAGGAGAGCGTCGCGTCTCAAGGCAGTTCTGAAATCCCTAACGAAGGTCGTGAATTGTTCTCTGTGTTCTGCGGCTTTTTCGTCTACTATGGATTCCCCGGCGAAGACGTGCTTGATGCCGATGAAGAATTTTTCTGAAACGGAAAATTTAACCGGCTTTCCTTGGAAAACGATCTGATAAACTCACTGATAGCACTGTGGATCTTCTTTGGTTTGGTCCTGGGCATTTGCCAGGCCAAGTCAATGCCATCGAAACCGTAGTTTTTAATGAAATCTTTGGCTGAGCTTATGAACGTATGCCTTCTATCTGAGACTTCTAGCTGGAAAATTCGATATTTGATAGTTAATCGATAAATATATGTTACCAATTAAAAAATATATCTCGGCTTTTTACTGACGAATTAATAAATATTTTTGAACTTGTAAACATCAGGTGCTATTAAATTCTCTCTATTTTTTTAAATACCACAAATATTACTGCTGCATTTGCGAATAAAAATAATTAAAACATAACACGAATTTTGATGATCGCATCGGTACGAATTCTCATTGTTGCAAAATATTTTTTATTGACAATTTCAAGCACATTTTTATTGCATAAATACCAGCACGAATTTTACGAAACTTCAAACCTCACATAAAAAAATGTTAATATTACTTATTCATCAATTAGTACAAACGATTACATAAGATATTATCAAAAGTATTACCATTATAAAAAAAATAACGAATGCAAAAAATCAATATTCAGGGTGAGCCCTAACAGGGTTAGGGCAAACAGTAATAAATGACATTTTGAGAATAATATAAAGTTATAAAAACTTAAATGAGACACCCTATATGTATTTTTCAAATCTACCTTTAGTATCTACCTTTAACTAAAATATTGTACTTTATTCCAAAAATGTATAGATACTTTTGGAGTTAATTAAAGACTTTTGAACTTTTGACTTTTAATTAACAACCCTTTTGAATTATTTTTTACGAGTATGCCCTTAAAGATATCGCAACGGTTTCTGTAGGGTGGCTACTAGCAAGGTCAAAGGTATTTAAACCTGTGATGAAAACTCTTTACTGTATACAGGAGATGAATAAAAAGTATGTAAACTTAATCTTCAAAAATATCAAATTTCTCCTTGTTTTTATTAAAATTGCCGTTAAAAAATAAGGGAAGTTTATGTAAACTTACAAGGTTAGTGTAGGTAAGGGCCTTATCAGTGTCCGGTATCACGTCTCTATCGCCTCCAACGGAAAGCAGCACCCTCAGCCCTTGGAAGCGCTTCTTCAGATTGGTGATCTGCTGGAAATTGTGCTGCTGGACGTCCAGATGATCGTTAAGGGGCTTTATCTTGTAGGTTTGAGGGTCGATTCCTGCGTAGCCGTAGATCAAGTGGGTGCAGAATTGCAGGGCCGGTTCCAGGTAGGCTATGTCGAATTTGGCTTGTCCTGGAACATTATTTATCGAGTAGCTTGGGGGATAATTGTTAATTTAAGAGAGCTGTAATATCCTATTTGAATAAGTGAAGTAGAGGATTTCTTCTGTAAGATCTGCTTATTTTTAGAGAGTTATTAAACTCGCTAAAAATAGAGAGGATAAGCCTATTTTTTAAGGTTTTCATAATAATCGAGCATTATGTAATTCGATTAATCTTGTGCGAATAAATTTGATTAAAAAATGATACATTTTATGACCACCTCTGAAAACTGAAACTGGACTAGATCACCTTGATTAATTTAAAAATCATTGCGTGATATGACCCTGATTGTTGTTATTTATATGATACATTATTTAGTATTTTAAATCAATATTTTCTCGCCAAAAAATAGAGAAAAGCAATGTAAATATCCAATAAATCAGAAAACAATTTAATTACTATCTAAATGATTTTTTAATATTTCAGGAATATGTTTACCAAGATAGGAAACTTTCTTGGAAAGTTTATCGGTATTATGTTTTTGTTTTTTATGAAAATAAATAGGTCAATTTGAAGGTTCGAGGTTCATTTGTGATAAACTTTAAGCTGTAATGACAAACTACTAGCTTTTATCTTATGTATGTTTATGTTATATCATATCTGCAGTAGCCAGAACTCATAGTGAAGCCCGAAATTATATAAGAACAGGTTTTAATTAAGTTTAAAGTCTGTTAAGGGATGTCATTTTAAATATTTAATTGAAAATAAAACCACAGTTTTCAAACCAAAATTATTTCTAAAAAAATGTTAAAAAAATTATTTCAAAATTTCCTTCGCGATTTTCATTTGAAATATTTAGTTTAATGTTTTTATACATTTGTCTTCTATTTGTATACAGATGAGTATCTAAGAGCAAAATGCTTTCTTTCTGATATACAGGACGTACAAAAAAGATACATGTAGAGAAAAGGACTAATTTTTCCTTAAATTATTATAAACTTCTAACACCTCCATAAAAAATGCCGGCACATAAATTCCTTTATCAAACAGATTAACTACTCATTTTACTAGCAAAAAAATTAAAAAATTACACTTTTTTATCACTTACCTTGTCGAGTGTTGCCTTTTCCATCATAATAGCATACTACCTTGGGGTACCCCTGAGCATTGCAGACGTAGGACAAAATTACAACAAAAAATAATCTCAAGCCGATATTCATCTTGCTCAGTCTATTACCAAACTTAAACTACAAATTCGCTAAACTCAAACTGGTCGACGGAAATTTTCTACAATCTACCGATATTGTCTTCGATGTCCGTCAAGAGCGCGTGACCTGCAATCAACATTTTAGAGGGGAGATATGGAATATATTGTGGACAAATTTTGTTGATTTCTTCGTAAACGATTGGTTTTCTTTCTCAATTTTAGCAGAATTAATTACGATAAGAATATTCAATTTTTTCTAGGTATAGACTTATTTATTTATACCCCTTTTGATCATTATAAAACTTTTCTGATTAGCGTATAATCAGTGTTGGATATTCCAATAAAAACATATTTTTAATTGTGGAATTTTCTCGTAACATCGATCCACAGATTAGCATTGAATTTAATAAGGAAATACGAATAAAAAATTCCTAAACCTATTGCTTACAATAACATATAATCTTATAATGCTATTTAAATTTCAATTGCGTAAGAACCCTTCCGAATAAATTAAAATACTGCTCGAATCAAAAAGGTCGTAACAATTTAAAATAAACTCTTTGTTCATTATTTTTGTCCATTGCAAATTTCACAGAACACTACTGAGATGAGCTCATTCAATCAGCTACTACAACCAAACTGATTGAGAAATCTCTCTAATTTTTTCATGCTAATTAAAAACAGTGTTACCTGCATACAGAATTTTAAAATAGTTAAACATATCAAGTGCAGGTAGTTTTATGAACAATAATTAATAACGGTCCGGCTAAAAAATCGCATCCTGTGGATCCCGAGCGCCCGCACCAATTGTCAAAATTAAAAAGTCTAATGAATATCAATCAAAAATCTCCGGACTAGCACTGAAGGCGCAACAGGAACATAACATTGAAATGGAAATTTACAATGGTTTCTGACATGCCAGAATTACCTTTTTTCCCAAAATATGAAGTGGAGCACATCTACGACAACAGCCTGTGTGTCGTTTGGTTCGAATCTAACTTTTCCCAGGCCTATTACAACGTCCACAAGACCAACAGGGGCAGCAACGCCTGCACGCTGATCGCCGTCCTGATGGCGGCGAAATGCCACAAGCACAATCTCATCGTAAGCACTGAAAAATTTTCGAAATTCTCAGGACTTATTTTTCTATTTGATGAACGAATTCGATGCCTTGTTTCAGGTACATTACCCCGTGAACGGTTTAAATATGAGTTTGATCAAACTGTTTGCCCTTAGTATGTTAGAAGGAAACCAGATTCATGAATCTTTAAAATTTAAAAATCAGCTGAAACACATCAATTTGAACGTACCGGAGGCGATCAATTTCGGCGGGCCCGACATGACGGGCATCGTCGAATGGGTAAGTCTCGCCTGATTTATCCTTTTTATAAATCCTTTAAGGGTATTTGGAGAATGTCTCTCTTTTAATTTTCTCATGCTTACTGATAAAAAAGTATCCGGAATTACTGATTTAAATTACCTACACTTGATACTTTATACTATTTTCAGCAAGTTTCTTTATGTAGGTAACATTGTTCTTAATTAGAATGCAAATAATTAGAGAGTTTTCTCAATCAGTTTGATTGTAGCTGCTGATTGAATCAGTTCATCTCAGTGGTGCTCTGCGAATTTTCCAATCGACAAAAATAATGAACAAAGAATTTGTCTCATATTTTGGGTTTTGAAAGGAATTTCGTGGGCCGATGTGAAGTACCATCAATCAGCCGTCTTACTCACCAGAAATAGCCTCTTGCGATATTTTTTTGTTTCACAAGCTCAAATTGCCACTTTGGGAATCCCATTTTGACTCCATAAATGCTATCAAAAAAAATTTGCAGAAAGAGCTTAAACTCGTACCAAAAAGAGCCTATAAAAATGTTTCGATAATTGGAAAAGGCGTCCGACTGTGTGCATTGCTTCACAAGGAGCATATTTTGAAGGAGATTCAAGAAAAATGAAAAAGGATTAGGAATTTTGCGTTTTATTCCAATTTTCCGGGTACTTTATTGCGACTCTGTATAAAGCCATTTGAAAGTTAACTGCACATAATTCTTTTGTAATCTATTAATTACAGAAAAGTGAGGTATTCATGCAACCGCTTGCGACATCCCTCTACGAGAACATAAAAACGAATTGGAGATTGTGGCTGAGATCAGAACTGACCAGGGAAAATTACACGCTCTACATAATACTGGTCGCTGACTCCCGCACGATTTTATTCATAATTCAACTGAAAACTGAAACGGTAAATTTACTCCTAATCAAAATGCTGTATATTATACATAATGGTGCATTTTATTAGGTGACGTTGATAGATTCCCACCAGCATAGCGGCGATAAGGGCGGATGCATGGCGATTACGGAATTGCCCAAGCTCAAATACATGTGCCATTGGTATTGCGATATGTTGTACAAATTTTACCGCTCGATGCCGAAGATTTACGAACTTTCTTTCCTGTACTTTTTGTCTTCATACAAATAAAACTAACTTACCATTATTTCGGAAGTTTTCTTGCGGGAAATCGCCACGAAATTTTTTATGTAGTTTTTTTATTTAATCAGTAACTGAATTTATAAACATTTCAAATAGAAAAGAAACGATGAAAACTTAACCTAGGCATTTTATTGCCCTCGGCCCCCTCGGCCTCCTCTGCCGCCCCTGCCTCTCTTTCCGCGCGCCGGATTTCTACCCATAGTCGAGGATTTGTTGTTTTGCTTATTCGGCTTGCCTTTATTCTATCAACACAAACGAACCAATATAATAAAACAAAATTTTTACATCGCTAAATCAGCTTACCTTAAATTTGTAATTGCTTTTAAACTGCTGAGGTTGCGAGAAATTACCGGCACCGCCTTGGAATTGCCTAAAATCAACGCCGCTGTAATCGTACGGTACGAATTGTTGTTGTTGCATTCCAGGATTCCTCGAATTTCCACCATACGATCCTTGGTTTTGGTAACTACAATAAAAATAGGTGTAATTTTTCAAGAACTGTACCTTTTAAGGTGACTAAATTTGGTATACGTTATGATACTTATGATGATTTAAAAAATTATTAGTCATTTCGAAGAAAACTTTTAAAAAATAAAGTCATGTACACTATCAATGTTGCTTAAAATCGCCGATAATTCAAAAGTTGGCCTTGTTAAGTTGGGTTAAACAACATAAATATTTCGGACTTCCCTACAAGCCCTGCTCTGTGTGGGTTCTTATGCGGGACACCCTGTATACATACCCCGCATTGTTCTGTTGATCGAAATAATTAGAAGGACGCTGCGACTGATTATTCGGCTGTCTCTTGGCTTGTTTAGAATTTTTGTTAAACGGCGGCTTGTTTTGTTGATTATTATTCTTTCCCTGATTATTTTTCGGCGATTTATTTTGCTGGTTATTTTTCGGTTTCTGCTTTTGATTCGGATTCTGTTTGTTCGTTTTAAATTTCTTCTGTGAAGGCCCCGCGTCCTCGCCCGTGTAATCGGAGCGCCTATTTCGCGGATTAAAGTGCTGGTTTGTGATCGGCAGATGTGCCGGTTGCCGAAATTCAGCTTCAGCTTGATCCGAAATCGGCGGTGAAAATTCCCTTTTTCTCTTCGTACCGCCCATTTGAACTAGCGATCGGTCCGGATCGAACGGCGGCTGGTTGTTCAACGTCAGGAACAAATCCCGTATCTAAAACAACACTTTAATGAGAACTTTTTGCCTGAATTTATATCTTAAGATCGCCCGGCAATCAAGGGACTGTTTTACTCGATAAGAAATAGAAATAAACATTAATATACCGATGCAATCCTCTCTTCGTCGGTTCTCTCCTCAATAACAACCGGAGCATCTGCGGAAGATTCGGTAACCTCAATTGCATTCGTTTCTTCCTTAGCTTTGGTTTCTTCGGTTTCTTTTTCGTTGATTTTATTCTCTTCGGCTTGAATGTACGGTTTGACCAATTTGTACCTCTCAATGGGAGTCAAAAATTTCAAACCTTGAATCTTCTCTTTGATAATCGTTTCCTGATAAAAATCATCGTGCGATTAAATTGATAGATATTCCCTTGTTGGAATTTACCTGATCTTCATCGGAATTTTCTGGTGTATCGAAAACAGAACATTTGGCTTGCGTGGATTCTTTTTCGAATTTGCTAACTGGCATTGTAATAAGGTTTGAGTTTGTTCCGATTTGCAAGATCGTGGGTAAATCATCTCTGAATTCGTTGGATTTTGTCAAATCGTGTGGGCAGTTTAGAACGCTGTCTACGTTTATTTTGGATATTTTCTTTGTGGAGCCCCTGGCTCTAGAATCTTCCTGTAAAATTGGCTGCAAAATAGAAAAATTGTTATTAATAATGTAATTCAAGGGCTATAAGATTGGAAAAAACTTACCTTCACGAGTGATTGATCTTTAGCCTTCAGTATAATTTGATGTAATTCTAATAAATTGGATCTAACAAGAGGCGGAATTGGATTACAACAGGCTAAAATTCCTTGCATTTCCCTAGGCAAACTTTCAGCTATTTGCAGTAACATATGATTGGGTAAAACGTAACTAAAAATTATAAAATTAACAATTCGAACTAATCAAGACTTTTTTTCTAATGTAATTACCCCGTACTCTCATCCTCTCTTCTCGAGACCTCGTCTCTCCATTTATAAAGTTCTTTTAACGCATACAATTGCCTATTGTCGAACAACCTTTTACATTTTCTGTAAAAATCTAAGTGACTATCATCTGTTAGAACCGGCTTGAAATATCTCTACAAGATACAAAAATAATCCATTAATAACATCCAAATTTCGAGTTAATATTAACTTACCTTCTTACAAACTTCAGTACTACTATTGAACACTGATAGTAACAAATTGTCTTTACCATTAGCCTTTTGCAGAAGCTCGTTCTTCAGCATTTGGTAAATGTACAACAAATAGTGGGTATCTTCTCTTGCATAGTTTTTCAATTCGTCCGGCAGAGGTCTCATCCTCCAATCGGCCAATTGAAATTGCTTGTTGGGAAGAAAATTACAAAATCTTTGGATCAAATAAGCAAGCGAAAGACCGCTGTACTCTAACTGCTTCGCTGCGTAATAGGTATCGAACATATTCACCACGTAAATCGATAAATCTCTTTGCAGCCACAGAATATCGCTATCTGCTCCGTGAAACACCTGAAACCAAATTATTATTATTAATCATTTGCTTTTAAATAGCTCAGTACGGTAGAGCTTACTTTTAATATGGAAGGTTTGGTAAACGCTTCGTTTAAAACGTGCAATTTGTCTCTCAGCGCGAGAGTGTCTATCAAGTAGTCGGTAGTCCTCGTGGATATTTGCATAAGGCATGTGATTCCCATAAATGTTCTGTACGAGTGATGTTCCAAATCGACGGCAAACTCTTTCACTTGAAGAAGGGAATTTAGGAGGTCGTCTATTTGCTCGGGTTCTGATACAAGAACCAGAGGAGTTTCTGATAAAGGGGTTGGTAGTGTAGGAGTTTCTTTTTGTAACTGTTCTTGGGGTGGAACGAATCGTTCGAGCTCGAATTCATAAGGATGAGAATATCTGAAATTGCAGTGTTTAAAAATCTAGTAATTTATAGTAATCGATAAAGTGCTCACTCTTCTCCATTTTCAGTAAGTTCTAAAAATATTGCTAAAGGTTTTAATGAATTTGGTTTATCTTTAATCTTAGGCTCCCAAGGTATGTTGTTTCTGTTGTCGATTTTATCTTTGAAAAACGTTTGAGGCCTACAAATGTTTTTTGCAGTCAATAATCGCATAATACTACCTTCATTTCTCGATTTTCCCTAAAACACATCCATTTCAGCTAGACATTTTTTCTTTTATAATAAAAACAAGATCTGCTTCAAACTGTTATTTTCAAAACTACCAACATAAGAAACGCCCAGGTGTCCAAGATGTTCAAACATGTCAAGTAGTAAATATCAGTTTGAATGCGGTGAAATTGACAAAAAAAATTAAAAGTAAACCTGTGTAGATAATGAAGGCGAAACTGAAAATTTAGCATCACCGACTCGATTCCAGGATCCGTTAATGGGCAGCTCCGCACTAACGTTTTGGATTAATATAGGTGCGTTACCAGTTTTACGTATACCGTTCATTTCGTCTATGTTTGTGGCAACCCTCTCCAATATATTATCGTTGGCTTCGATGATTAATTCAGTCTTTTCATCCAGACCACGATTACACATGTTCCCGTCTGTGTTGTTGGTTTTTAGCAGAGCGTTGATTTGTACGAGTATCTTTTTGCTTTCATCTTCGACTATTTTAGAGAAGTCGTGATGTGTTTTGTAGAAATTCCAGTCGGGGCCTTGCGGTAAACCGTTTGAGTTTTTTATTGCCTCCCTTAAGGTACTGAAACCGTCCTAAAAACCACGATTAATTTACACGAAAACATTGTGTTTATTTTATTATGTACCTTCATGAAGTCCTGTAGGTTGTTGTAGCCCTCAATGTTTATCTTTTCGCTCGCATTTTCATTAGTTTCGGTGTTATTTTCAGCAGGCATTTTATATATAATGTGTTGGGTACAAAAATATGTAATAAGTTTCTTTTAAATTCAAAATTAAATATAACATGCACCATTCAATTGCATTTAAAAAAACTAACCCTATTTCTTCATCTTTTAAACAAATAAAAAAGAAGAAATTTGCCATTAGTGACACAAAATGTCAAGTGTCAATAAAATTTATAATCAAAAGAAAAATGTCAAATTAAAATTGTAAACCCACTTGTTGAACTCTAGTTTGAGTTTAAATTGTTAATTTGTTTACTTTTGATTTCAAGTTTCATTTGGTTAGTGGAATTTTTAATAAAGGCAACTTATTAGCAAGCAAAATACCTGTAGAATATTTTTACACTATTTACGCATTCAATTCTGTCCTTGTTAACGTTATTTAATTAAAAATTAGCAACTTTGTAGATATGAACAATATGAAATTGAAGCCAGAATACGCCGAAATGATCGCTGCCATAGGATTTGGAGTTTTGTCCGCGATATTTGTTAGTGCTTTCGTTATCCTAATTGTTATTTGCAGAAGACAGAAATTGTATTACAAATCGAATCTGATCGATGAGTCTACTAGGTAAGCACAATATTGATAAAACTACCTGATTTTAACCACCATTTGCTGCTATTGCACGACTATTTTTAGCGTCCTGTTATACACATTATAATTTTGGTTATTTTGTAAAAATAATATTCCAATAACAGTTTCATACAAAAAACACATTTTTAAATATTTTACCTAATGATTCACTAATTCATACCCCTATCAGGCATTTAAAACTTTCACGTTCTTATCAAATGATTTATTGACATTCGTTTTATTACTCACATATTTATTTATTTAGACCGGAAAAGCATCTCATTGGGCCGGACGTGTCGGAATGGGAGTTGGGGGAAGTAAGCGTCAATTTTCCAAACATACTGACAGACGAGCAGTGGATAGATGACGCAACAGGGCTCATTCCTCATTGTCTGGCTATTTTGAAAACCTGCAGGTACCTTACAGAGAGGCTGACGACTTTGGCCATGAGCTCCACCCCTGTATCCGGAGATTTCAAGCAGATTGTCGAAGTAACTTTGAGTCGACTCGAGGAATATGCAAAGAATTATTTTTGGTCCATGTCTTTTAGTGCGCAAAGAGGATTTCGAGCAGAGTAGACGATATGGTAAGGAGCATGTATCCTCCGTTAGACCCGAGGCTTTTGGAAGCCCGCGCGGCGGCTCTAACTCTGGCAGTCACTCATCTGGCTCTGCTCGTAAAATACGAATGTGGGTATAAAGAGAGGGGAATACTCTGGATAAATAAATCTCTGGATGACATGGACAAGCACATGGGCGTAAGAATATTACTTTTTTGGAAGATCAATTTGATTTAACTCTTTTATCCAGTGCTATAATTATAGTTTTCTTTATTAGAATATTATTGTTACTTTGGTCATGATTTTCGTGAAGATGCAAATTAAATTAGCACTGGCAGTTATTAACAAACGAATGTAGGAATAGCTTAAGATAAAACAGAATATGGAAGTGATTTGCTGCTTTATTTTACAGTTTTTGATGGAAGCCTCAATGCACCAAGAAACAATCAACAAATTATCGAAAGCACTAAATCTCAATACTCATTTGTAAGTATAACTTACCCCTCGACTCATTTGTTATAGAAATGTAATTATTTTTTTTAATTTACTAATAAATCGACAATTATAATAGTGTTAATATCCATGCAATTATTATTCAGCTTAGAAGTTATATTCCCAAATGGATAAATCCAAACAATCGTTTAATAAAACCCGGCAGAAGTAAATTAAAAACAAACTGTTGCTGTTTTGTTATTTTTTTTATATTTTTTATCACAATGACGTTTCAAAGGGACCCTATTAATCACAAATTGTTAACAAGAGTGTAAATTTGAATAAACTTTTACTTTTACAAAGGGTGAAGTTGCGTAAATTAAAAAAAAAGTCTAATTCTAATCTTTTTCAAATTAGGCTACTTTCCGACTAAAATAAACAAATCGCTAATTACTGATGTTATTTTTATAATAAAAATACTGCTTTGCGACTACAAGCCAAGAAATTAGCCTAATGTAGATGAAAACCGTTTTTAAACAATTATTGAAAATTCGAATTTTTAAATTTTGCATCAAATCGATGTGGAAATTTTCGTAATGTTTTCTGTCGCTATTTCAAATCCAATAATTTGTTCTAATTAAAAAATATGAAAGAATTAATCTTTCTTCTGCCTTATAAAAGTATTGCTTAAAAATTTCCTATGTTTTGTTATTTTTTACTTTTTCCTGCCTCCTTCGCTGCTTCCTTCAAAATTTTAGACTTCAAGTGATCTTTGTAAGAAAGAATGTCTCCTTGCCACTTGGTAACAGTCTCCTTTTCACACACCCAAATTTCTTCAGCCACCTAAATAAAATATTTTAAGCATTAAAATCATGTATTATTCAATTCAATAAAAATCTTACCTGACTGATCAATCTGAAGTCGTGACTAACAAGTACCATTCCTCCTTCAAATTCACTGACAGCGTCGGCTAAGGCATCTATAGTCTCCATATCCAAGTGATTAGTAGGTTCATCGAGTAGTAGCAAATGCGGTACTTGCCACGCCAGCCAAGCAAATACTACTCTACACCTCTGACCATCAGAGAGTTGTCTAATTGGACAAACCTTAAATAGATGTATTGGGTTAATGTTTACTCAAAAAATATTATAAAAAAACTTACCTGTTGTCGTCCGGTAAGCCCATATCGACCGATAATCTTCCTCATTTCCTCCTTTTCCTTAATATCGGGAAATTCTTTCATCATATACTCCAATGGAGACAAATCCAAATCCAGAAGTTCGTGCAAATGTTGGTGGTAACGAGCTATACGTAAATGAGAATTCTTCCTAATCATGCCTTCCGATGGAGTTAACTGAAAACAATTCATTGTTACCAATCTACATTATTACCATTACACTTTTTGGCTTACTTCTCCGTACAGCAATTTTAAAAGGGTACTCTTCCCAGCACCGTTGGGGCCCACGAGGGCCAGCCTGGTGTCCAAATCGATACCGAATTCCAAGTTCTTGTAAATCCATGGACTCTTCTCGTTGTACCTAAAGCTGACGTTCTGCACCATGATGACGGGCGGTGGAATTGTTCCACAACTTGGAAAGTAGAAAGTGACCGTTTTGTCGGTGGATACTTTCTCAGTGAGGCCTTGAGCAACCATCTTAGCGAGCGTCTTCTCTTTAGATTGCGCTTGTCGAGCCAATTTGGCAGAACCGTGACCAAATCGAGCAATGTAGTTCTGAAATAAACGAATTCAACATAAGCCTTTTACTTTCGAGGTGTGTTATAATGCAGACATACTTTCATGTGATTAATTTGATCTTGTTCCCAATTGTATTGCTTCATTTGGTTTTCCAGCAACTCCATTCTAGTTTTCATGAAGGCATCGTAATTACCAGTGTAATATTTGAGCCTTTTTTTATTAATGTGTATTATATTCGTACAAACACCGTTTAAGAAATCTTGAGAATGTGAAATCAAAACCAATATCCTCTTATAACTGTAACATTAAATTTAACAATTAATCGATCGCGCATAGCTGTTTTATACGCTTACTTTCTAAGTTCTTCTTCTAACCAAACGCAGGCATCCAAATCCAAATGATTGGTTGGCTCGTCCAGTAATAGCAAATGTGGTTTGACGTACAGAGCTCTTGCCAAAGCAATGCGCATTCTCCAACCTCCACTAAAGTCTTTGGTTTTCTGAGCCTGCATTTGTGGAGTGAAACCAAGACCGTGCAAAATGTTAGCAGCTCTAGCCTCGGCCGTGTCAGCGGAAATGTCGTCTAATCTTTCATAAATATCCATAAGCTGTTCTTGAGATTCGTCGTCTTCGCAAGCTACCAATTGCTCAGCCATCTGGAATTAAAACGCGTTTTATTACAACATAATCGATTAAGTGGAATAATTTAACCTTTTCCAATCGAACCCTTTCCTCGTCCACTTCCATGACGCATTGCAATGCACTCTTCTCCGAAGCGGGCATTTCTCTAGTTAAATGGAAAATATCGATGTGCTCGGGAATTGGAACTTCTCGATTGCCCAAGACAGCTAATAGGGTCGATTTTCCGCTGCCGTTCAAGCCTATGAGACCGTATCTCCTTCCGCAATTCAACTCCAACAAAGCATCTTGCAGCATTTCGCAACCGTGGAACGTGATGGAGAAATTAGATATTTTCACGTCTCTCGATTTAGGATGGACTGCCAAGGAGCCTGTGCAAGCTCGGGCTTCGGAATTTAGCCTAGCATCGGCTTCCAACTTGGCACAGAGGGCCTCTGTAATGGCAAATCATTTTGTTGGGATTAAAGTTACAATGGGATGCTAGAGAAATGTACCTTCTTCACTCATTCCGGTGACACCGTTTGATGGAGTGAAACCATTTGTCTTGGTCGAATCATTCTGTTCATCAGCTTTAGGCTTGATCTCGGTTTTCTTGCCGGCCTGTCTGGCTTTCGCTGCGTCCTTTTTGCGCTGTTGTTCACGTTTCTTCGCGTCAGAAGGCATGATTGATGCAGTATTTCAATTTAATGAACCAGCTGAAGTACTGGGAAAATAACGTTAAATAATTTAGTTAAACCAGATGCATGTTTAAAGAGCCGTGTTATTTTTTGACAAGGTAATGTAACAAAGGGAAGTTCTGACTAGTTTCCTTATTAGATCAATCGTCTTACCTCAATAATACCTAAAAATAAAATCGGACCAATATTACATGTGCCTACGAAATGGACACAGACACGAAAGGAATAAAAAAAAGCAAATTGACATTGACTTGACACATGACAGGTACGACTATTTCTGGCCTCTTACTTATGCAAATGTTAACTTTGAAAATATTTTTTAAACGTTGAAGTCTACGATAAGAAATACGCAATAAAAATACTCAACAAAATCGCATTTTTTTATCGTTGAATATTAGGGTAAATTTTTAAATTTCGATTCAACCGGATATTGTTTGAGGAATGTCTTAATTGTCAAGTCAAACGTCAAACTGCCTCTGCCATGTAAAATGTCAATTTAAATGTCAAAATATCATGACCGGTTGGTAAAGATTTTGTGAATTTTGATTTTCAAATATTATTTAACATTTAAGTTTCAAATGTTTCTTACCTAAAAGAAGTTATAATGGCCAACGTCCTCAACAGGGCGCTTTCGAAAGCACTTTTAAGTAGAAAAATATGGTGTCAGAAGAAATATACACTTCTTTATTGTCCGTGCACATGCCAAACATTCGCGTTGAATAAACCTAGAGAAAAACAACGTGTTCAAATACCGCTCATTAACGTGCCGAAAATTCATGGGAACGTATCGTATTACTGCAATGAATCGAAAAAGAGTGAAACCGAAAAGTTGACACTTTTCCAAAGGATCAAACAAATGTATAGGGATTACTGGTACGTTTTAGTGCCTGTTCACATAGTCACTTCAACAATGTGGTTTGGAGGGTTTTATTACATGGCAAAAAGGTATAATTTTCGAACTGAAACAGCGACAATATTACTCACGAATACCACCTTTCTATTTTCAGCGGCTTCGATATAGTTCACATCTTAGAATCATGGAATGTAAGTGATAAAGTCATAAACCCTTTACGAGACTCGAGCATGGGATACTTTGCGATAGCTTACGCCTGCTACAAAATCGCTACACCAGCTAGATATACTGTGACATTGGGAGGCACCACTTTATCTATCAATTACTTAAAAAAATGGGGGTACATTAAGCCCGTTCCCAGTACGGAGAGGATGAAAGCAATATACCAAGAAAAGAAGAAGAGCTTAGCAGAAGGGCTGCAAGAGAAAAAGGAAACTTTTATAGAAAGCATACAAGAAACGAAAGAAGGCATTAAAGAGAAGAAAGATAACTTGATGGAGAGCATACAAGAAACTAAAGAAGGCATTAAAGAAAAGAAAGATAGTATAATTGAAAGTATACACGAGAAGAAAGAAGGTTTAAAGGATAGTTTAAAGAAACCCGAGAAGAAAGCGTCAAGAAAGGGAAAACAGTAACAGAGAATTATTTTTAAGTGCAAATATTTACAATAATGTATATTGTTGTTTTAGTTTTAAATTTTTAATTTATTAGAATTAAAACTAATAAAGTTGTTACATTTTTATTACATTATTAAGCAGATCTCCTTAATTGTACATTTTTCTAAGTTTCTCAAATAATTAAGAATATCATTCCAAAAGATTACATATATTTTATAAAGAGTTTACTTCCCGCTTAAATATCTGCTATTAAATAAGCGCTTGAAATGAGAAATTGTTTCAGGTAATTCCGATGAGATAAGCCTTTGATGAACCATAAACTTATATGAAAGATCTAAAATAAACATTTATTTCTTAGGGTTATGTATATGTTTTGTATGAATCATACATCAGATTACAAAGTGTGGGTGATTCTAAAATGAAAATTAAGGTGGGTACTTGATACAAAAGTTAAAAAAAAAAACGTTTTTGGTTGACTGTTCAGTAAAATGCTATTTAACATGAGTTTACAATATTTTTTTCCTCGTAAATGCTTAAGTTTTGAAAAAGACGAGTTAAAAAGTTAATAAATGAAATGGGCATTTCAGACAATTTTTTTAAAAGATAAATTTTTATCTAAGAAAAAATGACTTATAATCCCTTCTAAGCTTATTTCAGGGTTGAAAAATTTCAAAATGTGTAGTTAGTTTCATTGCCAAATAATATACCCAAGGTTTCGTGTCTTTAGCTTAATATACAGGGTAAATAAACAAGAAAAACCAATTTTTTCAATCTTTGGAGGAGTATAACTTTTCCAGGCAGGGTTTTTTCAAAAATATTTATACGTATAAATATATATGTAAAAGTATATGTAAAATTTCATAATCATAGAGAATAGAATGAAGTAAAATTAACTAAAATATATAAAATATAATAAATAAACTTTTCAATGTGTAATCATTTCCGACTACTGTCAAGAGCAAACTTTAGTTATCAGTTTCCGTTCATATGAGTGATGCCTTATAATTCGCACTGCTATGCTATCATTGTTCTGCGAGCTGTCTACGAAAAATGTTCAACTTAGCCGTGCAGTATTTAATAATACACTCATGTGTTTGGGTATTCGCCAGTGGACAATCGGCCAGCAATTGTGCAGCCAAAGAAACCTGCGAAGAATGCATACAAGATATCAACTGTGCTTGGTGCATCAATTCCGAAAATGTAAGTATATTTTACCAAAAAGATATTTTGTTCTATTCGTGTGTTAAAGTAAGTATATAGTGAGGACCAAAAGTCCGTCGCCCCCCCCCCTTTAACTTTTGAATGGTAAGAGCTTTTGTCGCGCAATTTGGGGTGTTTATATTGGAGTAAAAATACTATTTTTTGACGTAAAAATGACAGTTGAAATTTTCAAAATGACAGTTAGGCGCCATTTTGAATCTTTTTTCTTATGGAAAGGGGGGTCAAGTGACACCTCGTTTTAAAGGTAATTTCATTCTTAAGTCAACCCCCAAATTTGAAAACATTTTAATAACGCATATTCACGTGAAGACCAATTTAGTTTTAATCCCCGGGCATATTGATACATTTAAAAATTAATTCTGAACGTACTATAAAATGTGTCAATTAATTGTTGCTATGGTTTCTTGGCTCTGGCATTTATTTGTCAAATTTAAAGTTGATGAAATTGACAATGGCTCGTCCTTTAAACGAAAAAACTGTATATGTCTCACTGTATATGTTTAATTTGTAATTGATGAAGTATAAACGTCCGAGTATTTTCATATTTGTATAAATTAATTTTTTGTTGCCAAAATTTGTTCGTTGTTTTTGTGCACCTAAATGTTAAACAATTTGAAAGGAAATGCGGTTTAGGATGCGGTTTTATTGCCTTAATTACGTCTGATAAGATTTGTATCACGAAACAGTATTTTTGTTCTGGTTAATTCAATTTTGGAAATTTTTATTCTATTTCTGATAATACAGGGTGCTTTAAAAAAGTTGCAACATGCCTTTACTACAGACTTCTGAGACGAAAATAACATGATTTTATCTAACTTGCCTATACTCAAAAGTGCGTAATAACAAACTTACAGGAAGTTAAATTTAAAAATTAATTAAGAGATTTTTTGATATTGGATTCGATATGTTAGAATATCTAGTTAAACCATATCCCAACCTTTTTGGGACACCCTGTATACTTATTTATATTCCAATTACAAATCACAATCATAAAATACGAAAGAAATCTGACGAGGAAATATATCAACCCATTTGCAGGATAACGGAGGTCAATCGGTCCACTGCAACCCCAAAAATGAAAGCCAAAACTGGTGCCAACAATCCGACCTAATATCTCCGTCCATGTCTATCCAAGTAAATAAGGACCTCGACTTCTCCAACGACATCGACAATCCCGTCCAAATAAGACCGCAGGCCGTCAAACTCAGTTTGAGGAAAGGCGAAACGTACGACCTGAGATTCAAGTTCAAAAGCGCCGCCAATTACCCGGTCGACTTGTACTACCTCATGGACTTGTCCAAATCCATGGAAGAGTACAAAGACAACCTGGCAACACTGGGAATCCAACTAGCCGAAACCATGATGAACATCACCACGAATTTCCGACTGGGCTTCGGCAGTTTCATCGACAAACGCGAACTGCCTTTCGTTAGCACCGTACCACAAAAGTAAGCCATCGAAAATTCGATTTAAGTAAATTTATTATATTTCGCGAATGTTCAGATTGAGTTCCCCCTGCGTGACGACCAGCAAGGTCAAGTGCGTCAGCCCCTACAGCTTCAAGAACCACCTGAGCCTGAGCGCCGACTACCAGAGGTTCGTCAGCCAGGTGAAAGCAGCGAAGGTCTCCGGCAACCTGGACTCCCCCGAGGGCGGCTTGGACGCGATCATCCAAGCCATGGTTTGCAAGGCGAAGATCGGCTGGAGAGAGCAGGCCCGGCACTTACTGGTGTTCTCCACAGGTATTTACCGACCCGAATTCCGTTGTACCTCTTCTAATAAAAGCGGATTCCAGACGCGCTGTTCCACATAGCCGGTGATGGAAAACTGGCCGGCGTGATCGAGCCCAACCCTGCAAGGTGCTACGAAGACGACGCCGATTACTTGACCTACGATTACCCCTCCGTGTCGCAATTGAATTACGTCGCCAACGAGAACAACGTTAATATCATTTTCGCCATTGTGAAGAAAGGTAACGATCTGTTCACCGCCTACAAGCGATTGTCCCTTAACGTTAAAAACTCCAATTTCGGCGAATTGAGCGATAAAGGTGGGAAAAACGTCGTACACTTGGTTGTAGACAATTATAATGTAAGTAGATCCAGAGTTTACCCAACATTTTAAACCTTAAAACCTAACCCACCAAGTAAAAGATACTGTGAAAATGGTGTATAGAATGATAATTTTTGACTCGTTCCCGACACTTTTAAGTGTCTTTTTGGTTGGATTTGAAACATAAACACTTTGATTCTGTCACAAAATTTGTCTGCTTTATATTTACCGATTGACCTTTTTTTAATTCTACTAATTCCACAACAACTTGTGTTCATAAATCCACTGACAATAGCACAGGATCTTTTATACCTGCTTAAAACAACTATATCTTCAGTGCTTCATCCGCCCTTTCAAGCGGCAAGCGACACTAATCCACATCCATTGATCCCCAGAAAATAGTCCAAAGCGTGAAATTCACGCACGACGCCCCCGCCGAAGTGGACATCAAGTTCACGTCAAACTGCAACAGCGCAATTCCCGGCCGCTGCGGCGACATCCACGTGGGCAAAGAGGTGGACTTCGTGGCCTCGATCCAAGTGAGAGACTGCCCGACCGACGGTTCCCTCGCCCGCAGGATCACCATCAGGCCGGAGGGCCTCAACGAGAACCTCACCATCGACCTGGACTTGCTCTGCGAGTGCTCGTGCTCATCGCCCGGCCACGCGTCCTTCAAGAGGGACTCTGAACAGTGCAATAACCAGGGGAACTTGAAGTGCGGCATCTGCGACTGTTTCGAAGGGCGATTCGGGAGGAACTGCCAATGCGACAGCTCTTTGAGTTCTTCGGATAACGTCACTAATTGCTTTATGGAAGGGTCTACTGATATTTGCTCCGGTGAGTTTGGTACCCATTATATGTTATTCATCTAAATTTAATGTAACGTAGGGGCTGGTACGTGTAAATGCGGCAAATGCGAATGCCAGAACAATAATAAAAATCCCAATCAGAGAATCTACGGGCAATTTTGCGAGTGTGACAATTATTCCTGCAAACGAGAAGGAGGTTTGTTGTGTTCCGGAAAAGGTGAGGTATTGCTGAATAATTGAATATATTCTTATTGAATTTTTTGTCGTTGCAGGTAATTGCAATTGTAAGAAATGCGAATGCCAGGCGGGATTCACGGGAGATGCTTGCGAATGCGATGAAAGTCAGGTAAATTGTATAGCGCCCGGTAGCGATATAATCTGCTCGAATCACGGGAAATGCCAGTGCGGACGCTGCGAGTGCGAGATGACTGATAACAACCGGTATACCGGTAAATACTGTGAAGATTGTCCGTCTTGTCCGGCACAAAGGTAAATATTATCCAACTCTAACAATACCTTAGTATAAAATAATTATGTAGGTGTGAAGAATTGAGTCACTGCGTGCAATGCCAAGTTTACAAAACTGGAAAATACGAAAAAACCTGCGGGATAGACTGCACGGCTTTTGAAACTATCGTTTTGGAATCATTAGATGATAATCCCGTAGATGATATTAAAAAATGCAAAATCCCCGATAACGATACGTGTATTATTAACTTCGATTACTACTACAAGGGAGACAATAATTTGGTGGTGAGGGCTTTAAAGAAAAAAGTCTGCCCGGAACAAGCGAACGTAACAGGTTAGTAGGAACATTAGGTTAGTATTATGATGAATATGTATGATGAATTAATTGTGTCCTTTCTTGAATTTTTAGCGTGGATCTTCGGAGTGATTGCTTCGATCGTAATAGCGGGTATAATTTTGTTGCTGATTTGGAAAATTTTGACGTCGATTCACGACCGACGGGAATACGCTAAATTCGAAAACGAGAGGAAAAATCTCAAGTGGGGAACCGGCGATAATCCCTTGTATAAAGAAGCTACGTCGACGTTCGCGAATCCCGCTTACAAAAGAAATAGCGTCAGAATGTCTAAATGAAATTTTATATTTTGATTAGTTAGTGATAGTAACTAAATACACGGTGTCAAGAAATAGATGTCAGTAATTCGAGAGGGTATAAATGACATCAAAATAAGGGTATATAACTTCATATAAATTTGAAACCCTTATTTTAACTTAATCTATATGTTCCCGAATTATTGATATTTATTTTTTGGACGCCCTGTATAATTATATGAATTAAACTATGCAAAATCGTTACCATCCCAGTATAATTGTATGTATTTTAGACTGAGTATCGGTTAATTTTTTTAAAATAATGTCGTGTATTTAATGCCATAAAGAATTTATTTTTATATAAGAAGAAAATATGTATTAGGTTAACATTTCCTAAAAAGGCACCAAATAAATAAAAAATAAAATAAACGTATTTAATTTGATACTGTAGAAATTAAATTTGTCACTAAAAAAAGTTATACAGGTTGATTAATTTTAGTTTGCAATATAGGCTATACAGGTTATGGGTGCAATAAAGACAACTATAATAGACATTAATAAGGGAAAAAGAAAGAATGATATTGTGTCATTGCAACTTTCTCAGTTTAAAAACTTTTATTTTAGTAATCGTTCTTTGTTCAACTCATAGAAATGGCCATATCGCAAACTTTTATCCACTTAAGTGTAAGTACAAATAACTCGGTTTTACCAGTTCGCCATATAAATTGTTTGTGATTAATTGATTATTAATTTTGGTACTTGTACGATATTATCAATATGGCTATCCAAATAGAGTTATAAGAATGAGACAGAAAAAGTAAGTGTAAGGTAAAATTTTTAATATCTTTAAAACTATTAAGTTTAGGTACTTATAGGAAAGTTTTTATACACACCCTGTATAAAATAAAAAGTTTTTCAACACAGGTTCAAATACCTTTGACCTTTCTATTGGCCGCCCTATAGAAACCCTTTTCATATCAAGGGGATCCTCGTAAAAAAATTATTTATAAGGGCCTGCTGCATCGGTCAAATTAATAAAAAAATTAACTCAAAAAATATGCTTTGTTGGAAAAGTGTTTTAGACAAAAGTATCCAGAAATTTTACGTAGTTTTCAAAAATACATAAATATACAGGGTGTCCCATTTAAAATAACAAAGTTGATGCCTACTACCGGTACAACCGGAAGTGGTACGACTGTCAAAATATTGTTAAGAGGTTCGTCTTATTACATAACATATATGCATACGCGACCGTTTATTGCTTGTTTTGCCCTAGTACAGATTTTGCTTATACACTTCACAAAAAATCCGAGGCCAATCGAAACAAAACTACTGCAATTTATTAATGAAGGCAGGTGGTTAAATCAGTATCAGCTATCGCAGAGCTCTTGTGGCATAACTAGTCTTGACCATGACCAATGTTATCAGTCATCAGTGATACCTTATAATTCGCACTGCTAAGCTATCATTGTTCAACGGGCTGTCCATGAAACATGTTCAACTTAGCCGTGCAGTATTTAATAATACACTCCTGTTTTTGGGTATTCGCCAGTGGACAATCGGCCAGCAATTGTGCAGCCAAAGAAACCTGCGAAGAATGCATACAAGATATCAACTGCGCTTGGTGCATCAATTCCCAAAATGTAAGTATATTTTACGAAATAGGTATGTTGTTTTTTTGTGTGAAGTAAATACCTATGTATTTCTAAATTTGCATAAAATAATTTTTTGTTGCGCTGAATTTGTACGTATAATGTTGGCGCAAATGTAGGTACGTTAAACCATTTGAAAGGAAATGCAGTTTAGGATGCGGTTTTAATACCATTAACGTTTGATAAGATTTGTATCACGAAACATGCAGTATTTTTATTCTGGTTAATTTAATTTTAAAATTTTTTATTCTATTTCTGATCATGAATTATACAGGGTGCTTTAAAAAAGTTGTAACATGCCTTTACTACAGACTTCTGAAACGAAAATAACATGAATTTATCTAACTTGCCTATACTCAAAAGTGCGTAATAACAAACTTACAGGAAGTTAAAGTTAAAAATTAATTAAGAGATTTTTTGATATTGGATTCGATATGTTAGAATATCTAGTTAAACCATATCCCAACCTTTTTGGGACACCCTGTATACTTATTTATATTCCAATTACAAATCACAATCATAAAATACGAAACAAATCTGGCGAGGAAATTTATCAACCCCTTTGCAGGATAACGGAGGTCTATCCGTCCACTGCAACCCCAAAAACGAAAGCCAAAACTGGTGCCAACAATCCGACCTAATATCTCCGTCCATGTCTATCCAAGTAAATAAGGACGTTGACTTCTCCAACGACATCGACAATCCCGTCCAAATAAGACCGCAAGCCGTCAAACTCAGTTTGAGGAAAGGCGAAACGTACGACCTGAGATTCAAGTTCAAAAGCGCCGCCAATTACCCCGTCGACTTGTACTACCTCATGGACTTGTCCAGATCCATGGAAGAGTACAAAGACAACCTGGCAACACTGGGAATGCAACTAGCCGAAACCATGATAAACATCACCACGAATTTCCGACTGGGCTTCGGCAGTTTCATCGACAAACGCGAACTGCCTTTCGTTAGCACCATACCACATAAGTAAACCATCGAATATTCGATTTAAAAATTTTATTATATTTCGTGAATGTGTAGGTTGAAAACCCCCTGCGTGACGACCAGCAAGGTCAACTGCGTCAGCCCCTACAGCTTCAAGAACGACCTGAGCCTGAGCGCCGACTACCAGAGGTTCGTCAGCCAGGTGAAAGCAGCGAATGTCTCCGGCAACCTGGACACCCCCGAGGGCGGCTTGGACGCGATCATCCAAGCCATCGTTTGCAAGGCGAAGATCGGCTGGAGAGAGCAGGCCCGTCACTTACTGGTGTTCTCCACAGGTATTTACCGACCCTAATTCCGTTGTACCTCTTCTAATAAAAGCGGATTCCAGACGCGCTGTTCCACATAGCCGGTGATGGAAAACTGGCCGGCGCGATCGAGCCCAACCCTGCGAGGTGCTACGAAGACGACGCCGATTACTTGACCTACGATTACCCATCCGTGTCGCAATTGAATTACGTCGCCAACGAGAACAACGTTAATATTATTTTCGCCATTGTAAGGAAGAGCAGCACCTTGTCCACCGCCTACAAGCTATTGTCCCTTAACGTCAAAAACTCCAATTTCGGCGAATTGAGCGATAAAGGTGGGAAAAACGTCGTACACTTGGTTAAAGACAATTATAATGTAAGTATATTCAGAGTTTACCCAACATTTTAAACCTTAAAACCTAACCGACCAAGTGAAAGATACTGTGAAAATGGTGTATAGAATGATAATTTTTGACTCGTTCCCGACACTTTTAAGTGTCTTTTTGGTTGGATTTGAAACATAAACACTTTGATTCTGTCACAAAATTTGTCTGCTATCTATTTACCAATTGACCTTTCTTTTATTTCTACTAATTCCACAACAACTTGGGTTCACAAATCCACTGACAAGAACACAGGATCTTTTATACTTGCTTAAAACAACTATATCTTCAGTGCTTCATCCGCCCTTTCAAGCGGCACGCGACACTAATCCACATCCATTGATCCCCAGAAAATAGTTCAAAGCGTGAAATTCACGCACGACGCCCCCGCCGAAGTGGACATCAAGTTCACGTCAAACTGCAACAGCGCAATTCCCGGCCGCTGCGGCGACATCCAGGTGGGCAAAGAGGTGGACTTCGTGGCCTCGATCCAAGTGAGAGACTGCCCGACCGACGGTTCCCTCGCTCGCAGGATCACCATCAGGCCGGAGGGCCTCAACGAGAACCTCACCATCGACCTGGACCTGCTCTGCGAGTGCTCGTGCTCGTCGCCCGGCCACGCGTCCTTCAAGAGGGACTCCGAACAGTGCAATAACCAGGGAAACTTGAAGTGCGGCATCTGCGACTGTTTCGAAGGGCGATTCGGGAGGAACTGCCAATGCGACAGCTCTTTGAGTTCTTCGGATAACGTCACTAATTGCTTTATGGAAGGGTCTACTGATATTTGCTCCGGTGAGTTTGGTACCCATTGTATGTTATTCATCTAAATTTGATGTAACGTAGGTGCTGGTACGTGTAAATGCGGCAAATGCGAATGCCAGAACAATAAAAATCCCAATCAGAGAATCTACGGGCAATTTTGCGAGTGCGACAATTATTCCTGCAAACGAGAAGGAGGTTTGTTGTGTTCCGGAAAAGGTGAGGTATTGCTGAATAATTGAATATATTCTTATTGAATTTTTTGTCGTTGCAGGTAATTGCAATTGTAAGAAATGCGAATGCCAGGCGGGATTCACGGGAGATGCTTGCGAATGCGATGAAAGTCAGGTAAATTGTATAGCGCCCGGTAGCGATATAATCTGCTCGAATCACGGGAAATGCCAGTGCGGACGCTGCGAGTGCGAGATGACTGATAACAACCGGTATACCGGTAAATACTGTGAAGATTGTCCGTCTTGTCCGGCACAAAGGTAAATATTATCCAACTCTAACAATACCTTAGTATAAAATAATTATGTAGGTGTGAAGAATTGAGTCACTGCGTGCAATGCCAAGTTTACAAAACTGGAAAATACGAAAAAACCTGCTGGATCGACTGCACGGCTTTTGAAACTACCGTTTTGGATTCATTAGATGATAATCCCGTAGATGATATTAAAAAATGCAAAATCCCCGACAACGATACGTGTATTATTAACTTCGATTACTACTACAAGGGAGACAATAATTTGGTGGTGAGGGCTTTAAAGAAAAAAGCCTGCCCGGAACAAGCGAACGTAACAGGTTAGTAGGAACATTAGTTTAGTATTATGATGAATTAATTGTTTCTTTTCTCGAATTTGTAGCGTGGATCTTCGGAGTGATAACGTCGATCGTGATAGCGGGTATAATTTTGTTGCTGATTTGGAAAATTTTGACGTCGATTCACGACCGACGGGAATACGCTAAATTCGAAAACGAGAGGAAAAATCTCAAGTGGGGAACCGGCGATAATCCCTTGTATAAAGAAGCTACATCGACGTTCGCGAATCCCGCTTACAAAAGAAATAGCGTCAGAAGGTCTAAATGAAATTTTATATTTTGGTTAATGAGTGCTAGTAACTATACAGGGTGTCCAGAAATATATGTCAATAATTCGGGAGGGTATAAATGACATCAAAATAAGGGATACAACTTCATATAAATTTTAAACCCTTACTTTAATTTCATCTATATGCTCCCAAATTATTGATATCTTTTTTTGGACGTCCTGTATAATTATATGAATTAAACTAGGCAAAATCGTTACCATCCTAGCATAATTGTATGAATTTTAGATTGAGTATCGTTTTTTTTTAAATGTCGTGTATTTAATGTCATAAAGAATTTATTTTTACATAAGACGAAAATATGTATTAGGTTAACATTTCCTAAAAAAGCACCAAATAAATAAACAAATGAAATAAACGGATTTAATTTAGTATACTGTTTAAATTAAATTTGTCACTAAAAAAGTTATACAGGTTGACCCATTTTAGTTTGCAATATAGATTATATAGACTACTGGTGCATACTTATAAAGAAAAAAGAGTGATATTGTATAATTGCAACTTTCTCACTCTAACAACTGTTATTTTAGTAATCGTTCTTTGTTCAACTCATAGAAATGACCATATCGCAAACTTTTATGCACTTAGGTGTAAGTACAAACATTTTGTTCCTAAAAAATTATTTCTTCTTATTCTAACAACACAACTACACTTATTACAATGAAAATACTGAAAAGTAAGGATAACTCGAACCAATATAGCAGTGCTATATGTAGTGCTAATAAAATTTATACAAAATTTCACCCTGGTAATAATTCCCTAGATCGTTTAAGAAAATTACTAATAAATAGTATCTACAGATAGTAATCGTAAGTTCAGTACTTTTAAATTATTGCAGATATCAAATAAATTACTGAATTTTCCAAAAGATAACAGAAGAAATTTGGCAATTAAAAATCACATTTAAAAATAGAGCGCTTCGAGACTCCGCAACACAAAATCCACCATCCGAAAATCGACAATACCAACACGCTCGTAAACATTTGTGCTAATCAATTAATTAAAATCCAAACCGGAGATTCGTTCATCAGCCAAGAAACGCTTCCAAGACCCGCGCCCAACGGCATTCCAACAGCATCAGTATCACATTGTATTAGAACTTATCACACTCGGCCCGCCAGTCAACGTGCCGCAACGCTAGGGACACAGCATACCCGCCGTCTGCATCAAACACTTGCACCTGCAGCCGCTCAGGCACGTGTCGTGGAACGACAGCCACCACTTCATGCACTTAGAGTGGCCCCCGTGGCCGCACAGCACGCACGTGTTCGCCGAACCTCTCACCGATAGGTGGCAAATCACGCACTTCAGGGTCAGCTTCTTGCAGGAGCCGCAGCTGCCGAACTTCGCCGGTTTCATGCAGTGCTTGCAATCGCTTATGAACTCCACGCCTTTGTGGACTTCGGGCGTGGCGCACATGAACTTCAGCACCTCCGTGCGGTGGTAGATCAGGCCCCAGCGGTGCAGGGTCTCCGCGTAGGCCGTTTTGTAGTATTCATAGAGGGAGTTCGGGGCCGTTTTGGGGGCGGGTATTTTGAGCGGTCCTTCGATGGTGAGGTTGTCCAGGGACGTCGATCGGGTGGTGCGAAGCATAGGGAGTACCCAGCCATCGGCTACGATGTCAGCTGGGGGTATAGTGTGGTAAGGCGAGGATTCCGGCTAAAATTAATTACATTCCAATTTAGTTATTGTAGCTAGAATAGCTCGTTACACAAAAAGTAAGCGTGTATAATAATCAAGCAAAATACGAATTGGATGATCTTATGCGGTTACGATCAATGTTTACCATTATTTTATTGGAATCGGTACCAGCGTACCGGAAATGAGCCAGAGCGCGCCAAAAACAAAGAGTCCCTTCACAAACACCACATTTATATAAATTCAAATTAAATTACCTTCAACCACTTTTTCCCAGGTACTAGTTGCTATAAAAGACAGATAAATGGTTTAGTATGATAAGTGCATCGGAAAAGTGTATGTACGTCGAATAAGAAAACACTAAACTGAATTAATAATGATATTAAAGCTTTGGGGTTACTGTACCTTAGAACCCGAAATTGTCAATAGAAACCTACAATTATACTATTCGATGGGATATTTATAATGCTAATACTTTACATGTAATTGAATATATACAACCAATTGTACTTACCACCGGAGATAATAACGATTTCAACGAGGACTTTCTTACGGATACGTCGTGTTCTTTACCGAATATACAACAAAGCATAGCTGCCATTTGAATATCGTGTTGGGACGCATAATCGCTGATTCTACAAAAGGAAATATCATAAAACAATTCAAAAATATACCCACTATTGAAACCCTTACAAAGACTCCATTAATTTGTTCCCGAACGGATGGTTGCTCCACGAGTTTTCCTCGTCAGCCTGCTGGGGCCCGGCGACCAACTCGGCCAGCGTCCAAGTCTGCACGAGGTCCCATCGTCCCACCACGGCGGCGGCGGCGGCGTTGTGCTTGCAAATCGTCCCCACGTCCCCGTCCAGGATGTACTCCTCGGCCAGTTGCTTGTTGACAAAGAACAGCCCCAAGGCGTCGTATATGTGCACGATGGCCTTCGAGAACTTCATGTAATTCTGCTTGGCTCTGGACCGCTGTCGCTGGTAGTAGAAGGCCGACACCGTCATGTAGTCGTCGGGTCTCTTCGAATAGGTGTTCTCCAGCGCCGAGAGCGCCCTGGGGGTGGAAGACACCGTCCTGGGGGATATATCGGCTTTCATCGATAATCTTCTGGCGTGCACCGGTTGCCCGAAGCACACTAGCATTCCTACCGAGCAGAATTTAGCGCCTGACGTTCTCGGGAACGGGATGTAAACGTCGCTGTTGTTGAATATGTTGTGAGGATCCATGTAGGGTCTGGTGTAGACCCGTTTGTTTTCCGTGTCGCTGGATAGCTGTTCGAGGGTTGTGACCATCTGTCGCAGGCAGGATTCCAAGCAGGTTCGGTTCTTCGAGACCCTCTGCAGCGCTAGATGCGTCAGCATTTGGAGAAGTTGCGCGGCTATCGAATCGCCGATGTTGGAGCCTTCCTTCACGACCTCGAATCCGGGGGGCACGCCGTGAGGATAGGCGCTGGGAAAGTTGACCTTCAGAATTGCCACGAAATTGTTAATAGTCGCTTTGACGAGGACGTGTCGAGCCACCGCGTCCATTTTCAATATCGTTAAATTCGGTATGTGTATGTTCAGCAGGGAGAATTCTTGTTGGAGCGGCTGGACTTTCGGCGATGTTTTTTTGAAAAACCTGAAGTTTTCCGAGTATTCGTGAGATTTGAATGGATCTTTGGATTCGATCGGTTCGAAGCCGCACAGTTTCTGAAGGTAATTGTCTATTTTCCAAACTAACAACGCTTGGTCTTTGGACCAGGTCACTAATCGAAAGTCTGTATCGTCCGGATGTTGCTTTTTCCATTCGAAATCCAATATGACATCTCTGTGACCCACAAATGTATGCACCGGAGTATTACGGTTCGCGGTATTCCATAGTAAAAGGCTGTTTTCTCCTGTTACAAAACGTACCAGGATTAAAATATGAAATAATTCGTGAATAAACTCACCTCTTCTCAACTGCGGAACGACTGCAGTTACCAATCCAGTACCAAAAGGAGTGTACCTGGCCCTCCACACTGGTGCATTAGTGGTCAGTACGCATTCGGGCCTACGATTGTTAGTCGTATCGAAAAACTTGACAGTGTTATCTTGGCTGCACGAGCAGATGTGATTCTCAGAAGTCGGAGACCAATCTAATCCGTGGATTTTAGCTAAATGAGCGGCTATATACTGAACGGGAGCGGTGCCTTTTCTCTGATCCCACACTTTTATATCCCCTTCGTGGGCTGTCGCTAGCAAATGATGGGAGATCTTGTTCCATCGTACTTGCGATGCTTCCGCTACTGCAGATAGCGATAAAGTGGGTTTTCTGGAATCCCTCAAGTCCCACAAATGAATGAAAGTGTCCACCGAACACGAAGCTAAAATGTTGGGATCGAACCGGTGCCAGTTCAAGTCCGTTATCACCCTCGTGTGAGCCCGGACGGAGAAGTTTTGTATCAATTCTTCCGTTCTCCATGTTAACACTTCCAATCGTTGATTGCTCTAGAAAACAGAAGCGCGTTGGTAACGAATTAGATACGATTTAAGGGGGAACTTTGTACCGATATAACGCATAATTCCTTGTGAAAACTCGTGGGATTCCATTCTGCAGCGCCTACAGCGTATTTGCTTTGTCTGGGGAACTTGTGTACAACAAAATCTGAATCGAGATCGGTTACAGCTAAAAATCTTCGACTAAAACAATTATATAAAAAAAATTATGCAAATATTTTAAAATATGAATAGGATTATAAAAAATAGATTGAAAAGGAAAACGTTATTAAATAATACATACCCGGCTAATAAAACGAACGTGCCCGTAGAATCTACTGCCATAGCATTCGCTTGCAGGTCTTTGCATTCTAGGGCAACGTAATATTCGCTGTTCCAAGAGCGTAACATTTTGTTCATATTCATTTTTGCGTTAAATCTAGTGCGAATCTAAACGTAAAATCTGTTGGAATACTCTAATTGCGTAGAAATAACTGAAATAGTTTTTTTCATAATCACAACTCACAAATGAAAACAAAAACATAAGACATAACCTATAATTCTTCTATTTGGAAAGGATTTGTTATAAACGGTGCTTAGACTTGGGTGTGATTCAGTCAGCTGAGACGGAGTTTTTGAAAATTTGTAATAATAACACTATAACGACTTTAATTATTGCGATTTTCTTTTAAACACTCGTTTCTAAATGTGCACAAGAACTTCTAGCACGATAGTGTTGATATTCGATAAGAGTTATTTGCGGTTTGTTTCGAAAATAAATGAATAATTTAATGGCACAGAGATAAAAAATATTTAAAATTAAAATGTTATTGATATTTAGAGGTTTCGAATTTCGTACATAAAATTATATTAATAAAATCAAAATAAAATAGGTAAAATTAACATGGACAGCAAAAGATTGTCAGTAGCCTTTTAAAAATCTCTTTATAAAAGATTGCAATATTTTTCAAAATTGCAAAAAAGTTCAAATTCACAGCATGAAAAGGCGTGTAGATTACATAAAAAATATAAATATAGCGAAATTAAATTTAATTCAATAAATTATTAAAATCAATAAGCACAGATCCTAATTAAGTTCAATTAAATAGAGATTTTTATTAAGTATACTTAAAAAATAAAATAAAATATACACTCTCCTTTAAATAATTTAATTATTTACAAAAATATAATCTAGTGTCGAACAAAACTTGACAAAACATCAAACGCCAAAAATTACACCTAAATAATCCAATAAAACCAATTCCTCGCCGCCGATCCCCGCCTGCGACGCCACTGGCTTCTCTTCCACAAGTAATAGAATCATTAAAACAATTTTACACAGGATATGCGGCCCAAACGAGCCGCAGTAGTAGCACTAACACCCACTATAAACAGTACGAGTTAAACCTGCAAAACAAACCGATCCGAAGGTGATACCTGCGATTCCTGTAACCCCAATCACCCAGATATTACCGGTAACATCACCTTTACCTTTACCTCTTCACCTTTACCAGTGCATTGAATCCACCTCGGTAGAAGGGGGACCCGGCGGCTCGAGACCCGACGCAGCACTCGACACCCGAATTAAAAATTCGAATCCGTCTGAAATACCGAGTGTTGGTTCCGATACGAGCAATGTGGAAGCCGTCGTCGTCGGTCGGAAGCGGTGAGGTTGGAACAACACGTGGTTCGTCGGCGATTTACGCACCGCGTGGTGTCAGATAGAGAAGACAGGCTCTCCTGGTGCATCGGCGAAAGACAGTGATCGGTGGTGGTCGAGAGGATTCACCGAAGATGAAGACTTTGGGGGAGGATAAGGGCGCCGGCGAGGACGCCAAGTCGTCGGACGGGGTGAAAATGAAGAAGGAATTGGGTTTGATGGACGGCGTGGCGATTATTGTGGGTGTCATCATCGGGTCCGGGATTTTCGTGTCGCCCAAGGGGGTGTTGAGGTATTCCGGTTCGATCGGGATCGCTATTTTGATATGGATCTTGTCCGGGATTTTGTCCATGATCGGGGCTTTGTGCTACGCCGAATTAGGTATGGATATTTGTTGTTGTTTATTACAATTTATGCGCATTTTTTGGTTGTAGTTATAACTGTGCTATATAAATTATTTGTCCCTGAATTTATCGGCATGGTAAATGCAAATTTTAGGTCAAAAAACGCGCACTTTATTTTTATCAGAGCGCATTAAACTTATTTATCAGTCATTACGAGAATTATTTAATATTACTTTAAATTGACACAAATCTACTAAGTTAAATATAAACAATACAGATTATACTCAAGGAAGAAATACGTTTAATCACATTAATATCTATATCACAGATCCATATTAAAAGGAATTTTGCACTAAAATTTTACTGAAAAAATATATTTGAATAAACAATAATGATTGCGTCAGAATATAATTTTTTTATGCCGAAACTTTATACCTATAAAGGCCATCTGGGACCGCAAACGCCGAAATCAGATGGGAAACGCGATTACACCAATTGTTGCATCATACACTTAACTGAGCTATCGCGAATCGTGATATGACGGAAATATACCGGTCTGACCTACACAAAAGAATACTAAATCTACATGGGGTTTATTATGCTAGTAGAATTGTATGGCATTCAGCAAGGACCTTCAGGTACAACCGGTTTCTTCAACGGTTGATTATGAGTCTACTGAGATTTCTTATTTGATAGATTATAAGATTTATCTAACAAGAGTGTATTTGGGTAGCTAGGGTGGTTATTCTGAGCTATATTCACATTTAGATGTTTACCAAGGATATACCAGGTTTTTAAAGCAGAAATAAAGCTAGGATTAATATTTATAGTTAATATTATTCCGAGTTTCCAACTACTTTCAATCTGTTTTTCAATTTTCTTCAATGACGTTTTGAAATTTTTATAATTCAGGGCAATTACTTGTAAAAAAAATAAAAAAGAACTGGCTGTAAAATTAATATCAGAGAATTAAAGAGACTCAAATGTTTATATACCTACTATTACTATTTACCTACTATTTATTGTTACGTAGGTAATTGACATAAATCTTCTAGATTAGTAATAGCTGATAAAAGTAAACGCACTTAAATTTTCAAAGGAAGAAAATGCCGAGTGTTTGCAAAGTGCTCCTGCAAAGTGTTTGTATTGAATTTGTAAAACCTTGACTTCCTGCGGTGTGGCCCAGATACCCAGATAGCATAAAAGGAAAATCCTTACAAATTCTAGGTAGAATGAAAGTTCCTCACTAACCGGCCTTTATTATTTTTCATGATTAGTAAGCTTTTCGAATTGAACAAAATTTTGAACTCTTTAAATAGGATTTTTGCATCAATTATTATCTAAGATAATTTAATAATGTGCGTACAGAATTCTAGAAAAAATACCACAAATCTTGGAATTTTCCACAAGAAATACATTGTAACTTTTTGGCACAAAATAATCAAATATACTATCAGTTTCAAGTCAGGTTATACGCATTTAAATATTTAATTTATGATTTAATTTTATTGCCAGAAGCAAACCATTGTTAATTTACGTTATGGTCGTTTCAAAGTTTTATTTTGTAGTAAAATTTTTGGGGGCCAACGTAGGCGCATTTTTATAACTTTACATCTGCAAAACTCAAATTTAATTAGGTCAACGTTTGTTTATTCAGTACTGTTTAAGTGTACTTACAACTATTTACCAATATGGACTACTTAAAAAATAAATTACCCGAAAAATTGTTTAAAATTTGAAAAAAAATATAATCAAGGATTTTAACAACTTTTAGCTGATATTACCTAATAGAAATTCAATACCAAAGCGGTAAATTATCGAACAGGCTCCTTTTGTATTCGCACCATCGCATTTTATTTTGTTTATCAAGGTTTACCTACCTACAAAGATAAGGAAACATGCGTGGTTTAAACACATTCTTATCTAGAATTAACTTATTGACCGTGCATTTTTAAATTATTTTTTTTATTATCAGCCTCTCTCCTAATTGAATCAACTCTATTTACTCTCCTCAAAATCCCACAGAAGCCCCAAACACAGTAATTCAGGTCGTTAAATTTAATTGCGAAAAATATCCATCTATCAGATAATATTTAGGCAAACAAGCGGAATAGCGTGAAACGAAGGAAGCGACATCAGTACATCACGCTACAACGCACTTACAACACCTACATAACAACAGAACACCTAATTTGAAACGGCACAATATCTCTAATAATAAGTATATTGAATTTCCTTTTCTCCTTTTGAGAGCTGGAACCGCTCTCGGAGATGTGTATGACCTCGCAAGCGATAATTGAATTAGACCCGCTCCGCTTAATCGTAAAAAGGCTTTTGGAAATTTTATTTAGACCAAACCGAACTAAACTAAGAATTATATTTAGGATGTACAAAAAAAAGACTAGCAACAGACGCGTTTAGACTGCTTATATTATAGAGTGGACTGTTGGTAAAAAAATATGTGTTGTATAATAGATTTATTAAAATTAATAAGTAAATAGGAGCAGATTAAATTGTGCCTTTTTTGTATGAGAAAAAAGATGAGGATTTTATGAATTTACATCAAAATGAAAAGGTTATCAATGACAAAATATGGTAATTTTCTTCTACTCATCTAGAAGAGCTCTTCTCTGAGACACCAATAATAGCTTATTGAAAAAGTCTAATAATAAAATTGTTAATAGTAGTATCTACACTAAAATGATTAATATGTACTAAATCTGATCTAAAATGAATATGTGCTAATTTTCTTGAATTTATCTTGCACAATTTCGAAGAAATAAAATAACAACCATCTTCAGGGCAGATCCCTTGAGGACCTGTAGCTCCTTTAAAAACATTTATAGTATTTATATTCTCATGTAAATTATAAAATATTTCCCACAGAAAAATCTCCAGTTTTACCATCTAAATATTGCAAAATGCATAAAGATGAGAGTTTTGTTGATTTTCAGGTACAATGATTCCCAAGTCGGGGGGCGATTACGCTTACATAAAAGAAGCCTTCGGCCCTCTACCAGCTTTTTTATACCTCTGGGTGGCGTTGTTCATTTTGGTTCCTACGGGAAACGCCATCACTTCCATAACATTCGCCCAGTACATAGTGCAGCCGTTTTGGGGCACCTGCCCGGCCCCTTACGAAGCTGTTAGGCTGCTAGCTGCAGCTACAATATGCATATTGACTGTAAGCGAGTTTTATATAAGTATTATAATTATAAACTAATAAAAACGTAATTCTAGCATATTATAATCGATTAAATAATCCAAAATTTTTAGGTAATTAATTGTTACAATGTTAAATGGGTCACCAGAGTCCAAGATATATTCACGGCGACTAAAATGTTAGCCCTAGGAATCATCGTACTGGCCGGTATTTACTACGCCTGCACCGGGCACTTGGAGAACTTCAACAGACCGCTGGACGGTACGAAATGGGACCCGGGTCACATAGCTCTAGCCTTCTACTCCGGCTTGTTCTCGTACTCCGGTTACAATTACTTGAATTTCGTCACCGAGGAACTGAAAGATCCTTACAAGTAAGCGCAGCGGCGAAAAGCCATTATGTTTTCGATACATTTATCTCGTTCCAGGAACCTCCCGAAGGCCATACTGATATCCATGCCGGTGGTGACGATCGTCTACGTGGTCACCAACGTGGCGTACTTCGTGGTGCTGAGCAAGGACGACGTCCTGTCCTCCGACGCCGTCGCCGTCACCTTCGGCGACAAAATCATGGGCGTCTGCTCCTTTCTGATGCCCGTGTTCGTCGCCTGCTCCACCTTCGGCTCCCTCAACGGCGCCATATTCGCCTCGTCCAGGCTGTTCTTCGTCGGCGCCCGCGAGGGGCAGTTGCCGCAGGCCATTTGCCTGATTTCCGTCGCCCATTTGACTCCCGTACCATCTCTAGTTCTACTGGTACGTTCATTAATCGATGCCAATAAATAGAATTTTAGGAGTACAGTTAATGCATCCATCCTGGTAGTTCCAGCACTACCATTTTCCCGTTTCACCAAAAAATCCTCTCCAGAATATGAAGAACGACTGCATCTTCTACCTTCCTGGTTTACAGTTTTTCGTTTCCATAATACTCTGTTTTCCCAATCTTCCTGTTCCAATTCTTTAGGTTCCTCCTTCTTGCCTCTTCTTCTTGTAGTCCATTCCATATAATTAGGTATAATCCATTATAATCCAGCTCTTCGCGAGATCTCTAGGTTCTCTAATAAAGAAAACCAATGGCTGCATTAATCCAGTTAATTAATTTTAGGGCATAATAACGCTGCTGCTGGTGATGGTAGAAGACATCTACGCCCTGATAAACTACTGCTCGTTCGTGGAGGCCGTCTTCATCCTGATCAGCATCCTGGGGCTGTTGTACCTGCGCAAGGTGAAGCCGAAGCTGGCGCGGCCGATCAAAGTGAACCTCGCGCTGCCGATCACGTTCCTCGTGATCTGCACGTTCCTGGTGATACTGCCGTGCTACGTGAGCCCCGTGGAGGTGGGGGTGGGAGTGGCGCTGATCTTGTGCGGCATCCCCGTGTACATGGTGACGATTTGGTGGCAAAACAAGCCGGCGATCATGAGGAGGGCGTTCGACGGTTTCAACAATGGCTGTGCTAAGTTATTTATGTGCGTACCGGCGGAGAACGAGAAGTATTTGTAGTATTTATTGGTTGGTTTGCTCCACGGCCGGATATTTCTAAGGTCGAAAAATTGTCCCATTATTTGAGGATAAAACAGGGTTCCAAAAACGGCCGATAGGTGGCGATGTTGTAAAGGACGCGGTTTTTTTGCATACGAATTAAATAGAATTAGCATAAAAACGGTTTCATTCCAACTAAAAATAAATACAAAATATAAAAATATACCTAAATCAGCGATGATTTTGTTGTTAACATCATGTCTCACGTATCTTCGGTTAATGTATTTCTCCATTTTCTCCTCGAAATGTCAAAAAATAATTTTTGAAGTTTTGACAGCTTGAACTGTCATTTCACAACCGCGATTTATATGTAGCGCGACGCTGATTGGCTGAGATAAGTTGGTCCTTCGATCGTTCGCCACGGTGCGGCGCAAAAGTGAAGCTCAAAAAGTCTTCAAATAACGGGACACATTCTCTAATGAATAAGCATAGGGAGTTTCCAGACCTTAGAAATATACGGCCGTGGTTTGCTCGAATGCGGTTCGGGGGAACTACTCTCGGGAAGAACTACTTCGAGTCGCGTGGAAGAATACGGTTGTTTAGTATTAGGTAGTTGGAAGGACTTTTTTTCCTACGCTTGCCAAAGTTTTTGTTGTTATTTCTCGAATAATCTTTTCTTTTTCTTAATAGTACCATTCCATTTTTTACAAGTATGTAGCATCATTTTGTACATATTGAATAAATACAAGTCTTTTTCCTATATTTTAATTAATTCTAGAATATAATTAACAGCTTAAAACTATGCAGTATAAAATCACTGAGACGTTGTGTTATTATTACATTAAGAGGTAGTATTGGTTCTTTAAAACAAGTGTTTTAAAAATCAATGCTTATAGTGTCGCTTGCAAAACTCCATCATTCTAGCGCAAGCCTCCTCTAGCAAATCTTCGGGCACTGTGAGTACGATCCTCAAGAAACCAGGAATGGCAAAACACTGAAAAATAAAATAAAATCTTATAATAAAAGCTCGCTAGAATAAAAGCGAAGAAATTTTGAAACTTACTTCACCAGGTAAACAAAACACCGACTCCTCCTCCATCATTTTCTGCGCGAATTCGAGCCCGTCGGCGAACGCCGGGAACTTCTCCATCTGTATCTCCACCAGCATGTACATGGTACCTTGCGGCATGAAGGGCGTCAGGCCTTCGGTGCTCTGCAGGCGCTCGAAGGCCAGTTTCGCGTTGTTGGCCAACGTGCCGATCAAGGAATCGAAGAAACTTTGCGGCGTGTTCTTCAATATGGCGGGCAAAGCGCCTTGGATCAACGTATTGCTGCCGATTATGCGCTGAGTGAGCGAATTCAGCGCTTTGCGCACGTTGTTTAGCACCCCGAATTCGTCGTGGACTATTATCCAACCCAATCTCCAACCTGGAACCTAAAACAAACAGTTCCCCGTTAAAATAGACAAAACAACCTTTTTTGAACGTATTATTAGAAGAATTAACCGACGATGAGGATTTTTTAGAGGTTTTAAATGGCTTTTTACATCCTAGAAGACCACAAAACACAAAACAACCCTGAAAAGTTTTGGCATGGAACGTTATATTTCTGATGAACAACGGAATTCAGTGCAACCACGGGCCTTAAATGATTCATATTGAACCACGGCCCTATATTTCTTAGGTCTGGAAACTCTGGAAACTATGCATTAGAGAATGTGTCCCGTTATTTGAGGACTTTTTAAGCTTCACTTTTGCACCGCACCGTGGCGAACGATCGAAGGACCAACTTATCTCAGCCAATCAGCGTCGCGCTACATAAAAATCGCGGTTGTGAGACGAGAGTTCAAGCTGTCAAAACTTCAAACATTATTTTTTGACATTTCGAGGAGAAAATGGAGAAATACATTAACCGAAGATACGTTAGGCATGATGTTAACAACAAAATCAACGCTGATTTAAGTATATTTTTATATTTTCTATCCATTTTTAGTTTGAATATAACCGTGGTCCTTCACAACATCGCCTCCTAGCGGCCGTTTTAAGAACCCTGTTTTATCCTCAAAAAACGGGACACTTTTTCGACTAGTGTTTCCAAACCTTAGAAATAAGAACGTGTATTGAACAAAATCTTACCAAGAACCTCTTGGCTATGCCGCCGCAAACCAGTATGGGCACGCCTGAGTTGAGGGAGGCGGCCGATACGAACTTCTCGCCGGGGAACACCAGGTTCTCGTAGATTTCGTCGGCTATGACAGGCACCCGGTACCTGTAGGCTATCTCCAAGATATTGCGCAGGTGCTCCTCGCTGAAGCTCGATCCGCACGGGTTCGACGGGTTGTTGACCACGATGGCCGCCGTTTTCTCGTCGATTTGGGACTCCAGGTGGTCCAGGTCGGCCTCCCAGTTGTTCTCTGGCATCAAATTGTAGTACCTGATAAAGGGAAATTTATATATTCCACGGGAACTTATTTTCGATGGGAGAACTTTACCTGACTTCCACGCCGATGTGCTCTGCCAAGGTCCTGTAAATGGGAAAGCCAGGCCGCGGGATGACGATGTTCTGGTTTTTGGTGCCATCGGCTAGGACTGTGATGCAGTGCTCCAGGGACGAGGAGCAGCCGCTGCACAAGATGACGTCGTTCGCGTCGATTTGGACGTCATTTTGGGAGAGGTACTCGGCGACGGCTTGCTTGGCTTCCTGGTGACCGGAACTGGCTACGTATCCATTGAACAGGCCCTCTACCAGCGCTGATTTGACGGCTTCTACAGTTTCTTCGGCTGCTTTGAGGTTGCCGTAAACGGTGGGATCGCCTAAAGAAATTATAAAGGTTTATGAGATCTATTAAAATCTTTGAAATTATGTTCAAACACACCTTGCAGAGAGTAACTAAAACCTGTAAAATGTGTTTAAATAACAGGAAAATACACAAGATATGTATATTTTCAAAATATCTATTAATACACATATTCCTACACCATTTTCTTTTAATAAATTGTTAAGGAGAATAACAGAATATATGTGTACACTTACTACATTTCTGCCTACATTTTCAAAAAACTAACGCGAATTTTCCACCTGTTTCAACTTATGTTTCATTTTAGATCCACTGGCTTTCGAGAAGTAGGATTTTGTAATATAAAAATCTTATTTATTTGAATTAGTTGTAATGAATTGCATCTGTTAAAACAAGGTTAAAAGGTTATTGTCCACAACAGAAAATTCCATGGAATGGAATTATTAAAAATATCTACGTATGTGATGTTGTTTAGGATATCAAGAAATAAACTAAGAATTTTATTATGAAACTTCTATTAATAGGATTACCCTAATATTTTAATAATGAACCTATCTAAGAATTCAAGCACATACAAAATGATTCTTCCCAGAAATTAGATATTAGATGAAACAATATCTTCAATTTAACTTTATCTTCCATTAATTTTTATTAGCAATTAAATTATATTATTTAGTTCTACATAAATAGGTTATTTAAATGTTATAGTATATTAAAATTGAACAAACCTCTTCCTGTACTAACCTATGGATAAAGCGATAACGCTTTTCTCTGGATTGGGCTGCAAATCCAAGTTATCGACGATTTCCCTGATGAAATTCCTGCAATTATTCGCGGAGGTCGAGGGCTCGACGTTCCAAACGTTTATTTTCGGGTCTTCGATGATACTAACACTTTCTGATTTTTCTAATTTTCGGTCGTACATGCTCACACAAGAAATCTGGTGAAAAAGGTCTTATTCGGCTGATGCAAGAGGAACACTTTTCGCCACTGATCAATAAAGAGATTTAATTAAAAATAGTAAGTTCAACACGAATTGTTGCTCCTTTATCTGCAGCTTTGTGATATCTGACTCGTTACCCAACTAGATTGCTTTATATTTTGTTATTTTTGCTCAGTACGCAAATGGTTAATTACGAACGAACTTTCGATATGCAGATTATAAAAAAACTATTTTTTTTAAACGTGCTACATCCTTCTACAAGTTCAAGTTCAATTTTCCAGCGGTTTATCTCATCTGATTGCTTCATTAGGAATACACAAAAATCTCTAATCGTAGAATATATTTTCGCTAAAATTATTTGTAATTACTAGTTAATTCACAATAGATAAACAGGGGAAAATTAATGAATTTTGCAGTATTTATATTATAAGAATTCTAAGAATAAGTGTGATTAAATACAGGGAATTTATTCGTACATTTTACATCAAAGAGGAGTTTTTAACAAAGTCTAAAAAAATTTATAATTACAAGTTAATTCACAATAGATAAACAGGGAAAATTAATTAATTTTGCAGTATTTATATTAAGAATAGTGTGATTAAATACAGGGAATTTATTCGTACATTTTACATCAAAGAGAAGTTTTTAACAAAGTCTAAAACAAAGCTTTGCTGCTCTAAGTAGGTAAAATCTAGAATACCTATTGTGGAATAGTAGGAGTAATGAGAACCTAAAAAATAATAAAAATAAAATCGTACGTCTCTGGCCGGAGCCCAAATAACGTCAATCACACATGTATTTTCGATGAAGCGAGAAGAGCGTCGAAATTAATTCAAAAATAATTACATATAAACATTCCCCGCGCTGTTATTAGACAGTAATAAATACGAGCCGTGCGGCCAGAACGCACTTACGTAAAATTTGTTTTTAAAGGCGCGTTTACGAAAATTTCCCTGGAATCGATCTGAAGAAATGTGTTGTCCTGTTGTCAATTGAATTTTCGTTCGCTATCTCTAAGCATTCGATTCTACGAGTACGTAAGCAACAGTGGATGGCGCAATCACAACAATCGAGCTGATAATTTCATTACAAATATAGTAAATGCAGATTGTATTTTATTTAGTTTAAATTATACAGAAAGGATTTCAGATCATAAATGTTTTGGTCCGTATTCAGCTCATTCCTTCTGGCAATACTTAACTGAAGAATGGAATTCCTGTTTGGGATATATTAGTGCAGCACTGACATGAAGAGTGATAAAAAGTACAAGCGAAAATTCTTGGCGTTGTTTTCAAAAGCATTTCAATGCAGGGTAGAGTAGATTAGAGTAGAGAGTACTGAGTAAAGAGTATAGAGAGTAGTAAATCAAGGATAGAAAGTATGGTAGAGAGTGGAGTAAAGAGAATAGAAAGTAGAGTAGTTTAGGTTAGGGGAATTCCTGCTTGGGATTAATGGCAAGAATTTACCAAAATTCAAATATCATGGAAGGTCTTCTGTCTCTCTGTTCAATGCATTCAATGAATACCATCTGAACCTCTCTATTGCAAAATTTCAGAGTTCCAATTAGAACAGTTTGTATAATTGAAAATCAATAAAATATAGAAAATCAAAAGAAAGAATAAGTACCAATTAATACTTCCTTTAGAGGAAAATCGATAAACGCTTGTGAATTAATGAAGCCAACAATACTTGGAAACGATCCAACAGAGGTAAATAATACAGGAGAAAATTACTGGTCCGAAACGTTATAAGCAATTTTCTTGTACATTCCATTAATTTTCTTCCTACCCATGCAGCATCACGATTACCGATTCAACGCCCATACCTAATCGACCCCATCATCTAATCTGTATAAATAGCACATCAATGTCATCGATTAGCGACAATCAATGCATTTCGATTCGACCGAAAAGAAATTCAAGGAAACCCACAACCTCCCAAATTTGGTCAGCCCAACAAACGTATTCGTTTGTATTTGCATAGGCACTCTCTATAGGCAACTATGCGACCTTGCGAAACCGTTTGTTTCCAAACAGAACAGAAGCAGGAAAGTTAATTTTAGCCCCGCAACCAGCGAAGAGCGCTCGCTTAAACGCCATTCGAACGGACATTTCGGTTTCAGTTTTAGCGATAGACCGATAGACGTTAGACAGGACGCTCCCACTAGAAAACGGGCGTCGGTGTCGCACTTTAAATAGTGCAGCGGAGCGCGATCGTTCGTCAAACCAAGTCCATCATTCCTCCGCGCCATTATTCAGCAAGCGGTTAAATCGCGCTCGTAACGTTTCGACTATTTTTACTACACGACACGAGGAACGTGCATCGTTAAAAATACTCGTTCTAAATATACGTGTCGGCTCCAACAACATCCGACTCGGAAAATCGTCAGGAAAACAAGAAAAAATCATGAAATAAGCGACATCGTCAGTCGGCCCCGCGTTTTCGGACCAAACTTGCGAGTGCCGCGCGTGGGCGGTGCATTTCTAAATGGATTCCTAAATCGCGATCGAGTGAAACGAGTGTTACGTCATGGCGCACGAGGCGCACCTAAGGAGAAGCCCCAAAACGGACTTTCTGCAAAACGCCGGGCTCCTCTCCCGCGAGCGGAGCTTCGTAAGGCCCAACAAGGACCCCGGCAAGCGGCGATCGCAAACCATCATCGCCGTCAAGGGCAAGCCCACGATGGAGATCTACCGACCGCCCAACGTGCGGACGGACCTGCCGATGGGCCCCGGCGGCAAATTGAACGTGCACGCCAAAGAATTCACCATGAACCACGAGCTACAGTCGTCCAAGTCCAGCGGCAACCTAAATATAGCGCTGGCCTACGAGCCGATCGGCCTGCAGCACTCCAAATCCAGCGGCAACGTCCTCCGGCACGTGAATCACCCCGGACTCATTCCTTTCATATCCGGCGTGCCGTTGCCCCTGCTGCACTCGGCCTCGACCACGCAGCTCTTGAGCCAGATGCACCGGCCGGTGCACTACCATCCGGAGCTGCTGGGCCATCCGGTGTTCGCCGGCGTCAACCAGTCGATCTACCACCAAAACTGGACCAACGGCGTGCAGCCGAAGCAATCCAGCCCGAAGCCGAGCAACCTGAAGCGATCAAAGAGCCTCGGCGCGTCGGATTCCAAAGCGGTGGCCAGCAAGTTGAAGGAAATTTCGAAGGAGGAAATCGACTTGAGTATATTCCCTCCAGACAACCAAACGAATCTGAAAGCAGCTCTGAACGATCCAGCGCAATTACCCACGCGCACTCTAATGGATCTGGTCAAAACGGTGATGGAGCGAGCCGTTGAAGGGATGAAATACAGCGAACCGGTCGCCAAACTATGCGTGGTGATCATAGAAAGCGAAAGGAACCAAACGTTCCTCGAGTCGCTGCTGAACCTCTGCCAGCAGTGGTACCAAGAGCGCGACCGGCTCCTGCGAGGCGTCAAGGCCGGCGACGGCACCCGCTTCACGGCCTTCATGTGGTTCCTGGCGGAGATGTGCAGCCAGCTGAAGCGGCGCCACCTCAAGGACCAGGTGGAAGGGGTGCCGGCCGAGCTGGTGCTGCTCTCGGTGCTGGCCAAGTGCTGTAAGGCGTGCGTGGAGCTGCCCATCAAGTGCCTGTCGGAGACGGAGTGCCTGTTCTTCGTGCTGACGTCGATCGGCAGGGACCTGGAGGCGGAGCTGCCGCAGCAGCTGGAGCAGCTGCTGGCCAACGTGCGGGACGGGTTCCTGGCGAGCGCCGGGTCGCCGGGGGTGCGGCGCACGCTGCTGCAGCTGATCGAGCTGCACGCGTCGAATTGGCAGCTGCCCGGATCGTCCGTGCTGTATTATTATCCTAGGATTAAGTGACCGCTCGTCTCGTACTTAAACCCATGTATGTTGTTTTTTTTTTGAGAAACTGTTTTTTACTTGGTAATATACTACGTTTTAATGTGTATGTTTGTTTAACTGCGGAACGTTATTCATGCAGTGGTACTCATAGTCATGTCTAAAAATAAAGTATTAGGATTAATTAATAGATATTACAGTGCTATTTGGAATTATTTAATTTTTTTATAGGAAGTCAGAAGGTAGGTAGGTGTTTAGAAGGTTTGATTATAATGTAGAACTTATACAGTGCGTTCTATTGCAAAACAATCTATTGATAAAAAATATGAGGTATTTTTCATATAATTTCATTTACTAAATTTTACCTAATTTACCTAATTTAGCTATTTACATTTACCTAATTTAGTTCATCTTAGTTCTTATCATTTTACTAACATTATTTTTTGTCTCCAAAAATGTGTATTGAAAAGACTGATTTGCTAAAAAAGTTATTCTCTCCTGTAATTTTTACATAAAACTAAAAAATCTAAAAAAAATGAAATCACCTATACTAACACTCTTTAGAAAAAGGCTTCGAAAAGAGCACTCTTTATATGAAAAATTCCTTTTATTTTTTCCCAAGGATTGACCTCTACACGTACTTAGGGAACACAGTAAACAATTAATTGTTATTACGTAAGAGAGGTGCAATTCAGTAGCTGAATGATAATTGAGAAATATGACACATATTATTCAATGAACATGTTCAAAAGAAGACTAATTTTCCTAGTTTTATTTATACCAGTTTTATCATTTATTACAGTGTTTTCAGGAAGGGATCGAGAACAGACATTTTTAACCATTAATTTATAACTATTGCAATAACGATGTTTAAAAGTAACAATGCACTTTATTGTAAGTTTAATTAGGTAGAAAATATTATCCGTTATATTTCTGGAATGATGATTCAAGAGTACGTCTGAATATCCCGAATTATATTTCCTTCCTTTACTTATGTTTAAGTAGACGGGTAATGATAAAAATACTACATTACTTGATTTTTAATTACAATGGTGACAAAGCATAGGAAAATGTTGAAAATATGTTTTGATTACATTACATATTTAAAAGTTTAGTTTACTCTATTAGATAACTTTTTTAACGATTAATAATAGCAATATAATGATTATATTTTAAAGTAGACGATGACGATATTAATAAGGCAAGGGAAAATATTTCTTGAATGAATTAAGTACTACAACGGATTATCTTTTACTCCGGAAACTACTCTTTAAATTATCGTCAATTTTTCTAAAGCAATAGGAGTGTATTAAAAGGTGCTTCGGGATTTTAATGATAAACAATTTCAGTATGCAAAACACTATAACATGCATTAGTGTATGTATACGCAATTTACTTTACACACTTATGTAATGAATCACGGGTATGTATAGTTATTTTTAAATTTTCTTACGTTAAATCAATAAACGCTGATTATATTGACTTATTCGTTATTTAATTAGTTTATTCAATTGCGTGCGGTTTTTTTAAATTAGATGAAAGTAATATTCTTGTACTTGTAGGTATCGGAACCAAATTCACATCAGAATTATTCTTACTCTGTACCAAATTGTCCCATTTTATTAATGTGGTGCCATTATGATTTTGGGGATAAATGTGGTACTTCTATTAGATATACATATGTGTTTTGAAAGAATATAAAGCATTAAAAATTAAAATAATAATTCCTTATCAATAAATCATAAAGTGCCTATGAGAAAAGGTACAATATTAAGAGTAATTTGGAAAGGATGGGGAAAGTATATAAAATCTAAAACTTTAAATTTAGATAGATCCAATCAGAGAGTATTCTTGAGGCTTGGAAATATTGGGCATAATTTTAGAATTTATTTCAAAACTAATTCAAATACCATTCTCTTCTTTGCGCCATTTTTATCATTTTGCTTTAGAGAATTGCTTATTTTAACATCGTGAGTATTAGAAAAACTGCCGATTCAATGAAGCCAGTTCATTGCGAGTGTGCCAAAAAGATGTTTTCACTATTTCCGTGCCAAAGAAAATACCATTTTTAACAATCATTATATTTATTACATTCAGATACAATAAGAACATCAAAAATATCTGAAAACAGATAAAAACATCTATAACAGTTAATTTTTAGTAGCAAATATTTTAGCAGTACCATCTTCAGACGTTGTTAAAATCTTATTATCCTTGAACACAGATATACTCAATATTTCGGCGCTGTGACCGGTCAGAGTGTCTTGCAAAGTACCCGATTTAACGTCACACACGTACACAGCCCCGTCAGCGGCTCCGATAAATATTTTACCGTCTGCGCCCCATTTCATCACAGTTACAGCGCATTCTATTTTAGCCAGATGTCTCAGAGCGTACCTTCCGATTTCCCACACGCACAACTGCCCCGATATCGACCCCGAAGCGATCACCCCCAAATCCGGATGGATCAGCGCATCCTCTATTTCACTCTCACCTTCCGGCAGCAAGGTGGTTAGCAATTTACCATCGGCAGGCTTGATTAGCTTCGATTCCGGCGCAACGACAGCTAAAGTACCTTCTTTATTTACATCTATACCGATTACGGTTTCCATGACTTTGTTGCTCCATTCCACGCTGCACTCTTTGATGTTCCAGAGCCTCAAGCACCCGTCTTTGTATCCGGCTAACAGTTGTTTACCGTTCGGGAGTATTTTAGCGCAAGTTACCGATGCGTTGTTTTGAGCTACGAGTACTTTGCAATTGCCCTGCGGTATCTGCCACAAGTAGATATCCCCGGATTGGTAGCCGCAGAACAGCACATTAGCGAAAGGGTGCCACAGCAGGCACTCCAGATCGTCGCCTTCGTAACACCAGACTAGTTTCTTGTCGTTCACGCTCCACACCTGTATCATACCGGCCATATCCGCAGTGGCTACGTACTGACTATCGAAGTTGAATCTCACTTCGACTATGGAATCTTTATGGCCTGAGCATTCTAGGAGGATCTCGCCTGTTGCGGTGCTCCATAGATACGCCATGTCGTCTTCGCCGCCTGTTACTGCTATTTTATTATCGGCGCTCAAATCCGAGGAGAACACGGCTTTGTTGTGTTTCTGGAGGGTTAAGATCGAGACATCTATTATTTCGGTTTCGATATCTTCATCGTCGCCTTCCTGAAGGTTGATATCGTCCATCATGTGCTCAACACGTTCCTCTTCATTTTCTTCGTCGGAATAAATCACTTCGATGTCTTGAAGATCCTCGGGTAAATCGAGCTCGTCCATATTTTTGATTTGTTTGTTGTTAATTCACCTTAAAATCATACTATTGTTATCACAAATGGTGAATGTTGTGCGGGCAGGATATTTGTCTGTTGGATTTCCTCTTGGTTCGAGTTATTTTGGTGAAATGAGGCTCAACAAGTAGGCTCTACTTGACGGGGTATTGAAATTTGTATTTTAACCTATATCTTCTTTTCAAAAACATGGTTAAAACAACGTCATTTACTGGCCTTTTATTTTATTGTAATAAAGTTCGTTTTCACAAAAAGAAGAGAAAGAAAATTGTCAACATAGAGAAAGAAAGGTCTTCTATTTTGTCTATGATTGTCAACGTCATTTTCTGGCCTTTTATTATAGTGTAATTGACTTAATTTATACAAAAAAATATTAAAAAAGAAGAAAAAATATGGTTAAGGCAATAATTTAAAAGGTTTGAAATATAAATAAATAAATAAAATAACAATGAATATCAATAGAAATACAACAAAGTTATTACAAAAAACCCTTAACCAGTGTTCAATATTGAATGCCACGCGTTTTGCCAGCAAAACAACAGCCGAGTACTGCATTGATTCTGTAAAGTAAATATCCATCGAATATTTTTTTGGTATTTTAACAAAGACTCATTTTATAGAAAGTACGATTATGAAAATTTTGTATGTACGTTACTCTTGAAGAATTCGATAAGATGCTCCGCTTTCGCCATACGAAGTTTTAACGTAGAAATAGCTCAAGTGGCCGAGCAAGTTTCTCAAGAGACGATAGGCCAAATGAGGTTGAAGTTCTGGGAGGATACAGTAGAAAAATGTCTATCGAATGATTACAAAGCAGTGCCTAAGCATCCTGTAGCTCAAGAACTATTTAAAGTATGGCTGTAGAGAAACACGATTTAATTAATATAGCAATTCTATTCCTTTTAGGCTAACAGTAGACAAAAACTAACCAAGAGATACTTAAGGAATTTAATTTTATCAAGAAAAAACTCGCTAGGTTTAACGAATTTTAATACAATAGAGGATATAGAAAATTATTCGGATCATACCGTATCGAGTATTTATTATCTAGTCTTAGAATCTTCAAACGTTAGAAATGTCCATGCAGACCATGCTGCTTCGCATCTAGGAAAAGCTCAAGGAATTGTGCAGCAAATAAGGTAAATAATGCACGGTAAGAAATTCAAACTACTTAGTTATAATAATCGATATTTTCAGAAGTGTTCCTCACGCTAGACGCTTGAACTTTTTACCAATACCCTTAGATATTCTAGTCAAAAATAAAGTGGTCCAGGAGGATGTGCTAAGAGGGAAGAAAAGCGAGCAATTGACAGATTGTATATTTGAATTTGCCAGTAGGGCCTACCAGCATTTAAAAAAAGCGAGAAGTTTAGCCGAAACCGTTCCACAAGAAGCTAAAAGTGTTTTTTTACCGGCTGTTCCCATTTATATGTACCTGGACAAATTGCAGAAAGTAAATTATGATGTATTTCATCCAACATTACAACGCAGATCCTGGCAGATGCTGCCTAAAGTCTGGTTAGCGAATTTTAGAAATGTATATTGATTCAAGTTCATAAAATATTTTTGTAGTTTATATTATTTTTGTCCAAACGAAAAGGAATTGGAAAAGGTTTTAAAATGCCTTAATTTTCTATCAAATGCAATTAATCTATTTTATTGGCATATCTATCGAAATAAACAAAATATACATAGTTTAAAATAATACAAAATCTGGAATGCCACACTTAAGTACAGTATTTTCTATATAATATGTCGAAAGTACTTACAAAAGTACGTTAATTAAAGAGAGAATTTATCGTTTCTATCACATTTTTGTATAATAAAAAGCCTATAAAATGCATGATGTATTTAAAGCTAAAATGGACTCGTTCCTATTTGAAATAAGCAAGCACTTTTACTATAGCGAAACTTTGTCATAAACGTACCGGACACTTAAAAATTAGAAAATATATTTGGCCATTTTAATAGACTATAAACTTTTTAAAAATCGACAAATATGGTTTTGATTTAAAAATTGTCATTTTGCAAATTCCCGTTACATTTTATGTAATATATAAAATTTTATCACTAGTTTTTACGTGGTGGAAACGAATTAACGATATGTTAAAAATTGTTCGAGTAAAGAGAGCAACTTTCAAATAAAAATTATCCTCGTAATATAATTGAACATACGCAATTAAAACTTGAAAAACTATTCATAGAAATATTGAATCATGTTCTTGGAGAAAGTATAAAAAGCAGTAAAAAAATAGAATATAAATCGATTAATTAACCACCACATAAAACAACAAATATACATTGTCACCATAAAGTGATGTGTATTATTACAATCTGCACTACATCATTTATACATAAAAATCGTTCAAAAACAATGATAGTAAATATTGCAATCAATTGCCATAAGTTTGTGTAAAAAAACATTCGTCATAATTTCACAATACAATACACGCATAATACTTTCTATCCAATGAATCAACGTCAACATAAACATCCCATACATCTATCAAGCACTGTGTATATAACCCCATGAAAGCTCTACTATTTCTACATCGATACGTTTAAGGAATACATCGAACTAGCATCGAAGAACGCGAGTAACTTAACCGGTGTATTGATAGCTGGCGGCAACGGGATGCATTTGGGATGGCATGTGTTGCAGTCTTTGAATGTGACAACCCCGACACATCAACCGGCCTTCTAACGGATAACAACGCTTGTCCGGCTCGTCTGTTAGCTGCATTCCGCATTCTTCGCAGATATAACAATCCACGTGGAAGTCTTTATCCATCGATACCACGCGTACTGTCTCTTCGGTACCCTCTACAGGGGTTATACCTGCACAGATGAATCAATATGAAAGTCGATTCTTAAAAACAATACATAAGGAATCAACATTATCAACATTATTATTCCATCGTGATCAATACCAATTAGAACGATCCAGAATCATTTAGAACTGTCTAGATTTATTTATAACGATCCGAAATCATTTAGAACTGCCTAGAATCGTTTAAAACGCCCCAAAACCATTTAGAACTGTCTAGAATAATTTAAAATGCTCCAGAATCATTTTGAGCCAATTTACCTTTTCCACAAGCTGCACATTTCGGGGCGAACATTCTGTGGTAATCGTTGACGCAATAAATTTTATTATCGACATCAACGGTGAACGGTACTCCGTCTAAGCATTCGTTGCAAACGCAACATCTAAAGCAGCCCGGATGGTAAGATTTGCCCATGGCTTGGAGTATCTGGAAAACGAAATTATCATGTCGATCGAACAGATATGTAATGAAATTTAATTACCATTTCCATGATGAGATGATTGCATATTGCACATTTTTCGGCAGTTTGCTGGAAACCTGAATACTGAAACAAGAAAATTGCTATTTATAATTACCCTAAAGAGTCGGTAAGTTGGTTAAGAATAAGATAAAATGTAACTATAAATAAAATAAAATAAAATCATAACTACATCATTTGGAGTAGGGCTTACTAGGTAATCTTCCTCACAGTAAACTCTTCCATGTACATTGTAAAAGGCTTTTCCTCTAAGCGCTCTTCCGCACGAACAACATATGAAGCAGTTGGTATGATACAAGTTGCCCATAGCTTGACAAGCTTGTCCGGCCCCCGTTACTTTCTCTCCGCAAGTGTGGCAAATACCTAAATTAATGTTTATAATTATTTAAAAACGATATGGCAATTTCCTTGTTTCAAAATACATAATAAATGCAATCAATCGATATGAAGTAATTCTCAAGTTTATAAGAAACAAACATGCTAAATTTTTTAAGATATACATACTCCTATTTATTGTTCATAATAATTCCATATCTCCATTAAAGATATTTACTCATAATTGAAACAAAAGATTGATAACATTAATCAGAGCATTCTAAGAATTCCTCTTCCACTGATTGACAAACTATATATTTGCAACGAAACATCATATTCCCAATAATACAAATAACACAGTAACATAATCTGCAGTAAAACAAATTATCAAACCCGCTTACCGAAATATTCTCCCTCTTCCTCGTGCTTCTCCATTTCCTCTTCGATCTGTCTCGTCATCTCTTCGATCTTCTTCTCCGCCTCGGTGGGACCGCGAGGCTTCGGGGGAGTCACGCTGTAAGGCAGTAAATTCTTGCCGGTCATTTTCAGCCGCCCCCCGGGGTTGCTGAACGTGCTCGGGGTGGGACTGGGCGCGGGCGACGGTCGTTTCTCGACCTTCGGCGGCGGCGGAGCGGGCTTCTTCGCCTCTTTGGGCGCCAGAGTTTTCGTAGGCGTCAGAGCGATTCCCGTGGCCACGGATCTGTCGTAGTTCTTCGCCGAAGTGGTTTGGAACGGGGTGTTGGTGTTCAGAGTGGTATGCGCGACGTTGCCGGTCATGCAGACGTAATCGCTGCTGTTTAACTCGTCGAGTTGCTGCTGGGTGAAGCTCTTCGACGACGATTTGTTGTAATTGTTGTAGGGAGATTGCGGTTGGGCTTTGGAAACGTTGGCGGTTTGCATGGGGGTGTACACTGATTGAGGGGTGTACTGGTAATTGTAGGGTGGCGGTGCGTTCGTTGCTACTTGGGGACCGGGCAAGGCGCCCGAGCTCTTCATAATGTGGAGATTCTCGTACACCGGTGGACCGTCTGACTCCCCGTTTTTGTTACCGCCCGAAGGGACTTGCGGTTGGGCTTTTCTGTAACTATTACTACTATTTACACCGGAATAATAGGGCATTTGATTTTTCTTGGAATTGTAGTCGATGTACTCGTAAACTACGGAATTGGCAGCCATGCTAGCTCTAGGACTTCCTGCAATACATCGAATGAATTATTAATAAAATTTGGTTAAAGCGTGTAGAATTATACCTGAGTTATGAGACGATCCGCTCAATGATTGAGTTGGACTTGCTGGTTTAACGCATTGGACGTACAAACTTTCATCTTCGTGGCCTCTTTGGCTGGCTATGGTTTCCACGCGTTTGGGAGTCGCGTATTTAGAACTGGCTATGATGTTATTTCGTTCGTATATGGCATAGTCGTTTTTCTGGGGTTCCTTGGTAAAACTCTCTATTGCACCGACACTGTTCTGTTTCTGTTGATAAGTAGGAACTGCAGGTTCGGCTTTGTTAGGACTGCGGTGATATCGCTCTTGTTGATCGCCTAAAGACATATACTGCAATTTTTGGATGTAGGATTGATCGTCCCTCGATAAACTTTGATCCATTTTAGGCCTTCGTTTAAGTTAAATTGCACTAATTCGACAAATCTAATAATTCAACATTACTGATAAAAAAACAAGTACACTATTGTCGACACACACAATTAACACCTACAACCTAATATTCCAGTCTTTATAAAAATTGATAAAAAATATCAATAACAAATAACAGTGAAACATCAAACGCATGTGACGTGTTTGCGTCACAAAATGTCAAACGTCATTACAATTAATTTTCATCTTCTTTTTTTCTTAACCCTAGTAGTGACATTCTTGACATTTGAGATGACAATTTGACTTTTGAATTTTCATTTTGACACAAAAAAAATGGCAGCAGGTTTTGAGGATTTTTCAAATTGGTTGAATGCAAAATTAAAAGAATTAAACACAGACGAGACAGTTTTCGGCTCGTACATTCAAGGAATATTAGAAAGCGATGAAACGGCTGAAGAAAAAAGCGAAGCAATCCAAGGATTATTAACGGAAATAGTGGAAAATGTGAGTTTTGTGATAAAAAACCATACCTTTTTTTGAATTGGTTTTATGTTACAGGATACCGAAATAGTAAATATATGTAATGATATTCTTGATAAATGGGAATTTTTCAAGCCAAAAGAGGAACACGTTGCCAAACAAATGTCTAGTGAAGAGGTTGATACCAAACTTGCCAAACTATTAGAATCTCAACAACTAGCCACAACTAAACTAAAAGAGTATACTGAAGAGGAGAGAAAAATTAGGGAAGCCATTCTATCCCAGTACAGCGAATTACCTGATGAAGATGGAGAAATCGAAGAAGTCAAAACTTCGGGCAGTGAGACAGGTTTAGAAAAAAATTTAAACGCTCAAACCGTAGCACAAGCAGAGAAAAATAAAAGAGAACAGGCCAAAATTGACAGTCAAAAGAAGAAAGAGAAGGATAAAGAAGACAGGTAATAATAGTATTGGTTAAATAAATTGATTTAATGCAATATACAGGGTGTTCCCATAAGCCAAAGAATTACCCCCTTTCATATGTGCACGAAGCACAAATGCATTATAAAGAAAATTAAATCTTTTATGGTATTTTTAGAGAAAAGCAGAAGCAACTGAAGGAAGAGAAAAAGGAAAAGCGTAAGACTGTCAAAGGAGAAAGACGCAGGTAGCAAAATACTTAGTTGAAAAGCTATACAAACATATTTATTGACAAATATCGTGCATTTCGCCTGTTGATGATTTTTAATTGTATTGTGATTTTTCCAGTTGTTTTATGAACAAAGTGACATAATTTTCTTAAAGAAAACTACCAACTACATTAATCTTATTTTTGAGATGTGAATATTAAAGCATTAACATACCAATGGTTTTTACTAAGCATTTAATTAACAATTATAAATGCTACAAATATTTACCACTGGAAAATAGTCGTACAGTGAACAAAAAATTGCTGGTTAATTTTCTTTTTTAATTTCAACTAAATATTACACTTTATGAATTAACATAATTTTTTAATAATGTCTTATAACAAATGGTATCTGCTCATCGGGGACGACGCGAAGAATTTTATCGGCGAGCACCATTTTATTTATGACTTCGTGTTGGATTCCGCCGCCTTCGAGTTTGCACAAATGGAAGCCTTTTCTAAATATTTCCTTGCAGGTCTTCGGCAGGTAGGTCGGGAAGGCCACATTGAATCTTATGATCAGATTTCCCTTTTCCGGATAATCCTCCAGTTTGGGCATGCCTTCGTTTTCCACGATTTTTTCGTAACCAGGGCTACATACAGGGTGGCACATTAGTATGAAAAAGCTCGATATAATCTGTTACTGTAGATGATATCACAAAAAAAACTTCTTCACAAAAATTGTAGATACTTTTATACTGCATATTTTAGAATTTGGAATATTTGTACAGTGCTCCGTTTTGTCGTGGTAGACTAAACTTATATTTTTTTGTAATTTTGTGATAACATTTTTTTGCTTGAGCTTTACCATACTAATGTGCCACCCTTTATATATTACACCAAGTCTTAAGTTGTTACCTAATAACATCCGTTATGGGTACTCTAATGACCCTGTGGTCAATTGTCTTCACTGTAACGGTGGTTCCCAAAAGAGCATCTTCCAAAGACACCGATACAGTCATCACGAGATTATCACCGTCTCTAACGAAAGTTTCGTGTGGTCTATCCTCGATAATAAACACAACATCCGCTGCAAAATAGCATATTATTCGTTAGCTAAATATCCTGTAATAAGAAGCAAGAAGACCTGGTATGGTAGCAGGATTCTGGTCCCCTTCGTCCGGGAAAACGATCTCCGTTTTCGCCTTGATTCCGGGCTTGATCGGCACGTTAAGGATCTTCTCCTTGACCTCCGTGACGGTCCTCTCGTCGTTGGTGAAGACCAGCCGGTGAATTTTCATCTTTTTGACGCCGCCGAAGTACACCTCGTGAAGGGTCAGGTGCAGCGGGTGCTTGATGGGCTCCTGCTTCTTGCGCAGGCACTTCGTGCCGTCAGCAAGTTCGCACAGCAGTGGCGGGTTGCTCAACACGTCGAGGAGGTCTGCGTAGGGCGAGGTTGTTCCGAAGAAGTCCCTGCAATTAGAATATTATTTTTTACAAATCTTGCTGGTAATTAAAATTGGAACTTTTTGTGTGCTCCTGTATGACTCTTACTGGTACCTAGATCTAGACAAAACGGATGTAACTCGATACCTTGCTCATTATCATAAAGGAGTTATCTTGATCGAAAATGAAAAAGTTAATCCTCTTCTCAAGATTTTTTTTTGCTAATTTTTTCAAACTTTTATAAGAACCCTTAACATCGTTAAAAAGTTCCTTATCAACACGATAGCAAATTTTGTTGTTAAAAATTTACTTGTAGGTGGCTAGGGGATCCCCGTGATAGTGGTATGCAGGGAAGCACCCGTCCACCATTGGAACCCCCTTTTTCAGCCCTTCTTCTCCATATTGATCGAATATAGCTCTCCTTAGGGGATGGCTGAGAACGTCGTAGGCTTCGCCTATTAGCGAAAATATCTGATTCGCCTCGGGATTATCCAGCAACTCTTTTTTAAATTCCAATGCTAAATTTCGATACCTGGAAAAAGTTGGGTTTTTACTTGGAAAAAGTTGGGTTTGTTGGATGAGTTTACGCTTTTTTTATGTCCAAATCCGCACTGTTTCTTGGAATTTGTAGTATTCCATAATAATCTATTCCCATTTTGATTTACCAGATTTACCTTTCGTTGGCCAAGATAATTCTGTCACAGTGACAGTTTGAATTCTGCGAGGAATTTCAATTATCTTAAGTTGGCTGTTCTGAAGAGAAAACAGTTGGTAGTACGTGGAAAAAATTAATCATTTTGCCGGTAACAGTTGCCACATCTAATCTGATTTATTTAGGGGTTGAAATAATATTAATTTAAAAGAATTGCTAAAAAAGAAGTATATATTTTAGTAAAAACATATTTAAGTTATAAAATCCTTTATAAATAATCTATAAGGGTTTGTAAAAGATCATTTTGAAAACTTTTAAAACTTGTACCTGACAACATTGCACGATTGATTTAGTGTTCTGTGTCAAATCAAGGGTACAAAACGAATTGTAGAGGTCGTTTATGTCATCGGTCCTTGGTTATTGTGATCGCAGTTTCGAGTTTGGCGTTGGCAATTTACCTTAAAATACGAGCTGCTTTGTTCCAATATTTAGAAAAAAATGAGTGCTGCGTTACTTTTCGCTTGTTCCCGTTGCTTTGCCAGACACCCGTTCGAGGACTTGTCGCCAGGCCAACAACTTTGCAAGGTAAATCCAAACATAACCTTACGGGTATGCTTTAACGATTTTTGCGTTGAACATTACACTCGTTACAGTAGAATCGAATAACATGCGAAAAATAAAATGTTCTCTTCAATTAGGAGTGTCGCGGCGCTTTTCCAGTCGTTAAGTGCACCTATTGTCGCTCGGAATTCCAACAGACGTCTAAGGGCAATACGAGCACAATATGCAAAAAGTGCGAACAGAACGTGAAAGCCTACGGGAAACCCACAGCTTGCGAATACTGCAACATCATTGCAGCTTTTATAGGTAACAAATGCCAACGGTGCGCTAATTCCGAAATTAAATACGGTCCCCCCGTCAACTGCGAACAGTGCAAGCAAAAATGTGCTTTCGACAGGCTTGACGACGACAAGAAAGTAAGTTTTAATAGTTTCACTATCCTCTCAGCATTGAATTAAATGTATTGTACTTTTCGATTAGGTCGATGGGAAGCTGTTATGTTGGCTATGCACTCTTTCATTTAAAAGGGCTCTGGCTAAAACAAAGCAAGGGGATGCCGAACGGCGACATCTCAAAATGTCCCAACTACATAAAAAGCACAAAGATAAGTAAGTATCAATAATTTTTCTACTTGTTTACCGAGAAACTGTAAACACAAATTTATTTTTCACACATTAACTTCGAGTCTTTGAGAACTTTGAAGTCTCATCTCATTAACCCATTCTTTAATCACCTGTTCCAATAAATCTAGAATTATTTAATCAATAGTTAGGTCTTTCTAGAAGTGGATCTGTTAATGAATTGGGCTTGTTTGTGGAAACAACTGGAACTGTGGAAAAATTGTGCAAAATTAAACGAAATGACTATGTGGCTTTCTAAATATTTCTAAACAGTTTTAAATGGCTTTGGAGCGTTCTAAATGTTTCTAGACAGTTTTAAATGATTCTGGAGCTTTCTAAATGAGTCTGGAGAGTTCCAAATGATTCTGTAGCGTTCTAAATGGTTCTAGACAGTTTTAAATGATTCTGGAGGTTTCTAAATGGTTCTAGACAGTTTTAAATGATTATGGAGTGTTCTAAATGAATCTGCAGAGAAGGATGACAAAAACAAACCTCACTTTCGTCTTGTTAAAGATTCAAATAAGCAATGTAATGTTTAAAATACGGAAGTATATAATCGTTGGTTACAAATCCATTTGATTATAAAAAAAACTTCTGAATACGGGGGTATGTCTTGCATACAAAATCAAGCTGTAAAAACCTACATTCTTCTTACAAAATACTACAATTACTTTTGCAACTCTTAAAACGCCCACTGCATAAATTCCAACCCATACTAAACAACAGATTATTCCATAGTTCTATTACTAAATGTAATATTTGAATATTATCTAGTTGCTAATAGTTAAGGTGCATTAAAATACAATGATTAATTAAATTTCTCCCTATATTAACTCTATCAAAACTTTCATCAACGACGATCTCGAACTTGTTATCACGATTGCCCGACTATGCATGCGAAAAATTTATCTCTATCGTCCATCAAACATGATTGTTGCATTTTGCCAGGCCAAAAAGTCACAGTAAACGTCCGAATCGACCGGACGTGACGAAAATCCCGCCGCCCGAAGACGGTCCTCCGAATAAACTAGCCCGCAACAATTCCGGTGGTCCGGGTAGAGGCGATCTGGATCCGAACAGTTCGGATCACGTGGTCGCCATGACGCAGCTCAAGGAGCAAATAGCCAGCCTGCAAAAGCAGCTGTCGCAGAAAAACACGGAATTGATTAATAAGGATAAAATGGTTTGTTTGTCGATTGATTGATTCCGGGTACGATTAAACCTTGTTAACGTGTGATTTCAGATAACCGAATTGAAGGCGAACAATTTCACGACGGAAAACGAGCTTCGAAATAAGCTGAAGGTCATACAGAAAGAGTACGACACCAAAGTAGAGCAATTGAATAAGAAGATAACGTCGCTGTTGAAGGAGATCGCGAGCTTATCGAAATCGGCTAAGAAGGGTTTGAGGAATTCGGCTATCAATTCGAACGCTTCGGCGGAGAACAACAGCAGCGGTACGGACAGTCCCAGTTTGCAGTGAATTGACTGACTAGGCGACGGTCGCGTCGATGTGAAGATTGCTTGCTGTTCTGACGATTACTTTTTCTTTTTGATCGTTTTATAATGGTAAGCCAATACATTGAAGCATTGTTAGTTTTTTTTTCTATTGTGACATACCATTTCTATAGCGATTTGTTTTGTATATACTCGTATAAGACAGGAGGACAAAGGGTACTAATTTTATAAACGAAAATCCTGCTTATATTACAAACTTTATTCCTGTTTTAATCGGTTGATAAGTGCATAATTTCTTCAAAGGTATTTAAGGATAAACATTTTTGGTTGTGTAGCATGTTAAGCAGTGTAAATATATTTCCCCGATATTTTTATAAGTAGTTAATTTCTCTTTTGTTTTTTTGCTTTTATAAAAAAAAAACTTTGAATTAAGTTGTGGTAATTTTTCTATAATTTAAATACAACAGTATTACATATTATTGATGAAATTTTTAGAGATTTTAATATTATTTTATATTAAAAAGTACTTAACAATGCTTCATTCCGACCACTTATAAAATATTTGAAAAGTATAAGTGTTATTTTTTTCTTCCAAATACTCTGTGTTGTATTTTGGATAGTATTAAGTTAATAATAATTTATTTACAGTCAAATTATTTTTATAAAACTGTGTCTAGTTTAATTTTTGTAAAATGTAAGGTGTTAAAAATAAAAGGTAAATATAAATACTATTGTTTTATTAATATATCAGTATCTTAAAACAATATGGCTGATATTGTTCATAAGACTGTTTATGGAAGACTTTGCTACTTATCACATTGAAATATATACCTTAAAATTAAAAACAATAACATTCTACTTTTATAAAATAGATAAAAATGTAAAAATTCGATTATTACAACAACTAATAGGTTGTTACTCAACAATAACAGCTTCATAAATGACCTTTGGTTCTTCAATTTCAGTTTTACTTTGTATTATTCTAAGTTCTTTATTCTTAACATCATTTCCTTTGCCTACAAACAGTTTAAGTAGTAAAACAATCCAACAATAATTTTATATTTACCTTGCATATTGTCCAATGTTTTCTTCAATACCGATTGTAAGGATGCAATTGTATACTCCAGCGACTTTTTCAAATCGTTTTTTGTTTTATGCATCCACGATAACATCAGGGAAGCAAATAAATCTCCTGTTCCAGTGAAACTGTTGGGATATTTATTTAATTCCATTAGATACTTCTCATTTTTCTCTAAAACATTCATTATATTGATATCTTTCTTGTTGCAGATCAGGAGAATGAATAAAACGTTGCCAAGTCAGAGAAGAGATGCTTGGAAGAAAATTTCAGGTACAAACGAATTTATTTTTATAAAAACTTTATGATTCTAATAAACCAATCAAAGTCTAATATTTTTTAAAACATACCTTTCTTCCTGCTAGCAAAGACGTATAAAATTCCGGGTTTAGCCTTGATATCTGCCGAAGATATGATAATTGTTTCACAGCCCTTGTTATGTAGAACATCTACAGCTTTCCAAACATCAGATATATCTTCAATAGGTACCTCGGATAGTAGCTCTGCTTCAAATAGATTTGGAGTTATTATATCAGCAAGTTGAATGACAGACTCTCGATAAATAGGCAGCAATTCATTAGGAACATACAACTTTCCATTATCTCCCATTACGGGATCGCATACTTAAAATAAATCATTAAGTTGTAAGAAGAAACATTTAAGAATAATCAAAGAATCTTAAATACTTGAGACTATTTAGAACGTAATATTATTTGACCAATACCATATATTAGATTCGGATTTTTCTTCTTCAACTCTTTAACTACATTAATGATTTGGCATAAAAATGATTTTGATCCAATGTAGCCTGTTAATAAATGAGTGTAAATATCGAGACCGTTCGCTTTTAACCCCGTTATTATCTCGTCCAATTCTTTTTCTGTTAAAATCTGTCCTTTCACGACCTTGTAGCCCGTGTGATTTGAAAACTGAACGGAATTTATGAAATCCACATCTAGTCCCAATACCTAAAAAAAAATAAATACTTATGTTTAACTTATCACGAGAGATAAAAATATTAGTGATTATTAATTATGTAATACCTGCATTGGGAATACTGCGCTTTTATTCCCAACATATCCTGAAACCACATGACTTTGAATGGATAATACTCGAGCTTCCATTTTACTTATTTGTTACGAGAACGCGTAACTTCCTATTTATTACTAAATATCAGTACATTAGTAAACAGCAATTATCTGATTCATTTTTAATGTATTTGTTAGATTACATTAGAATAAATAATTTTTTTTAAAAATTATCAATAAAAACTTCTTTCTTATTTTCATTTTTGATTTTTGACTTCTTCTTTTTAAATTTTATTTTTGAGTATTGGTTTTTGCGACCTTTACTTCGTAGGCAATTAATTCAAATTTCACTCGTACCAACAATTTTTATCCAAAAAGTTGGCAGCCGTGGCAATGACATATGACGTAAGAGGCTAATTCAGCAAATTGTCAATTTTTGTCGTTATTTTGTTATATATTTTACAAAAGAAAAGCTTTTCTACTAAAATAAGGTTGTAAATTAAGGAAGTTCAAGTATTACTAATTTTATATTGTAAATAGAAGTTACTAAATTCGTGTATTTATTTATTACTCAACAAACACTGATTGGTCCTTTCTGTGCGCTACGAGAAACGATTGTAAACATTTCTATTTTTTAAGCCATTTTGACAGTTCTTTTCTGTCTTGAGTCGTCTATCAATCATGGATTTTGAATTAAGTAAAGAAAATATTTTACCCCTTGCTGGTGGAAGAAATGCTCAACAATTAACCATGGCTTTGCAAGCCCAATCAAATAAAGATGTACAGTTAGAGCTGTTACACCAGGGACAGTAAGTTTTTACGTGTATTTGCTGATTGAACTAACTCATCTGTTACTTAATTTTACTCTATATCGAATAATAACATTACTTAAAGTCCAATAATGTGCTAACTAACACATATAAATACATATTTTATTGCAGTATTTGCCACTAACAGAATAGCCTTTTAGCATGTAAATTTTGTTGAAAATTCTTGTTAATATTGGAGTAAAAAGTAAATTGTAGTTATTTTAAATAGTATTCTTCTTGGTTCTTCTCTTATTTATGCTACTAGATTAATTTCGCTCTATTTTCTCATTCATTTCGTTTATAGTTGATTCATCAAACTTATACAATGATTGTTTTGTAGACAATGGGAGATGCGTATCGAATCGTACGTTGGAAACGACCCTTTAGATAATTATTATAAATATATTTCTTGGATCGAGCAGACTTTCCCTAAAAGCGGTCACGAGGGAAGTTTATATCCTCTTCTCGAGCGGTGCTTAGAAATGTTTCAGGACGATGTAAGGTATAAGAACGACCCCAGATTTTGTAAATTGTGGATCAAATATGTAAGTTATAGAATCTAAATAACCTACAGAGATTACTCAACTAACTATTTTTAGAACGATACGAAACCAGACCCTTTAGAATTCTATCGTATTATGAAAAGCAAAGGCCTTTGCATCGGTTGTGCCGAATTCTATAAAGCTTGGGCTTATTATTACGAAGCCGTTGGCGATTTTCAATCTGCAAGCAAGGTTTTCGAAGAAGGCAAACGGAACTGTGCACAACCGTACGAAGAATTGGAAAATGCCTATCAACATTTAATAGTAGCAGCGGGAAAACATGTAATAATTTATAAATAGTGTTTGTTCTTCGCACGTGTTATTATATAATTAATTTTTAGGTGATATTTGGGCCTAATGAAAGCCATTTATTAGCGAAACGCCAAGCTCTTACTGCACTTCACACCTTCAAGTCTGGAAAAGTCTCTAGCGTAAGGGTTCCAAGTAATAACGTGGAAGCCGTTACAGTACCTTCTAGTAGCACCCCTCACTCTAGAAATAACGCTTTAGTTTATGTACATGAGGACAAACCGGATGATGCACTGGGGGCAGCAGGAGCAGCAGCCGCAGTTTCTCCCGGGATCAATATAATTGGTATAGCAAAGAAATCGGAAATGATAAAGGAAAACCTGTTAAAACCAGGCCCTTGGACGGGAACTGTACCAAAGAAGAAACGTGTTATTGATCCCGTTGTTGCAAGGCCTGTTGCACATTTTCTAGGTAATTTTAAATTTGTTTATAATCAAGCAACTTCTACATTTAATAATTTTTCAGTACACGAAGACGAACCTCAGGGAAGCGCTGCAAACCTGCCCAAAACAGTATGTGAATCTCAAGACGATGTGACTCAATACAAAGTTTTGTTGTCACTCCCTGAATTACACAATCCATCTGATATACCAATGTACCCTAAGCATTTAGTATATAGAGACAACACCGAGTATAGTATAGAAGAAATTAGAGCAAGAAGATATGCAAAAACACGTAGCCAAGATCTTATCATGGTAGACGATGATGATGTGGAATTTGTTCAAGATAACTCCCAACAGGTGCGATATATTAACCGATCAATATTAATATCGTTTACAACGCATACTTATTTTAGCATTCACATGATCTTCACAAACTGACGAATCGGGAGCATTTCATGCAGCAACATCGCCAGCCGCAGAACGTTTCGAGCGAGCAAAACTTCTTGTTGCAGCAGCAACAGCAACAACACCATTTGCAACAACAACAACAACACCAATTGCAACAACAACAACACCACCAATTGCAACAACAACAACAACAGTTTTTGCCGCAACCACAGCAACCGGCCGGCGGTTCCCAAGCGCTTATGACTCCGTTGCAAAGCGACAGGTCCCCGGGGCAAGTGAAAAGGCCGTCGACGCAATATCAGCAGAACGTTTCCATGCACTCGCAACCGGGAAGCTATCGAGTTCTACCCGAAGTTGATATCAGTATGAATTTATGGGGCGACGAAGGCGACGCCGAAATGTATCGCGGTCTCGGTGCTTCTTTTCAGATTTTCGAGCAGAATTTTAGCCAACAACAGAATCAGCCGAAGGGTAAGTCGGGCGTTCTGTTCGTGAATAATGTAGAAAAATCGTATCGTATCGTCCATTTATCTCATTAAAGAACTCCATATTTTTTTAGGTAGCGCCATGAAGACCTCTTTGCAGGTTTTGAATGCCGACGAGTTGGGAGAAACTGGTTCTAGGGGAGGCATGGACGTCGCCGTGACGGCCCAAGCGAACGATTCCGCTAAGAATGTATCCCCGTTTAGCGATAGCAGTTCGTCGAGAGAAAGCTTCGCCGACGTTATGGACGATTCCGTGAACACTAAGGTTTTCTTGCGATTGGACGCCATGAAAGTCAGTACGCCCGTAATGAACAAAACCGCTTCTACAGCGGATTACCAGAACAGCCGCGCGGGAACGACCAAAAAGCAGCTGTTCTTCAAACCATCGTTGCCCAGTAAACAGCTTAGTGATATTCCGGAAGAGAAAACTCTGAGGTAATTGTTAAATTGAGTTAGAAAACGAAGCATTACAAACATATTTTTCCAGTTCGACTGGTTCGACTGCTTCGTCTGGTTCTACTGCTAACCACCTCCACAGTCCTATATCGTTAGAGCACAGCAACAATCTGACACAAAATCTGCAGGCTAACGCCAAGTTGAGGTCGATTTTGAACGATATAGGAGCGGTCCAACCGGCCGTTAATTCCGTGAACATCTGCTTCAATTCCTCTATTTTGGAAACTTCAGTAAGTCGCGTAGAAATAACAAAAATCTAGCAATGTTTACAAATGTTTTTCGCTTTGCAGAAAAGGGAAATACCGGCACCAGCCAGAGTTAAGCCTCTGGAATACGTGCCTTCAGATCCCTTTAAAAGTAGCTTGATCAATCACCTTTTGGTGAAAGTTGCGTTTCCGGGGCCCCATACATGCGGTTACTTAGAAATACCGTTCATACCTAGGTTATGCATTAAGAAGGAACCTACGATTATAGGTTAGTTAATGTTATTTCTTTATAATTGAACGTGGTTATCTTTCTTCTGTGGTTGTCACAATACGCCAAATATGTATATTTCAGGCCCAGGAGACCAGTACATAATAGATAAGCAATTAGGAAAAGGAACGTTTGGAACTGTATACAGGGCGATAGATTTAGGAAGTTCAACGACAGTAGCGATAAAGCACCAGAAGCCGGCCAACAAATGGGAATTTTACATATGCAGAGAATTGCAATCGCGATTGGCAAAGCATAGTTTAAGAGACAGATTTATGGAAGTGCAAGTTGCTTACTTTTGTAGGTCCATCACAAACATTTTAAACATCTTTTTTAACTGTACACTTTTTTAGGCGATCAAGCGTCATTGTTAATCTCTAAATACATGCCTGGTGGATCGCTGCTGGATTTGGCCAACATGTACAAGCAAAACCACGGAAAAATGAAAGAATGCCTGGTGGTTTATTTCTGCATTCAGATGCTCCAAATTGTCCAGGCCATGCACCAAGCGCAAGTAATTCACGCCGACATTAAGCCGGACAATTTTTTGGTTTTCATTACGCCGGAAAATACCGTGGGCTTGCAACTTATCGATTTCGGTTGCAGCATTGACATGTCGCTATTTCCACCTAACGCCTCATTTATGTAAGCAAATCCTTATTTAATTTGGCTGGAATTAAAGGTTTTATTGTAACGTTTGTATTTTCAGGAGAAGAGTAACGACCGAAAACTTCGTTTGCTGCGAAATGTTAGAAAACCGGCCTTGGAACTACCACACTGATTTGTTCTGCATAGCAGCTACTGCTCACGTATTGCTTTTCGATAATTACATCAAATTGAAGAACGAAGATGGAATTTGGTCGATAAGTCAAAGATTTCCTAGGTATCTAAAAGTAGATTTGTGGAACATGTTCTTCAGTAGTTTACTTAATCAACAGGTAAATTTTTATCTATTTATTTTGTAATATTTATTAAGCCAAGATATTGAAGCTAAATTTGTTTTAATTTTTTTAGACTGGTCCAGCAGATGCAGCGACTCTTATTACGTTATTAGACGAGTCCTTGGAGTCATTAAATAGAGAAACAAATACGGCGTTGCCTCTTCAGATGAGACATGTCGTAAATTTACTTAACGGTAGATAGTCGATGCTTCTTATAGTCCTTGTTTTTCAGATATGTAATGTTTATTGTAGTTTAGGCTTATCTTTAAAATATTATTTTTACAAGGCTGTTTTGAAATTAGGTTTGTAAAAGATAGTTTGTTTCTATTATAGAGTATGATTTTCAATAATTCAAATATATGTTCGATGTTCGACGAATCACTCATCATTCGTTTTAATTGAATTAGGGCCATTTCATGGAAAGGGGGTTTTCCAACTAGTTTACTGAGATAGCATATTGTTTTTTTTGAAAATTAATCGTAAAAAATTGATCAAAAATTAGCTGTTGTCTGAACGAGGTAAAGGCGCTGAAAATAGGTGTAAGATGACGACGTTGACAATTGACAGACAGGATTTGAGGTTTATTTGTTATTCAATTTCTATTTATTTAAAAAAGTAAAAGGATTTTGTGTCCGTTGTGTGTTGTTAATTTTTCTAAACAAATATCGAGAGATAGCGTTACTTAATAGCACGTTCTTCAAAATGATGAAATATGAAGAAGAAGGTGAAAAACTGGCAGACACTTCGCCTTGTGCTGGAGTAAGAGCCGACTTGAAAATGTGCCTATTGGAAAGCGATTGTTGTAGAAATGTGAGTAAAATTACTTAAATATATTCATTTTCTAACATCCTACGCGGTTTTAGCTAAAGAAAACTCCTAGAGAATGCCTTAAAGCGATGGACGGTACTGTTCCGGACGAATGTTATGCCCTTCGAAACTCCTTCTTCGAATGCAAAAGATCACTAGTAAGTATATTTTATCACTGTTTTATTTATTTATAGAGACACAGCAAATTTATTAAATTTTTCCTTGTGTCATCTTTAAATAAGTAATTATTTATTTTTAGTTGGACGCAAGGCAAAGATTCAGGGGAAGGAAGGGTTATTAGTGTAATTAATATAGATATGTTGTAAATAAAATAAAGTTTATTAAGTTTCAGAGGGTATTTTTAGTAGGTTAAGATGTCTTGCTTTGACATAAATGATTGTAGAACAGAATAAGTAGAGACTTTGTACAATAGAAATAAAATTTTATTCATCAACATTTTCAAATGTAAATTTAAACGTAGTAATCACAAATTTCTAAAATTATTATATTTATAAGGAGCACTCCAAGCATTATTTGTCGATTATTTGCACTTAACTGATATGTGTTAGTTAAAACGGTTTGCTTATTTGCGATTATTGCCACTTTTTAAAATCTTTTAAAAGCCCAATTTATTGTTCGAATGAATAACTATCAATTCAGAGATCACAGATGAATTCTTTGCAAGCTACAATCGTTTTTTTTATTAATTGTGGTCAAAATCTTATGTTTTTTGAAGAAATTGTCGGGTTTTCAAAACACATACGATTTTCATTCACTTATTTAAAACCCTGAGAGATAAGCTTATTGCTATTTACAACGTGGACTTTTTTACATATCTTAGACTTCTTATGAGAAAGCGTTGTTGATATAATAATAGTATGTAATATACTATATTAAGTCACTTTTAATAATTACTCGAAGCTCAGATATGCTTATTATTTTGGTCCACTTACACCTCAAAATGCAGCCTATTTTATCCTTCCTTGATATGTTACAGGCTCAATTTGATATCGATTTAACTTATTTACTTATTTCAAAGCTGGTAAAATTATCATAAAAATCACAATATATCAGGTTCTTAACACTAACATATTCCTGCTTTTCTCTAGATTTCACAATTTTGTTTCAAAGCTCGTAAAGTTTACCTATCGATTTTACAACACAAATAAATACTAATTATAACGCCGGTAAATTTTTTTCTACAACTGCGATCGTTATCTAATCGATTATTCCGACCTCTAGCAGTTTGTTAAAAGAATTTAGCGCTTTAATAAGCGGTTGTAGAAAAAGGCAACAATCGAACGCGCGACGAGAAAACGTACGGATTTAAAGGATATGTCGATTTGTGCATTGGGCCCGTTCGTTCAGAAAGTTTGTACAGGTCTAAAAATCCCCGTGTATCCCGTCAATCTCGCCCGAAGCGCCGGCAAGATGAGAGCACAAACGGTCAGATCGGTCAGCAGATTCGCGCATTCGACCAGCAATATGTACATCTTGTCCCCTTTGGGGCTCAGCGATTTGTGCAGGGATATCCGCCGCAGGCCCGCCGCTTGGGGCAGGTACCTGTAAATCATCCGCGCGCCTGTAACAGACCACTATTAATGTACTGTGTGCAGGTGAAAAATGAATGGCGGTAGCATGAATGAAACGCTCAAATATCAACGATAGTTGCGACGTTGCGGCGAATCCTCGAGGGAAAATCGATGCTCGCTTAATATTTAATTGGATTTAGGTGAGTCGATGTTGTGAAAGTTTAATAAACGTATTTTTACGTGCCTGTCCAATACAGCCAGTTTCTCTCGAACTTCTCCCTGTCGTCGCCTTCGAAAACCTTGTAAACTGACACCATGTAGCCCGTGGAAGATGTCTGTGTCTTCATTAGGGACATGCCTATTTCGTGAACGGGCGGGCGGCAAATCGAGGCTACTTCGGTATAAAGGTCCAGAGTGTGGGCTGCAGTGTACCTGAATAAGAGTCACCTTAAGAAAATTTTAAGCGATCCAAATTGTACAAGAAATAGAAGGGAGTATGAAAGGTATTTTTAATCCATGTTCTTCGTTGATGGCAACAGTGGAAAAAGTACGAGCTACTGTTTCTGGAAATAACTGGAATTGCAAAAATTTTAAGCATTGCAAATCGTAGAAATGGAAGGGAAAATGAAAGCTATTTAATCTTCATGATAGTACGTTCATCGATCTCTCTTGAAGAGACTGGTTTTGGAAATAACTGGAGCTACAAAAGTTTTAAGGATTGCAAATTGTAGTAGCAGGGATATTAAAGGTATTTTTAATCTTAATCCTTGGAGGCATTTTCTTACTTGATGAGGTGGCAACAGCGCAAAATATGAGAGGTGTTGCCACATGCTACTGTTTCTGGAAATGACTGGAGCTGCAAGTAACAAACTCCACAAGTACTAAAAACTTACCTAGTTGACCTAGGATCGAATTTCGTCAAACTGGCAGTGCGTAAATTATTGTAGAATAACACAGGATTCGTTTGCGATGTGTTCAAAACGTAATACGTAATAAACGGAAATTCACCTAAAAACGACATAAATAGCATCAATCAATAAATGATCATTATCATCGTAATCATCGAAAAAAATACCGAACTACTGGCGTGTTACATGTTACATTAGCAGCACAATTAAACGATAACATCTGATTTTTTCCCTCAATTTCTCGAATCCCCTCGGGCGCGGAGATCCAATCGAAATCCATCAGCCAGAAAATTAGCCTACCGTTTCGCTCCATATTGGCCAGCAGCATGCCGGTGATTGCCGTTTTCGCCTGAGATATTTCCGTCACCAATTCCCCCGCGATGATCCTCTGCTTCAACAGCGGCTGCACCAGCGGCGACTCCAGCACGGGGTCGACGGGCTCCAGGGGGCTCATCAGGTGGCAGAGGACGCACAGCTTCGGATCGGGCACCTAAAAGTCACCGCTCGTTTTTGCTAAATCTAACATGGGGCCGGCGCGGTCGCGTTTCCCGGCTTACCTCCATTACGTGCAGGTTTCCCTTCTTGTCCAGCGTGTTGTTGTTTATCGGTTTCTGGAACAAAGCGCTCGCGCTAAATCATCGCGTTTTTGGGTCAAGTTTATTCTTTAATTAACCCGTTATTAAAGGGTATTTTAGTTATACAGAGTCACGAGGAAATGTACATGCTGTATCAAACAGCCTTGAAAAGTGCCTCTACATTAAACTATGTACACAGTTCCTCATGACTCGCCCTGTTTAGAGCAAGATTTTCGGGGCACCATGTGTGATAAATGGTTTTAAACGGTTATTTATACCTACTGGCATTGGGACACCGGCTGGTAGAAACCTATCCAGACTGTGGACGGGGATGATGAAGCAGTCGCGGTCCAATCCGGATAGCGTCCTGGCCGTGTCCGATCCGTGACCCTCGTTGCCGTAGTTGAAATTGACCTAAATATAGAAAATAATGTAATGTGAATGGCGACCGTTTTTTGTGCTGGATATGTCGCGTTAAAAGGTCGTTCCGCCGGTGTACCCGAATTAAGCGGCTTCATTCGGGTCAATTGCTGTAATGATTTTTTACCAAAAGATCCGTTTGTGTATAATTGAAAATATATACAGGGGTTTTCACGGTAAACGTCCATTAGAACTTTTAGGAGTTCCCGAAGAGTTGCGATTCTGAGAATGTAGGATAGGGTAGGGTTCTTAAAATGGGCCCAAGAATTACCCCCTTCAGTATTAGCATGTTATTAAAAAACACCCTGTATAGTCAATGTTGAGATTGTCTTTACCAACAACCAAGATACATGAGTAGTTGTCATAAAAAAATAGTAAAAACTGGTGAACTCGCATTTGATAATTCAAACGACTAGCAATTTCATTCCGTTAAATGGCCCTTTTCTATTAAGCGTTTATAAAAAATTCAGTACGTTTTTGATAATGTGACCTTGTTATTGTTATATCAAACGATTTGTGGATATTTGAATTTTTATGATTAAAAATTAATAGTTGAGTAGAGGGAGTCTCAGAAACAAACCTTTGAACTTTGCTTCTGCTAGCCTTGAGCGGATAAAATTTTCGGGGTTATAAAATCAATACGTTCTCCTAGAAAATTAATTTGTAGAAATATTCAAGAAATTTCTAATGCTCACCTATTCTTTCCAAGATATATTAACTTTTTGGGGGCAAACCATAAATAATGAAAAATTCTGTACAGGGTGGGACGAGAGGAAGGGCCAAATTTCAGAAACGTATTCCAGGCAAATGATTTATATAAATTTAAATAGATATACTTGTTATTAACAATTTGTAGCATAATTAAAAATGCATATTTACTGTAGATAATAATAAAATTGTAACCAAATGGGTGATTATCAGTGACAAAAATCGAACATATAAATTTTCTTGTTATTTCCACGCCAATGAAATTTCCTTTTGACTCGCCCTGTATATATTTCATACTGCAGAATTAATGCCGTTGGGGGAAAAACGTCTTTAGTTCAAACTGCATTGCGGCATTTATTATTCCTACCTACTTATAAAAACGTAAGTTTATTTTATATTCAAACATAAGCTTTTATTTCTAAAGCTTTCGTTTTATAATATTTACATATACATAGGTACATAATATGTTTATTATTTTTTCATAGTTCCACATGCATTTAGGTATGTTGCAGTGAATTTTTTATAGCCTTCACTTAAAGAGCTATTTTTTGAGCAAAACTCGCCATTACGAATTCATTAAAAAATCTATTATGTGGGTCTGCAAAGGAAGAACAAATCGATATCAGCTGCACGGAATTTTCGAGTTTAATTCTTTTTGTATACGAAGGTGTTTGTATGGCTGCCACTTTAAATGGACAATTCGTAATTTAATTCTCAATTTGTATACCTACCTATTTAAGGCACTTCTGCTGCTATACCGATAATCAATAATTTGTAGTTTTTGATTTATTATTATTAATTCTCGCTACTTAATTCGATTATATTTTAATAGCCCTGGTTTTCTGAGCTCCATTTTAGATTCAAGGTATCCATTATAAATCAAATTTTATGAGTATTGTAAATTAAAAGTTTTTATGTATAGATTGCGAGAAAGAAATTATGGGAGTACGGAAGGAACAGTTTAAAACTCGGGTAAATGATTTGTTTCTTTGGGTATAAATTACATGTTACAAATAAGTCATTTCCTACTTAATTTTAGGGTAAAAATTGCGTTTTTCATTATAATTTAAAAAAACAAGTACACGTCACGCACGAATACAGCACAGTAATATGTCAAACTCACGCTATTTACATTAAAAAAATTGCACATAATTTCATTTTTTGAATAAAATATAAACTAAACAAAATAAAAAATATTCATGGGCGTATTGATTGAATAGTATAAAAGTGAAAAAGTACCTATTAGAGCGTTTTCACACGGTGCGATATATTGCAGCAAATTATTCTAGCAATATTGCATTGCAGTTAAAATACAAGCGTTCAAATGCGTATTCTTCACATGTATGCGATACGATAATTTTTATTAACGCTTGTATAAAAAGTGCAAAGCAATATTGCAACAATAAATTGCTGCAATATATTGCACCGTGTGAAAACGCTCTTAGAGAGTAGATTGTGTTCACAGGGTATTGCAGCAATTTATTGTAGCAATATTGCATTGCGTTTTATTAATGCTTGTATAAAAAGTACAAAACAATATATTACTGCAATATATCGCACGGTGTGAAAACGCTCTAATTTTTTTAAGAACAAGTAAATGTTCTACTAACAATTTTAAAAGCGTATAAATTACATAAATAGCATAAACCCAAAGAATTTCTACAACTAGAAACTACCGGTCGTGCCTCATAAATACACCAAGGTGGTGGATCCAGCTTACCTGTCTGTTGGGGGCCGTCTTCGTCGGCGACTGGCTGGGCCACTTCATCAGCGACACCGACGGCGTCCTCACCACCAGAGGCTGGGGCAGATCGTTTTCCGTCATTGCGGGAGAGATGGTCGACTGCATCGGCGGCGGCTCTCCCCCCGCCCCCGTCATAGGACCGCACCGCGGCTCTAGAGAATAAACACACGATATAACTCGGCCGTACGGGCCTCCGATTCCACTATTTCGGCTTCACCGGGTTACGGGGGCGGCGCGGAAACTCTGTACTTGAGGATTTGGGACCGGGGGATTACGGAAGATGATATTAGAAAATGGAGATGGGCGAAGTAGATGCTTCAAAGATGAGCCTGAAAGATCTGGTTTATGCAAAATATTTTAGTGATATATCTTACTAAAAGTTGAACTAAGCAAGTTTATTTAGAATTAAACGCACATTTTTAGGGCAGAAGGATAGTTTAATCCTATTATAACAATTTAATATGTTCAGATTGAATATAACGACTGTAATATTACAGCAAATATCTTATATAATCTAATAGATTTTGTGAATGAGTAGCTTTCTATAAAAAATAACTTTTCTACTTAAACTAATAGTGTTCATAAAAAAATTTCCATGTGGTTACAAATGTCTATCATAATGCAACATTTGGCAGAGCCCTCGTACGTTTAATCAAAAAGAGCATCGCCGAATCTCGTACCTTTATTCATGTTATTAAGAAAGTTTGTACCAGCTGGTGTTTGTTGGGAAAGAATCGCGAATAGCAAAAATAGTAACGAAAATACGGATTAATGGGGACAGAAAGGCGCATTCGGATATACCGATTTCGATAGTTCGATTATTCGTGTGCGTGTCCGAGAATTAAGTGAATTGAAGAATTTAATATTAATTTGAATTAGGAGTTTATTTAGTTGGAAGTCTACCTGCCCATCCGACATTTAGGACGTTTTGAAAACGACCAAAATCGCAAAAAACTAATCGAGGTGACATTTTATGGGAAAAAGGCACGAGAAAATGATTCTTTGCACGCCAAATCGCACATAAAATTATGTTATTATATGTATAGTTAATTATAATTTTATTTTCACCAATGTTAACCCGAAAAATAGTAAATTAACGACCGATAAATTGAGAATGTACAACAGAATAAAGCAATAAAACCAATACACGACAGAATAAACCTAAGACATTGCACTACAAAATAAGACAATCAACGACAGAATAAGGTAAAGTGCATGCCAGAATAAAATATATTGCACATTTTTATGCCACCCTATAGAATTTATTCTCAATTATTTATAGCTACAGAAATAAAAAAAAAACTTTTTTAAATTGGCTGTAGATGTAGATCCTTTATTATTCATAATAAGCAGTAATCTGTCGCGATGCACCGGAATTTTGCGCCAAAATAATAATTCCCTTTTGGAATTATGGCCCCAAAATTTTTGGAGTGGAATTTCGGCATCTAATTAAAATGCAGGTAAATTCAATGCGAAGTTCCAGAGCGCCCATTTGTCGGAATCATTTCATTAGAGTATATTCCAAAAATGCAAAAATGTACAGAGGATGCTTGTTTTAAAATAACAAATGTCTTCTTCCTTAACAATAGTCAACGATACATTATTTGATAAACCATCCAAAATAATAAAACCCCTTATATTTGATTCATTTAGTTACCGAAATATACTGCTCCACAAAAGTTAAGGAAGTTCACAAATATCGAGATTAATTTAAAAGTGCAGGTTTGATTTGATCACCAAATTTAGTATGAGTTGTAGAGGTAGGGGAAAAAAATCCACTCAGATATGAGAGAAAACATTTAATTTCGCAAATTTGAAATCCTTAACTTTTGTGCAGCAGTTTATTTCCAACAGGCCATCATCATCTTAATACACCTGGTACAAATTCGTTCTAAAACCTAATGCATCAAACGTTTCAAATAAAAATTTATCGCCCTGTCGCTTAGAATTTAGCAAATCTTAAATAATAATAATAATAATCGAGCGCGGATTTACGCCGGTGCGAAAATAGCCCAAGCGGCGCGATTCCTGCGAAACGGCCGTCCGAAAATAGCCGGCCGACTCGCGTCGTCACCACAATGCCGAATTATTTTGATACATTTTTTCGACAACACAATAGCGAATGATGGGCCATTTCCACGCCACAAAACTATGCCATACCTGCGGTTCGTTTTCCACACGTACGATTTAAAATTGGACGCGCACGCAGACACAACGCCGTACCAAATCTTCATGCGTTACTAGGTATCTATAATCGCGCGTTTTTCCCGAACGCCGATGGCCGTGGACGTTGGATAGTGCAACTCGAGCAGCTGCAAGCGCCAAAATTATTGCTCTGCTATGCTAGCTTGTGTACAATAAGCGAGGATGACGCGTATTTACCGAATGCCCGCTCTATCGACAGCCAATCACTCGTTTTTTGGCAGGATTTTCTTTAAAAACGACCAGATGTTTCGACAAATATAATTTATTTTTATGGGTTTATTTGCTTCAAGCTTCATATACATGTGTGTAGCATAAAAATAAGGAGTATCGTAGACCGGGGATATTTCCTGAAGGTAAAGTTATATCTTCCTGTTCAAGCATTTGAAGTAAAATGTAATACCTTATTTTAGGAGGCAATCGATAGGAAAATCTGATATTTTAGGATAAACTTGTTAATGTTTTAGTTTTGCGTCGAAATTAGGCAAGTAGTACAAACTATAGGTGGTGGAATTTCCACATTAAACTGAACTTTAAAGTCCCTACTGTTATGAGCCTTTGGTTAAAGAAGATAAACTTCTTTGACGTGGTTGAATGGTTGATGCAATAACCAAATGGATCTACTGGAACCTTTACCATTGCTCCTTTGCCTCGTGCCTAGCAGTAACTAATAATAACCCCAGTTTACTAAATATATAGATATCCAAAAATATTAATAATATCCAAAAAGTTCCAAAAAACCTATTCATTAAGTCAATGGAAAAGTCCAAAATCCTGCTTTTATAGCATCCATCAGTTATCAACAATAATAAATTGGTCAACCGAGTGCAATGAGGATCAACACATTGAGGGAATTGAACACACAGATCATTCCTGTTAAACGGAATCGTTCTTCTATAACAAGTTGTTAGGTAGGTACAAGGCGTAACGAACACGTTAAAACATGTTAGAAAAGGGAAGTGACAGAAATTCAGAGTGCAATAATGTACATACAATCACTAAGCAAATCGTTCTGACAGACCTGTATGTAATCTAGCTCTTTGCATTCTTAAGGCATTACCTGTTGAATCAGGCGAACCTGCAAAAAACGATCATTTTTAACCGAAGCCTACATATGCATATGGTAATAATAATTATCTATTTACGAAGAAATGTGCATTATGAGGGTGCAGCGAAAAAGTTTAATCCTCATCAGTTTTAAAGTGAGTTTTATCTCTTAGCTTAAATAAGTAACTTACGTAAGAACAGGGTAGTGAAAAAAATTGTTAAACTAATTAACTACTTATTATGACATGATTAAACACCTTGCTTAGAAAAGGATATTGTTCTCTTTATAGAATATAGAGCATTTTTGTTGCACCCTATACAACTCATTCTGAGAGTATTCTTCCAATAAATCGTATCCCAATTGGTCGAATAAATCTCCCAGGTTAGTATTTACTTATTAGAACTTATTATAAATAATCTAAATATATATTATTTTGCACGCCGAAAAATGTGAAAAACAAGATTGTTTGTAGTCCAATTTCTCAAACAATTTTCATGGTGAGTTCACACACTGTTAAATGTTATTCATTCTATAGGTAATGAGAAAAAGGGAAAAACTTCCGATGTCCCAGTAACATTTGTGATTTACAGCACATAACAAAAATAAGTGACTTGTGCTTTACAGTTATAATAAATAAAAGGGTGTCGCAAAATGCGTGCTACTTACAGTTTGCTAATATTTCTATACATCGTACATATCTACAGTAGTGAATTTTTGTAGCATGTAAATGTAGATAATAGTGTAAGAGTAAGTATAAAGTGTGTTTAGGTTTGGGGTAAAATAGCTACAAAATCTGGAAAATGTTCTAAACAAATACGCTTGTAACTACCTAGGATGGTTCAATATACACCTAAATTGTAAGTAAATGTAAAGTGTTAAGAATGTATCAGATTTACCGTCGTCGTTTCCTGGACCGAAACTACTTCGTGGTGGATTAAAAAACAAGTGCGTTCTATAGTGATGTTCTTCCATAGCAGTGTAACCTTGGTCTCTACAACTTCTCTTACTTGTGTGCCGACCGACACTCGTTTTGCCCCCTTTCACCGACGTCACCCCCGTTTTCTGCTCCCCGAACGTCTTTCTAAACATCAAATTCATCTTGGCCTGTTTTTTATCGACGCCTGGAAAAAAAGAGAAACCGTCAGTTCGAACAATTTATCACTTTTATTACGGTTATGTTGGAATACGGTATCGGTATAGTGGAAAGGGGGAGGCTTTTGGTGGATGAAACTCGACTGGATGTTGATTCCTCCGATGGGAATGTGCCAGTAAAACCACCAAAAGATAATTCCCAAAGAGAATATTTATGTACTAAGTGAGAGATAAATCATAAAAGTAGCAGTCAATAGTTTATAAAGGATGTCCGAATCGAGACAAAGCACAAGAATACAAAGTTATATTCCTGAGACATTATAGGCCTTCAAAGTGGAGTTAAAAATTAAAAAAAAATATCAAACGGAAATCTCAAAGGAAAACTCAAACTACACAGTGACAAAAAAGTACCCGGAAAATTGGAATAAAACGCAAAATTCCTAATCCTTTTTCGATTTTTTGGCCCATTTAAATATTGAAGAAAACAAAACGAAAAATCATTAACAAACACCTTCAATTTCGATAAAAGGGACGTAATATTTTTCAATTGTAGCAAAATTGTCATATTTTAAAAAAATTGCATGATTAATAGCAAAGTGATTTGCAATTATTAAACAAACATCCTCAATAAATCTATTACCTTCTGTTACATCTACGATTAAAAACCCAAAACTTGGAAAACCAAAGAGTGTAAAAAACGCATATAAACACAAATTATTACCTGATTAATGACCCGATATTAATCCAATCAACACCTGCCCATACACCTATTAGATAAGCACGCTTTTTTTGAAGACGTAATGCGCACCAGCCGAAATTTCCACCAGCCCGCCGCGACGCGCCATGTCCTGCCACAACACTCGGTATATACACCTCGAATTTTCTGAAACGCCGTCAACTCGACAATCGATAGGAAGGAAAAAAAATACGCGCCGCACGACCGTGTAATTCGAACCCCGGTAAATATCCCAACGAAGTGAACGGAACACTCGATCGCGAAGGCCGATCGTTCCGAACCCAAGTGAAAATTCGGACCGCTCCGACACGCACTATTTTCGTCCGAGAGACAGCGCGTGGAAAATCCGAAAACACTGAAAAGTTTTCTTCCGCTGCCAACCGTCGGCGGCGGTGTAGCGTTAAAATCCTATTTATAAAAAGGTGCGCGAAGATTGTTGTTCGGCCACGTTAGCACAGTCGATTCGGGCAAACCTCGATTGAAGTCGAAATCGTTAGAACTCCATTATTTAGAAGAAACGATAGATGGATCGAATTGATTGAAAACGACGATTTTTCCGCGTCGCAGCTTTTATATAGCGATGGATTAATTTCCGCTAAAAATTTTCACCCTCTTGCCGGGTACATAATTAACAGGCAACCGACAATAGGGTGTAACAATGTGTTGTTCAGTTCGTTTAACTGCCCTTACCGCTCCATTAAGTAGGTGTATATTGATTTCGGATGCGACTTTTACTTTCCCGCATTGTTCAAGGTAATAATCACACGATTGCATTCGGAGGACGCGAATTAGGATAGGAGAATATAACGACCAAGGAAATTTAAGATATACGGCCGTTAATTGTTTAGAAAAAATATATTAAAAATTATTACAAATTAAGGTAAAGGTAAAAATGTCTTGATTCCAAACTTAAAGGCACAAATGTGTAGAGACTGTCCCATTTTTTGCATATTACACAAAAATTAAGTATGAATAAAAAGATGTGATGATCGAATCAAGACAAATAATGATTAATAATACATCAATTATTGTTATCATCTTCTTGCTGATGAGCTTCTCCATTTTCTTTAGTATCTTCTTCACAATCCATCTCATTAACATCTTCATCATCGATCCCATTTTCTTGGCATCCACCCTCATCATCCTCCTCTTCTTGTTCCTCTTCTTCTCCTACAGAATCTTCATCGCTTTTATCGGAGTCATTGCCGCTTTCATTTAATTGGGGTTCTTCGCCGGCGACATCTTGTTTTTCCGCATACCTACAATTATTAATCGTTTCAAAGATGTCGATGAACAATAACAGGAATTAACGAGTTAAGCAATTACTACTTACTCTTGCACTACTTTTGCTATTTTAGACTGGCCCTCCTCGTAGTTTTTTTTAAGAATATTCTCCAATTGCGGGTCGGCTTTGGCGGGATCTTCGTTATGGCTGAGAAGACTACAGTGGGAATCGTAGAGGTCCTTGCGACGTCTAAGTTGCATTAATTCGCCCAGCTTTTGAAAGCAATGTTTACCTTAAAAAAATGTACACAAACAAAATCGAAAAATGCCGGTCAAATCGCGACTCACTTTCGCTTTTAATTTTAGATTCGCTCAGGCCTAAATTAAATTCTTTATCGGTATCGGTTATCAGCTTCTCCATTTCGTAATAGCAGGGGAAGGTCTTGTTGGTTTTGTATTTCTTACAGATGGCACGATTGATTTCGTTGAATTCTGAATGGACGAAATCTATTCTGGCGTGAATTATTCTACCTTTGTAGGGGTTCCTCTTTAGAAGTTTGCAGTACGTCTTGTATACTTGATTTAACCTGGTTTTGAACCTAATAAAAACAAAAATTTAGAGTCTTTGGACCTTGCAGGAGATTTGCGCATACCATAAAAAGCTTCTAGATTCTATACTCACTTCTCTGCTTTTAAAAAAGTCGAATCTTCTTCTTCGTTAAAATCAACTTCCTGCTCATCTAACTGTTTTATCCGTTGAATCAGCTTCTTGATGCATTTCTCCAATTTCTTTAGGTTCATCAAGGTACGAGTATCTTCGACCTCGATACACTCGGAGGTGGTCATGTCCTTTAATTCTTGAAACACTTCGTGGAAGCTGATTACAGCCGCAGCAGGAGAGGATTCCGCCTTCTCGATGTTTGTTGACAGCAAGTTCTTGAAGTGAACAGACACGTCCAGCTCGTCTTGGCACTTTTTGTAGTTAATCCACAAACGAGGGAAACTATTTCTAATAGACTCGTATTTTTCATCTTGTATTTGCCTGTTTACAGTTTCGACAAACCTTTCTGTAAAGATTTTATAGTGATGAATGGGTTATCGACAGGTTTTCTGGCTGTATACTCGCCTAGTAGTTTACGAATTCCTAATTGCTGAGATCCACCAGATTCGGATGGTTCACTATCTTCTACGATTCCATTCTCTATATCTTCAGTACAAATGTTATTAGTAGCATTCTCGCTGGTAGTATTTTCTACTGTATTTGTGTCTTCATCATCTAAAGTTATTACATTTTCATTGCAATTTGTTGTTTCATTGTGCAATTTATCTGTGGCTTCAGTTGTTACATTTTCTTCATCATCGGAACACAAGTCGACAGTACAAATATTGGTTTTTTTAGGTGCTTTAACTTTTGTAACAGATATTTCAACCAGATTTTTGAGAAAAATAGGGTTCAATCTCTAAAATAAGCATATTGTTAGGTTTAATAGCAAAGCACTTTAAGACGTATTTACCTTCTTAGGACGTGCTGGAGATTTTTCATTTTCATCATCAGAAGATAAAACAGTGATAACGTCATCCATAGTTAATTCTAGCTAGCACCAGCTTGAATTTTATGTATTCAGGGTAATGTGGACCTATAATAGAGTAATGATATAGGAGTGCAAGGATAATGTTGGAGAGATTTTATAATAAAAATTGTGATTTATTAACCCCTTACTCGTTTATAAACAGTATTTTACTCTAATATTACTCGCTTCTAGTATTTTTATGGCTAAAATCACTTACACTAATTATTTGAATACTACTGGGTACAGGAAATATTGATTTAATTGAAAATTTTCAATATCTTTTTAATTTTAAACCTATTTACATTTTACATTTAAATCGACCTTGTGACTTATTTTTGGCATTTGTCAATTATGTATGTCATTATCTTCTTTTTATCCGAAAAATCAAAATGAAGCATTTTTTTCATAAAAGATACTAGAAAAAACAAAGCCCACATTATAATAAACGCAATGAATTAACCAATTTATATAAATTTCTTAAATAATAAAAAAAAATTGTGCAATTAAACTACCAATCGAGTGTCGCAATGGCACCTCGGTACAAGACCACATAGTCATCCTAAATTTCTTTACGTCAAATATGTCATGTGTCATTTATGGTTTCCCGCGGTATTCCCTCTCCCTTTCGATTTCCCGCTCAAGCAAGGCGACGGCGACTGTGAGGGATCCGCTAATCTGCTTCCGCTATACCTTTTAAACTCATCTGCGTTCCAGTTTCCAGTCCAGTTTAATTTTGAATTTCATTGCGATATTAAAAGAACACCAACAGTTTCGAAACGAAACATTCGGCCCGACCTTTTCCTAGTGCGAACCCGTTCAATCATCCACAATGTCTGGACGAGGTAAAGGCAAAGTAAAATCCGCCAGTAAAGCCAAATCCAGATCTAGTCGTGCAGGGCTTCAATTCCCCGTTGGTAGAATACATAGGGTGCTCCGTAAAGGGCACTATGCGGAGAGAATAGGCGCTGGTGGGTCAGTTTACCTGGCCGCAGTTCTCGAATACTTGGCAGCAGAAGTGTTGGAGTTAGCCGGTAAGTTTTTTTTGTAAATTACCTTTAAAAACCGTTTCTATTAGTACGCAGTACATTTTGCTGAAAGAACTAGGGTAAAGTGAAAGAACTAGTTATTAACACTATTTAGAGTCCTCTGGGGTGGTTTTTACATCATTTTAATTGTTTAGGAAACGCTGCTCGTGACAATAAGAAGTCGAGAATTATGCCAAGACACTTACAGCTCGCTATAAGAAACGATGAGGAATTGAATAAACTGTTGTCTGGTGTGACCATAGCTGAAGGAGGAGTGATACCGAATATTCAAGCTATATTACTGCCGAAGAAGTCTGGTAACACTAGCAATAAGCCTGCTACTGGTGGAAAAGGCGGCGTAAGTCAATCGCAGGACTATTAGTTCTTTACTTACCACATAATTTTGTTTAGTTTTTGTATAGTTTTAAAGATTATTGTATAATTCGACATTTAGGGGTAATTTATAAATAACAAGCAATTTAAATTACTTTTCAATGAAATAGAGCTATAGAAATTTGTGAAGTTTCCTAATGATTTTTCGACGTAGAGGCTGTTAACAAATTAACTGTAATAAATACTTATATTCGATTTTTAGGGATTGTTTGAACTATGTGTTTACTGCTGAATATTATCCCAAATATTCCCGGTGGGTTTTTTGGGTTTTTTTTAAGTTTTTGTATTTTTTTGGCTAAAGCCATTTCCATGCTTTTTACAAAAATTTTGACTGTTTTGCAGAAAGTTCTGATAATAAGCTTACAAAGTAAAAAAAGTTAATGATTGTAGTATATTTTATGCATACAGGTTTTGGCAAATTGCTTCACTGAGTAGATACTCTACAAATGTATTTGAAATTTTAAGTTATTTAAAATCTAAATTGTAATTTCAACTAAAAAGTAGAAACTTTTGCCAAAATCTCTGTTGTCTACATGTATAACCTTACACTATATACCTTACACTTATACCTTACACATGTTACAATAGTTATTATCTAGTTATCAAATTTCTGTTTGGCTATTACAAGTATTTTTTTATTATTGTGTTTTTAATGCTAATTTCATCTATCTGTATGTAAAGAGAATTTCTTTTAAATGAAACTACGGAATATCGTATATTCTGTTCATTATCGTACATCAGTTTCGAATTAAGATTTATTAATAATTCGCAAAAAACTTCACTATACAGGGTGTCTACTATAAAAATCGAGGTGATTATACAAGTAATTTCGAACAATGTCATATAACACTTTTTCGAAAAGTTGCTAGTTTCTCTACCGAGTAATAAAACCATAACCATAAAAATAAGTCAATATTCATAATTATAGCAATTAAATCTTTTATATTATCCGGTATTGGACATTTTTAAATTGATTATACGAATAAATGTGATATTTTCGCCTTTTTGGAAAAAAGAACCGTTTGGCGTTTGAGGACAGAAAGAAACGTTTACGCCTTACAGTAAGAGTCCAAAGCAAAGATAATCCAATAAAAAGAAGAAAATTATGACAAAATTGTCAATTGTCATGTGGTTTTTGATCTTGATCATACGTCAAATTTATCAAAACATTCTAAAATTTTCGCCGTTTTTAATGCGGCGAACGAAATAAACCTGAAAGTGCTGAAACGTATTATTTATTAAGTCAATACAAATATGTCCACAAGAAAACGGAGCGGTTCTGGATCGAAAAGGCAATTCAAGGAAAAAGTGGTACAAATATACGAATGTTTGCTCAAAGGGGAAGATGTATCCCATCACAATGCCCTTTTTTGGGAAGAGTTTTTTCTCTTGAAACCTAAAGTAGCCACGATAGAAAATGAAATTCAAAAGTTATCGTTAGAACAACTGCAAGCCGCTAAACAGAACATCAACATTCTATTCAGCCAATGCATCGAAATATTAGACCAACAAAATATACGAGTTGCCTTTGGTTTGCTAACGTTATCTGCCGTTTTACACGCCATTTTTAAAAAAGGCTTAGACGGACAAATTGATGCTGTAGAATTTTTAATGGGTTTCGAAAACCTTGTACCGAAATTACAAAAGCTGTTAAAAATGTGCCAGAGTTTTCTCGAAGGTATTAATCCCACATTCAAACCAACTATGCATTAATAAATCTAATTTTTAGGTGACTCAACGGAAGCGGTAAAAGCACTTTGCCTCAAAGTAATTCTCATTTTAACTACCGGACTAGATACAATCAATCAAAACTCACTTATCGAGTATATCATGATAACACCTTTATTTGAATGCCTCGTCAAACTTTTATGCGACATGCCAACAAGGCAAAGACATGGTTATGATGTCATATTAATAATAACACTGTTAGTAAACTACAGAAAATACGATAATACAAATTCTTATGTGGTTAAACTGTCCATTTTAGGTAATATTTTAATTTTGAATGTCTCAAGCACTTGCAAAACTATGTCTTAGCAATGGTTTATGCACCTGGTGAAGTACTACTAACAGGCCATCATCGAGATACCCTATACACCTTGGTTTATTTCAGTTTGCAATATGGCCATTTCTATGAGTTGAACAAAGAAAGATTATTAAAGTGACAGTTGTCAGAATGAAAAGTTGCAATGACACAATATCACTCTTTCTTTTTCCTTTATAATTATCTAATGGTAGTTGTCTTTATCACACACCCATAGTCTATATTACCTATATTGCAAACTAAATGAATCAAACTGTATAATATATTCTGTAAACTTTGATTTCATTGATTTGCTAAGGGTTCTTTGACGAATTTCCAACTTTCACCGGTGCATAACTATCTGCCATTTCACCTTTTCCCACAATCTGTTAACAACTATCCTACAGCTTTGTTAAAATTCTTTGCTTTTAATTCGCACTACAAACACAATTTTCAACTTCAATTTACCAAAGTCTGGTATCTTCTCATTGGATTCGTAGAGTTTATTTTGCCATTTTAGATGACGAGTTAGCTCTAAACGGCTACGGGCAAGTAATAACATCATCTCTATCAGACTTCTGCAATCAGTACAACACAGAACACGCCGAAAACCAGAACGCCTCTTGGTTCTCCTCTCTAACGAACATCGTAGGCAACATGTTCATATCCGAAGAGGGCGGCTTCAGGATGCAACAAGTCAGAGCCAACAACGCCCTGCTATTGGCCTTCTACGAAGCGGTACACTTGAACAGAAATTTTATAACCACGCTAGCCCAAACGCAAACCGACTCCAGTTCCCCGCCCTCGCCGAATAACACCTTGAGCAGCGTCCAGGGTGTGCCGGATCTGTCTACGGCTCCTGCGACTTTCGACGTCACGAGTCAGCCATCCAATTTGTTAGTCATATTTTTCCAATATTGGTGAGGTCCAATGAGATTGTGTTTGAAACATGAAGTATACCTTTGGTACTTTCAGCTCAATAGTTATGCAAGATACAAAGACTGAAGCCGGGACAAATACAGTAAAACTGTGTTTTCTCGTTCTTAGCTGCATAACTGAAGATCAGTATGCGAATTCATTGATGCATGACGTGACTTTGGCCTTTAAAGTTAGGCTGCACAGGCTGCCTATGAGGCATCGTAAACTTGCTTCCGATAAAACCACTTCCAGCCAACCTTTAGTGTGTACTCTATTGGGTGAGTATGCTCCTAGTACTAGTAACAGTAATTTTTTATACTAGTAGGTGCATAATTATTTTAATTTTTCAGATTTATTGGTAGAGTTCATATTGAGTCATATGATGAAAAAGTTCCCGATGGAACTGTACCTTCTATGTACAGGTGTTCTGCAAAGAGTCTTATGCTATCAGAAGAAGTGCCGAATCAGGTTGCACTACTCCTGGAGAGATTTATGGACTGCACTTATATCTTTACTGAGATTTATTTTACAAAACGAAAATTACTTGGGCAAGAAGATCAACATATTCGATCTTGCCATTAAGGTTGTTAATATATTGAATTTTTTTATTACGTACGGTGATAACTTTTTACCGACGCCTGGCAGTTATGATGAATTGTATTATGAGATAATTAGAATGCATCAAGTTTTCGATAACATATATTCTATGGGTATGTAAATTTAATATTGATGAATAGCTTGTAAAATTTGTAATTTTTTCAGCTTTACGATATTCCAGCGGAGATGGGGACTTTAAAGAGGATGCACTTAGATTAAATAATACATTATTTAATGTTCGAGCCATCATCAAGCATTTCAATCCAAAGATAGAGCAATGGTTGGCCTCTACTAACTTATCAACTCCCTCCGAAGAGCAAATATTAGAGATAGTAAAGAAAAACTACGATAGTCTTACTTTAAAATTACAAGACTCGTTGGACCATTACGAAAGATACACCGAAAAACCCCAATATTCCATGTTCTTTACAAACATGGTTAAAACAATTCTTTCAGATACAAGAAATAACAATAGCTGTTCGTTATCAAACTTTACTACAATCGCCAATGAATATCCCGTAATATAACTTATATTTCATTGTTACATATATTTTAAAGCAAAAAAAAAGATTTTTAAGTATCAAATTTTAAATACGCGTTGATTTTTTACAATACAAATTGCGAGAGAAATTATATATCATAATTATATTGAAACAATTTTTATTAGAAACGGATAAGACTTTTATTTATTAAAGTTTATAAAATGGCATCACATAAAATAAAAATATATAAACTATTTATCAATGCAACAACAAATCAGGTGTGTAGTGTAGTTAATGCATATTAAAAAAAAACAAATCAAATATGAGCTCAACCCCTTTTGTGTTAAATAGGCGAAAGGGTATTAACAATATGGAAAAACAGGGTATTAATTTAAACACAAAACAACATTTAATATTAATAGTTGTCAAACAAAACGAGCTGCGTTCGAAATTCAATGAGAAATGTGCATATATCTCAACAACAAGACACTCCAGGTGCTACAATTATCAAAGAATGTAAATAGTTTGGACACGTTTGACAATACACATATGTATTCTTGTTCTGTAAGGGTTAAGCTTGCAATTATATTTTACTTAAAAATAACTACCTTGAAATTAATCTAATAAGTAACAACTTGTATTATCCCCTCATTTGTATATGATGCTTACGTAAAATTTGGAAGACCGTGTCTTTGAGTGTTTGAGGCTTGCAGTACTCCTCCAACCAGCTGAAAACGCCGGCCGACAAATCCGAGAAATTATTCACAGAAACGCCATTGAACGTCGAAAATAGTTCATCCATGATTGCCTGAAACTGCACAAGATTTGTTAAAGAAATAATCGAGGTTAGTACTTCTATAATATTGGAAGGATTGTTCACTTGGCTAGTTACACTGGCCATATTGAACCCGTTAGCAATCCCTCCTAGTGAGCAATCCTTCCGGTAAAAATATGGTAAATGTTTTGGTTGTTTACCACTGAAAATTTAACTTCGTCGGATATTCGAGTTTCGGTATGGCCCGGTTGAGATTGTTGCGCTTTAACGATTTGTTCGTAGTTGGTCTGCATGATTCTGAGCGCTACGACCTCCTTCCTCAAGGCGTTTCGCTCGTCTTCCTGCTTCTTCTTCTGCATTTGCAAGTATTGGATGTAATCGATCGATTTTTGCAGGACCGTCGCCTTGCTTAGTTTGTACCCTACAAGTTTATACTGTATTTTTTACGATTAATAACATGCGCAACCAAAAAATGGACAAGCTGAAGCGGAAATCCTTGAAAATTGTTATTTGAGGAAAGCAAGAGCGGGTAATTGCTGGTAATGAATATTTAAAGGTTGACAATCGGATGGTATTGTATTCACCTCAATGGTGAATTCTTATCCTTACACATTATATTATCCTCGTAATATTGCTTAGTTTTAAAGTATGATTGAGAAAGGTTGCTGATAAGTACAGAATTTTCAATAATTTTAATTTACCTGAGACATCCGGTTGTTGGCAAGTTGGAACGAGTTCCTGCAATGTATCGTATCCCCTTTTAATAGCATCCCGTCTTTTTTGTTCAGCTTGTGTGTGAGCCTCCCTTCGTCTCTCTTTGTAACTCATCGGCGACGATTTGCTATCAACATCTTCTTCTTCTTCTATGAATTTCAGTAAAATTCAACGATATTAAAATAAACTACGGGATTAGTGAATTTATACAGTATTAATATCTACTGGAAATACAACAATTTTGTAATGTACATATCTACAAGTATGTTTTTAGTTTATTTACAAGCTCAAAAGATTGAAAATATTGTTAGGAAACTTACCAATCATAATTTTAGAATCGATGGGTATATCAAAATAAAAAAATAGTAGAGTAACCTTTGTTCTCTTTATAGTAACTTTCTAATTTCCGTCGTTAAAAATAGGGAATAGATAACAAAACTTTACCTGTATTATTCCCCATGCTTGCGCTGCTTGAATATTTTATGTGTTCGAAAGGCATTCAATAGTTTTGGGATTTTTATTAATTTACTGAAAATTTACTGAAAACAATCTGCTTAAGAACGCAACTAAATCATAATGCTTTAATATATTTTGATTTTAATTAAACCAAAATTGCTGATAGAGAAAAATATAAAAATAACGACATTGACATTTAACTGACATACGTCAAAAACATCATGTGACAATGACATTTTGCTGTATACCCTAAATGAAATAGATAAAAAAATTACATTGACATTTGACGTTATTGAATTAGAAGAAGACGAAGCTGATATCAGTTATTTTTAAAAATTTTGTTTATGCTGGAAAATCATTCAATAATCTTTAAATCATCACAGAAAATTAAAATAAATTCAGAACCACCTGCTAATTAAGCGACAAGCATTACTCAAGTAACAAAATAAACATGGCTTCTTTCGGTAAAAGAATAGAGGTAAATTGCTGGTCAACAGACAAGTACGCACGTTAAACATTTACATTTTCAGGATTACGAAGTCCACAGTTTGTTAGGTAAAGGTGGCTTTGCGTCCGTGTATCGCGCTAGATGCCTAAAAACCAACACAGATGTTGCAATTAAAATGGTAAGTGCACTATCAGTTACTCTTTATTTTGCTAACTTCCTGATTTTACAGATAGATAAAAAGCTCATGCAAGCGACTGGAATGGTGCACCGCGTTAAGCAGGAAGTATCAATTCACTCCAGATTGAAACACCCATCTATTTTAGAGTTATATGAATGTTTCGAAGATATAAATTATGTATATTTGGTTTTGGAGCTCTGCCATAAAGGAGAACTTCAAAAATACGTAAAAGACAAGGTAGTGTTGTTGTAAATTGGATATAATGTTGGCTAATTGATCTTTTATAGCATCTTTCTGAAGCAGAGGTTAGTAGCATCATGCAACAAGTGGTGGAAGGAATAAAATATCTTCACTCGTATAAAATCTTACATAGGGATTTATCTCTATCAAATTTACTTTTAACAAGAGATATGCAAGTGGTAAGTTTTTTGTGTAACTCGTTTATACCGAGATATTTCAGGTTCTATTATTTACATATCTCATAATCTTATAATCATTGCAGAAAATAGGAGACTTCGGATTAGCTACCCAGCTATCTAAACCTGATGAAAAACATTTAACCATGTGTGGAACCCCTAATTTTATTTCCCCAGAAGTGGCTTCTCGAGGATCGCATGGACTAGAAGCCGACGTATGGGGTTTAGGATGTCTTTTATACACCCTTTTAGTGGGTTCACCACCCTTCGACACGCCTGCTATAAAGAGCACCCTTACAAAGGTCGTGATGTCGAACTATACTTTACCCAGCCATTTATCTCCCGAAGCAAAGGATCTCATAAATTGCTTGTTGCAAAAGAACCCTAAGGATCGCATGAAGCTGGAGCAAATATTAGAACACCCTTTCATCAAAAGAGGCCGGGTAAACATTACGGAAATAATCGATTTGCTGATATTAATAACGCAATTTTAGATAATGTCGTCTCATTTAACCCACGACAGCGGGATTCACACGATGTCGAGTAAGAGGGACAGTACTTTCGGAGACAGTACGTCACTTCCTTACTATCAAACCGGCTGCAGTTCAAATCCCCGTTTAAGAAAAACCAGCAGCGATTGCGCACCTTTGCCGAACAATTACGGAACAACCCCTCAGTTTTGCCAAGATATGGAAAGACTGAGAGTTCACGATTGCAGGCCAAAGGAGCAACATTCGAGATGCTGTTCGCAGATATCCAATTGCTGTCACGAGGAATTGAAAAGGTCTTGCTGTAGCGGAACTGAAGGCAGGGTAAGAAGTACCCACGAATACTGCACGCCAGTCGATCCGGGAGGTAATTCTTAATAGCTATGAAATCAGGCGTATTATAAAGCACAATTAATATTGTTTTAGGGTACAGTTACAATCAGCCAGTTCATTCCCATCACACGGACGTCCCCTTCAGTGAATTAAACGATAATGTTGCCAAGCACCAGCACTCCGGAGGCCATTGTAGGTCTCGCCACGAATCGGACAATTTCTGCAAACAGGAAAACTATCCTCTAAGATTTGAAGGCGCCAAAAAATCACTGACGCCTCTGTGCTCGGAGCGTTTGTTGCCCACCAGGCATCGGACCAAGAACGCTACCCTTAGCATTCTCAAAGACGGCGAAGTGTGCATCGAGTTTATCAAGAAGAGGGGCAATCCGAAGAGGGACTACGTTTGCGAGGTGATGAGAATATCTCCGGACGGACTGAGGATCCTCCTTTACGACATTGATGGTGGTAAGGGGGTTCCGTTGGAAGATGAACCGGTGTCGTTGCCAGTGCAAGGGGCTGATAAAATTTACGGATTGGAGAATTTGCCGGAGAAGCACTGGAGGAAATACACGTACGCTGTTAAATTTGTGGACCTTGTGAGAGCGAAGACGCCTAAAGTGACTTATTACACGGATAAAGCGAAATGCTTTTTAATGGAAAACCTAACAGACTTTGAAGCCTGTTTTTATGATGGTGAATATCGCTTCGTATAAGATTTTAGATGATTTTTTTAATGAATTAAATTTTAGGTGGTAAAGTAACTAAATCGGCTACTGATGGTATCACATTCATTGACGCTTCAGGAAATAAATACAATTTCATTAATCAAAATGAATGCTCTACATTAAACAGTACGTTAGATTTGATGTGGATTCACACTCAAGACGCATTCGATTATTGTGTGTTGTTGGAGAAGACCCTGTCGACCTTACCTCGATCTTCGTTTCCTGTTATAATCGGCCGGAAACCTTCGTTATGCTCCCCGGGATCATTGGGAAAAGAGAATCAACCGAGAGTTGTGGTAAAACAATTAAGTACTTTATTAATCGGTTTACTTAATTGTATACTTTTAGCCTTCATTCGCTTTATCCTACAACGGTACAAACGTTGCATCTACTTTTGGAAATGCCTCAAATGTTAAAGAGAAGAAGGTAAATGTGCCCGGGGTAGGTACTGCTTTCCAGTTATCCAATGGAGAAATACAAGTGAACTTCCCAGACGGATCGAGATTGTGGGTGGATGGTAAATACAATACTTAATTACTAAAATAGAGTATTAATTCGGTTCTTATTAGGTAAACATCATATACGTTTTCAATACTCCGATGGTCATGTATCAAATTACACGGACAACGAAGTTATTCCAAGGGTTATTACGGAGAAACTGCAGCACATGCCTAAAGTTTTAAGATGTTTAATTCCGACTTCGGTTACACAAAAAATTGTTAATTTAAGATAATGTTAGATGAAAAAGTGTTCATAAAAAAATCGGTAAGCGCATAAATGACAATAAATTATTTTTTTAAAGGTTACGATACGCGTTACTGTTCTTCGTCGACTTCTAAATTAATGTGGCTTCCGAATTTCCCGTACAGGTGCGACTTGAGGTCGCCCATGTTCTCTTTAACGCCGTCGGCCTTCGATTTCAAATCTTTAATTTCTTCTTCGATCTTCGTTTTGGTTTCGTCCAAGCACTTCTCGGTTTTCTCCACGTTTTGATAGATAAATACCTCGCCTACCAGGTAGGGAATCTGCTCGTCGCTGTCCATTAATTCGATTTCGTTGCAAGCGTCTTCAATGTTCATCAGGTCGTTCTCTTTGAATTTGATTTGGTCCTTGTAGTCTTCCAGCTTGGCGTTTAGCCGGGCGAATTTGTTGATTTTTTGTTGATCCTCGTAGGTGATGTGTACATCTGATTCGGGTTGAAACGTACCCTTACTCGAGGAAGTCATTTTTTCTTTCGATAAATTGCAAAACAAATCAAAATGAAAATTCTAAAAATTAGGTTAGGTTGAGGTTGAGCTGTCACAAGTGTCAAACGTGCGTAGCAAAATGAAGTTTGATACAATCGAGGGTTGCCTTTTCCTTGTCAGTTGTTCGTTAAAACTATAGTAACCGAATATCTAGTGTGACACGGCCAATTAATAATTTATTATCTCTATTGCACTATTCTATAAATTTTGAAAAAAAGTTGGTGGGATTAACCCTTACCCTGTAATCCGGAGGAAATAATTTATACAATAATATAAATTTTTGCCAGAGAAATAATAAACTATTTTATTAGAAAGATATACTGTTACTCGAATTATTTTATTTATTAAAAAAACTTACATATATAAAAATTCAAACTTATTAGATTGTCTCACGTAATTTTACTATAACAGTCTAAAATAAATAACTAATAATTATTATTTACATGGGATGTAGGTAAAATAAATTATATACATTCATGTCATTTAGCACCTAAAATGAGATACTCCTGCGCTAAATGATACGAATAACGTATAGCTAAGTACCTATTTGGCATTCCCTCGAAATACATACAAAATAAACCTACATAATCCATACTCAAATTAAGTATTAGCAAATATAAACCAAATTACCTACCATAAGAATTAAAAAGGTACAAAGCCAACAACATTCCATACTGTTATATATCTCTGTAAATAAAAAAAAACTAAAATATACCTACAATCTAAATATACTACAATATGACATTAAAATCGAATAATTACAACTCAAATCATTTTACAAAACTAGATTAATGTTAATTTATACAAAAAAATTAACAAACATTTTATATTCACTCAGTAACTTTAACGTTGAGATATTTGGGTGAACAAAGCGTCTTATTAACTTCTTATTAATAAATTTTTTATTAGAAATTGACAATGCTACAATTGATGATGATATAATAACTATATAGGTAGGTAACACACTTTTCGTTTAAATTATTATACCATCGTGGAATTCGGTGTATAGGAACTAACAATATTTACAACAGCTTTAGAAGCCAACGAAAATCATTTCCTCCTACCCTTCGGTTCGAACGAATTCACCACGCTATCGTAACCCGGCCTGACGAAGTCATCCAGCGGAAAATCGTACTCGGGTATCTTCAAAGCATGCCGCAGCATTTGCCATTGCTGCTTGTTGAACGACTTCATGAAATTCGACAGCCGAATGCCCGGCAACTCCTGCAGATCCTCCTCCGCCGTGTAGTCGGCCTGGAGCCCCAGCGGAGCGAACGGCTTCGCCGGCAGATTGTACTCCTCCTCGGCTCCGCCGGGCTCCGCCAGGCCGGCGACGCGGAAGTTCTGCGGCGGCAGCAATCCCGCCTGGCCCGGATCCGGGCTGGTGGACGCCACCAGCTTCGGGTACACCGGCGTGGTGGCCTTGAAGTCCGAGTGGAAGTTCACCACGCTGTTACCGGGCGCCACGATGCCCAAGTTACTGGGATCCGGGCTGGTGGCGTCGACGAACGGCGGGTACTTGGGCGTGGTGGCCCTGAAGGTGGACTTGTAAGCGACGCCGCCGGCCCGTTTCGGGGGCACCAAGCCGACGTCGAAGGGGTTGGGGCTGGTGGAGTCGACTCGAGTCGGGTATTGCGGGGTGGTGGCTTTGAATTTGGATTCGAATTGGACGGGAACCTCCTTTTTGCTATCGAAATTCGACTGGTACGATGGATTCTTGTAGTACCTTACATTGTTTTTATCGTTTTGAGGAGGTAGCAAGCCTACATCAACTGGATTAGGGCTGGTTGATTCCACGAACGTTGGGTATTGTGGAGTAGTGGCTTTGAATCTTGATTCGAATTGGACACGAATCGGCTTCTTATCATCGTACGTTGGTTCTTTGTAGTACTTCACACTATCTTTAGCGTTTTGAGGAGGTAGCAACCCTACATCGTCTGGATTAGGGCTGGTAGATTCCACGAAAGTCGGGTATTGTGGAGTAGTAGCTTTGAAGTTGGATTCGAATTGAACGTGCTCGTTATCATCGTAATTCGATTCAAACAACGGACTGTTACTATACTTTAGAGCGTCTTTATCGTTTTGAGGGGGTAGCAAACCCACGTCGACTGGATTAGCGCTGGTCGATTCCACGAAAGTGGGGTACTGAGGAGTGGTGGCTTTGAACCTCGATTCGAAATTAACACCGTTTCGTACTTTATTTTTATCGTTATTGGGCGGTAGAACGCCGACGTCTCCAGGCTCGGGGCTGGTAGTGTCGACGAATGACGGGTACTGGGGCGTGGTGGCTTTGAAATTCGACTGGAAATTCACAACGACTTTGTTAGGCTGATCTTGTTCTTGGTCGTAATCGAAACGTTCCGTTAATTTCGCGGTGTTCCTAAATTCCGGTTCGTCCACCGGCAGGTCGTCTTCGAATTTGGATATCGCGTTGAGCTTGTTGTTGCCATCTTTGCCGAACCTCGGAGGCAACAACTCGAAAATAGGATCGAAGTTTTTGTCGCTGTAATCGGAAGATTGCGATTGATAGTTCGAATTTTCTTCGATATAATCCGGAGGTTGCAGGCCGATGTTGTTGGGATTGCCGGTTGTATCTTCCACGCTCTGCGGGTACACCGGGGTAGTCGCTTTGAAATTCGATTTGTACACTACTGCATCGTTTTTACCTGTAATATTTTCTTGTTAAATAATCACCAGGTTTGTTATGAATTAGCTTACCAAATAGCGCTTTATTTTGCCTGTTTTCGAAACCGATTTGATCGGATTTGCGTCGGCCAACGTTCTCCCTTTTTGGCGCTTCAGTAGACCATTGACTCGGAGGAAAGTAAGTAGGCTCTTCGGAACTTCTCTCGTCGCTATTCTCTACACCTACGAACTTCCTTGGAGACAAATTGGTTTCACCTATCCTGAAAAATCACCAAAATACCCGCTCAACACTGTTCCCTATTAACACACCTTCGTTATATTCACCTGTATATGAGGTTGTACTCCGCAGCGCTCGACGGGGCGTTCAGCAAATCCGGCCTGGGAGTTCTCGAATAAGCGCTCATCTCCGAATCTTCCACGAAGAGCTTGTCTTTCTGGCCTATCAGCAGATTCGCGCTGTAATCGGCTGTAGCCCTGCTGCAGTTCACCATGTACCAGTGGTCGCAAATTAGCATCCTCTGCTGGAAGAGAGTAGCATTCGGGCAGGAGTAACTGAATTGCCTGCCCAAACCATCGCACATGTGATATATCTGGAAGTTAAAATAATATCTTTAGAAGTGTCATGAGACTTCTCTTATTAGAGAGAAGAGAGTAGAGATAGGAGTAGAGGAATTTCAGGAAAACTCTGGTCCTTTCCTAGATACCTACTGATGTACAAAAGAAAATATGATTAGCAGGAATTGAATTACTGGCAATGAGAAGCATTTGGAGTTGGGTGAATTTATGGATCATTTTCTTGGATTCATTTAACAGGGTTCCAGGAAGAATTTGATGTGCTGGATACAAACTAAGAAAGAGACTTAGATGTATTAGGTGGTAAGCACTTTTGATTTTGATTACCTGACATCCTTTGCTAACATCTGCGTAATATCCTGCTGACCGACCGTTGCAGGAAAATGGACCCTGAAAGCAAATACAAAACCTTCAATATACGAGTAAAGGAATAATAAAGTATTCAATGAAAATAATTATTAATTAAATCAAAAATCGACCTATTCAATATTAAGAAACAATTTTCCGCTGCAATAGCAGACCTACGTGATGGAATTTTGTGATGGATTCCTTGTCAAAGCAAATTGATCAATCAATAGCCTTTTAATTGTATCTGAACGTGACATTCGGTTGTTGGGTTCTTTGATTGATCTGTTCTTTGATTATACGATTGAGTACTTCCTTAATTACCATCTAGCTCGAGGATCTTCGCACAAAAGGATGCCTAGCAGTGTGATTGACTGCATGCCACGCAATTGTTTCACCAAATAAAGGTTCGCGTGACATTGAGAAATTGTTATGTTATATGTCACATGCATGTGCTAAGTATGCGTGTGATTGTTCTAGCTGGTAAAGAAGCAGGGAATTTTAACTCTATAGAAAAAGGTTTTAAATATGGGCATTCCTCCTTTTACAACCGAATTATATAAATATGCAGTGAGCTTTGATCAAAGATATGGGTTATTTGTCGCTTTTGAGTGATTGTTGTTAGCAAAAAAGTTGTGAACAATTACTATTGAAGCCTGTAACAACAGCCTGTAAAACTCGTTATGTAAGAAGAATGATATAAAACAAACTTACACCCATCAACTTCGATATGATCTGTGCTAAATTGAATTATTTGGCCGGTAACGATCCGGCTTTCTAAATTTTCGAGTAGAACACCCGAAAAGAATGCAGTCACGAATTTTTGACGCGTTGCCAATCGATTCCGCTTGTTTCCTAGTTTTTTCGTGCTCTTATCGCCAGATTGTTGTATAATTCGGCTGACACGCAGAGCATTTCGCACAAAAGAGTCGATATTTTCAATAAAATTTTGAATGACAAATTGCATAATATTGAAACGCTGTATTCAAATTGTTCGATAGAATTTTGGTATTTCTCTAACTTGTAATGTGTAGGGTTTGTTAATGTTATTGTATATCAATAAGAGTACCTATAAAGTGTAGGTTTTATTAATGTTCATGAAAGATAGTGTATAAATGAAGCTGTGCTTCTCTTCCATGAATTGTATTTGGGACTTGAAGTTCTATTGCAATAAGTGTAAAGTGTATGTTTTATTAATGTTTATAAAAGTTAGTGTATAACTGAAGCTCTTTTTTCCTTGCAGGACTTTAATTCGGGGCTTCCAGTTCTATTTTAAAATGTATGAAGATATGCTTTCTCTTCCAGGACTTAAAGTGCTACTGCAATAGTGCAATGAAGTGTCTCATGAAAGTTAGTGCATAAATGAAACTCTTCTTTCCTTGCAGGACTTTCATTTGGGACTTCCAGTTCTATTTTAAAATGTTTGAAGATATGCTTTCTCTTCCAGGACTTAAAATGCTACTGTAATAGTGCAATGAAGTTTCTCATGAAAGTTAGTGTATAAATGAAGCTCTTCTTTCCTTGCAGGACTTTCATTTGTGACTTCCAGTTCTATTTTAAAATGTATGAAAGATATGTTTTCTTTTCCAGGACTTGTAAACTTTCGAGTACTATTCTTGCAATTGATATTTACCACCGTTCAGCGAAGAGTTAACGAGCCGACAATTTCGAAATGACATCACCATCATAAAGCGGCGACCTTCGTCAGCGCTTCGGACTTATTTGGCGCCCGCATATCGTCGATCGGCATCGAGATCGAGAGTATCGAAAGATTCGCCGACCCGACCTGGGGATTCTAGACCAAGAACTTTTACGGAATAATCGCCGTTTACGTTTCTTTCCACCGTTTCGGCATCGCGCCGTACCGATCGGTTAATTGTACAGCTGTTTTTGCTCGCTAAATACGGGAGCCCACTGTTTACGGTAATTCGTTTTTTATTAGGTTCGTTTTTCAATCGGATGGCGGAGCAACTTAATTTTCTACCAATGTGTTGGGGTTTTTCTCACCACAGAAAGGATACCTAATGGAGATTCCTCAAAACTCTCGACCGATTTTATAAACAGGCTAAAGAACATTTTAACTTTAAAGAATCATTTAATAATGATAATATTAATCTTTAAAACAATCCTTTCCTAAGCGAACCTTTTACATTATATGAAACATTTGACATTAGTATAAGGTTAAAGAACACTTTACCTTAAAGCTTCCTTTTGTGATAAAATACTTTAACGCTTTAGGTATTATGAAATCGGCCTTTGTGCCTTTTAAATACTACCATTTTATTACTACCTTGAGGAAAATAATTACTCTCCGAAAGTTTAAAAAGTTTGTTATTCTTATTGTAGATTCACTGTATATAGATAATTTTATTGATCTAATAGAAATGGTACAATAAACACCTAAAAACAGTGTAAACACACGTTTATGGGTTGCTCAAAGGAATTTTTCATGGATAAACGACGACTTTCCTTCGACTTAATCATTTCCAGTTGTAAATTCGCCATATTTTGCAACACAAAGCAGCAAAGCGAGTAGATAACTAACTCTATGGCAAAAAGCAAATACTTCTTCATCAGTTTCCTTTCTTTCCTATTGTAGGTCACCGTCGTTCTCGTTGCGTAGGCGAATCTTTGCATAACTGAAATCGGCGAAAAAACGTATCGCTCGAACGAAGAACAATAAACGCCCGAATTAGCATGAAAAGTTACATTTTCGATATCTCGACGGTTTACTTTCGTTTCGGATATTTCTGGGGTATTCTTTTATAGCTTCGTTTATCTTTTAGCGAAATATCGAATTCCAACGGAGGCATCTATCATAGACCTATTCAGTTTACGAAAGAGAGTGATGGAGTTATTAGATCAACATAAGATAATAAAAGAAGCAAATATGTTTCACGCGCAATCTGTGGAACCATTTAAAATCTGCGCAAACGTAAGTGCAAGAGAGATGAGATATTTGGCCTATTTCAATGCTGATTGACAGACCCGTTGAATGATTCTTAGCTGAAAACTGTTTTAAATATAAAAAAAGAAGAGACCATCTTCAATCTTAACCCTATTTTGTTGGTTGTTTCCGTTTGATGTTTGTTTATGTTCAGTGTGTATTATTTTTTAACAGTGTTTCTTTGTATTATTTAGTATATTTATTTATAAAGGTTATATTTTTTATATAGGTTAATGGGATTATTTCTTTAAAATATATAGTGGCAAACCGATCAAAAAGCATTTTGGAAAACGTTGTACTAACCCTCTTACTCTTTCTTAGACTTGACCTGTATGTAATTATTAAGCCTAATCACCTTTCTGGGCAGTAAAAACAAATTTATATCGAGTTATCGAGTCCATTACATATCCGACAGATTATTGGATAATGACAAATGACGTCTGAAGTATGTCTTAAGTTGTCGTTGTCTAGTTGTCAGAACCGTATTTTACCTGAGGTGCGTTCGTTTGTTCGTTTAGATGTCGAGTTAATTATCCACAGTATGCGCGCGCAGCACAGGTTAAACTGAATAGGTCTATTGCGCTTTCTTAAGCGACTAAAAGGCACGATCCTCGGTGGATTGAATTCGAATTGTGCAACCGGTGTTCCAGTTTTATTGGCATTTTTGTTGAAAGAGGACAGGACTGGATTTGCCAAAAAAATCCTGCTCTGTTATAAATTATTGTATAGAAATGATCTACAAACTTGGAAAAGAGTTGAACGATTATAGATATTAATCCTATAGAAAGAAGGGTCTTTTTAATCTGACAGGTAAACTGGGAGCAGAGTCCCCAGAAATTAACCACAAATAATTTTTTTATGACTGAGAATCTACTCTACTCTAATCTACTCTGATTTACGATAAATCACTAATTTTTATCGCATTATACACGAATAAATGGGACTTTAAGATGCGTTCGGTGATACATTAATGCCACAATTGACATTAATGACATTTCATATGACAGAAGTTTAATAGAGGCGTAAATCTTTTTTTGTATAGAGGTGCAGTAACGACTGTTACAAAATAAATGCATGTTATAATTTTTCAAATATCGTTCTCCTGATTATCCTCTACCCTCTTCTAAATTTTTCTTCCAACATACTATTTGACCAGTTAAATAACTACCAACAACAAAAAACACAATTGCAACACGTAAACTTTCCAATTAATAAACATGCATTCGAATAAATCGCAGTTTATTGTCCATTAAACGCTGCATTTTATTGGAATTAATAATCATCATCGCCTTCAATCTCCATGCCCGCCGAAGTCCTATTAGATCTAATCGGCGATATGTTCGAATTAATATGTGCAAATCTATTCAGAACGAAAAAATTCACGCAGTTGTATTTGCAAAATCAATTTTCTCCAACCTTGCGTCTTCAATGAATGTTTATTATAACATTAATGAAATCAGTGGTGTAACGAACGTGGGTGGTTTGATTTTGGAGGCCGTTGATTGCTGTAATACTAATCTCATTATTACTATTATCAGGAAAATTGGTCACAATTTATATTAATAATAAGAAATGTTTTATTAATAAGCCGACAAAAAATGATTTAAACAAATGTTATGTATGTAGGATACTTTGATAAATTATTTTTTATTATACAGCGTGAGTCAAGAGGAACATGCAATTTTAATGGTTGTTTAATGTTACTCTTAAATTTCTCTGGTGTCTCTGTACCAAGACCACCCTGTATAGTGTGATTCAATATAGCCAACTATTCTTATGTTGGTTAAATGAAACACCCAGTATACTTCCAAAACCTCTATGAACTGATTTGAACAATTCGGTAAAGCACAAAAATCGATCGATAACTTTGATCTGGGACAAAGCCATTTGCTCTTGATTACTACCTAATGTTTCAGAAATATAATTTCACTACGCCGCCGAGTGTAATTGAGGTCTTTGTTTTCTAACGCATCTTTTAATTATCTCATTTGAGGATGAGGTTGCACGAACGAATTACGCGGCATTGTGTTACATTTTTTTTCCGCATAGCCGAGGAAGTCGTGACGCAAGCACTTAAATTCATTTTCCTTTAATGTAC